GCTGAACGACGAAGGACTGACGCGGGATGCCGGTTTTGTTCTGCGTTACGCGGAAAGTTATTAGCGCCTTCCCACTGTACAGCCGAGAGTAAATCTCGACCTCTGTAACGGCCCAAGAACAACGGCAGTGAAGCTGGTAGGGCTAATTGAGTCGGACAGTGCTGTATCAGTATCTACAGTGTACACTGTTGACACAATGTCTTGGAAGTTGTCATCTGCTTTGGCAGTTCTCCTTTGGAAACTGCCAGAACATGCACAGCAACGGCGAAAAACAAAGGCGACTTTGAATTTTTATCTACCTAAGTAATTGAAAGGCTGCCTTGAATGCAGGCATTGCAAATAGATATCCGCCAGCGGAAGCAGCTTGTAAGAAATGTGGTGCAAAGACTTAACGATGGCACTTATGTCGGCGCAGGTGGCATGCCCCGACAGAAGAGCCACAACTTAGAATTACGGAAGGAGACGCGGGGAAGACGCAATTGCGGGGCCGAGTTTTCCGAACCTTTCAAGTCGCATGCATTGTCATCAGTCACCAAGATCATTTTAGAACCCCTGTGGAACCAAATTAGGCTCACATGCGAGCGCTGTGTCTCTAACGATTTGTGATCAGAATGGTAAATGAGGACGAGCCGCACCGCTTCTCGGCAGGGTATGGCTGGCAAAGTGGGAGCGAGCCGCATCTGGACAAGCGAGCGGTGCATCCGCTTGCAGCAGTCACCGAGATGAGAGGTCAGCCGGAGCTCCCGAGAAACTGATTCCTTTGTGGCAAGCCGATCCAATATCAAAGTCGGACTTGGCCGAAAGGTTGGTCAGCTTTCAGCGAGACTCGACCAATATGTTGGAGCAAGAAAAGGGAAACCAGCTTTGGTGGTGGATGGTTTCTCCAGCATTATGGGAAGTCTTTTTAAAATGGCTCTGATTGAGCTATGTGTGTCAGACTTCATCGGTCGGCCCTGGCTGACAATCATTCCCCACAAGGCCTAGCCTAGTCTCCGCACAGTCTACCTGCTTAGCTTGAGTGGCTTCTTCACTTCAAAGTCATCGGTCGGCCCTGGCTGACAATCATTCCCCACAAGGCCTAGCCTAGTCTCCGCACAGTCTACCTGCTTAGCTTGAGTGGCTTCTTCACTTTTTCCATGGGACACCAAGCTCAAGCAACCTCATTGTCGAGTCTCTTTCAGCAATCATCAAAAGCTTCCTCTGACTTTGATTTTCTTGCGGCATCTCAGTCTGTCAAGAGTCTCCATTCCATAGCCCCTCACACTTGTATGGAGGCAAGGAGCGTTTCAGTGCACCACTCAGACCAGAGGACCGATGTGTGCAGCAAATGCAATACGCACTCAGAAAAGCTCTACTTCAGAATTGATTGGTGCACTTGCCCTTCTGATCATGCTTCTGTTGCTTCTGATCATGCTCTCTGTTGGTATTATCCATGGGGGAAGCGACATTGTTCTGAAACGACAACCTTACTCAAAATGCTCCTGCAAATTGTCCAATCCTGCGGTCCAAAGAAGGCTCACTTTGACCTGGAGGCCAAGGCTGTTCGCAAGAGACAGCCGATGCCCTTCCTTCGATGACACACTTTCATGTCGTAAGTACCCACTTAGTACTGTTAGACGCCCTGGTGTCAGCTGTTTAGCGCCTCGCGGGTCGATTCTGCTTCTAAAGCTTTTGCACTTGAAACCTGACCTGCACTGCATGTGTTTCCTGCCAGCCCCCTGTATCCCCCAGAAGCACGGTCGCCAAGTCTGCACCCCCCCAACCAAGGAGTCGACAAGAAGGTGAGTTTCACTTACTTCTAAGTTTGCTGCTTCATTACTTAGAGAGCAGAGTTCCATGGGTTTAACACCGAAGTTCAGCTTGGTGCATCAGCTGAAAGCTTAGAGCTCGCACAACTCAGCAAATTGCAGAAGGCAACCAAAGCAGACACGAGTCAGGTGCAGCAACTTTCCGAGAGATTCAGTGTGCTTTACAATCTCGAATGTGTGATGCAGGAAGGGTTCCATTAGCACAGATGCGCAGGGCTTCTTATCATTGCAAGAGGCATTGACATTACCTGGTTATCGTTAGGACCCTTGTCTTCAAGTGAGACAGTTCCCTATGTCAAATCCGTCAGAAGCATGTACACTCAACCGCCCTCACAGTACCTTTTACCTGATGCGTTATCCCCGGCTCATCTTTGAGCTCGATGACGTCATGTTGACCACCCGCTGACTCAATCTGGCCTCCTGCCATATCGTCTGTAGCAACCCCAACCCGAGCGCAGAGATCGACCAGCCAGCTACGCAGCACCTATGAAAGCTTCGCTAACGCTCACTTTCTGCTCAAGCTGACACCACACGATGACGTCAGACTGACTGCTCGGGTGCACTCAAAGCAGCGCCCCTCATCCGAGCGCGGCGGTCGGTGGCCCAGCTGATGCGGCACTCGCATTTAATTGTCCCAATAACGTCATGCTGACGTCACCTTGTCCTGGACTGGTATGCAGTCCCGCCGACTCGAGCGCCGCGGTCGACGGTCCAGCTGACGCGGCAGCTGGAAAGACTGACGGGCAGTTTCCGGACTCTTCCCGATGGCGTTGGCGCGTCCACAGTGATCGAGAGGGACAAAGCGGAGCTGCTGGAGCGACAGGAGGATCGGATCAGAAGTAAACTCTCACAATCTGCTTCGGTATCTGACCAGCCGGGATTCGCAAACCCGGACCGGTTAAAGAGGTTGGAGATCAACACACCCCGGCAGGCCTTGTGGCATTGGGGCCTGGACTACGCCTCCTCGGACTTCACACTGATGTCATGGCCGATGTCCGGCCTCTCGCCGTTCTCGTTGCTGACGTCACCCCTGTCAAACCTCCGTTGCGCGGCTTGGTTGTGGCTGCTCTTCTTTCTCTGCTCGAGCGATGGGCGAGCATCTGTACTTCAGATGAGGGGCTGGTCATTCGGGAGCTGCAAAAAAAGCGACGGAACGGATTCAGATGTGAGTTGCAAACGTACTCTACAGAGAAATTTCTGTCCAATATATCAAAGCAATATACTGAGCAATCGCGCTCTTGTGAGAAAGGTACTGGGAGTGAGGATTCCAAGGGGAGAAGATGCGGAGCTTCGGCATCTTGTGCAAGACCAGTGCTGGTTTCCTTTTGGAGGCACACGATGTAGGAACGTAGGCTTAAGCGCACCACTTGCTGATAACAATAACTTCTTTCATTACTTGATGCCTCGAAGGCGCGTCTTCACTTATTAAAATTGACAGAGGTGTGGAGCTCGTACGACGGCTCATGACACTGTGCGCGCCCCAATCCTAGGTTGTGAACTCAAATCCGAAGTAAATATCTAAGCATCTTTCTTGTGTTCAGAGTTCAACGCGCTCGGAGTTTTCAAGCCACACGTCAGCATCGTGCGCGCCCGGGCCATCTATCATGTGGAGCTCGCAAAGAGGTAAGCAGAAAGTTGACGTTAACAGTTCGTCACGTACCCTAAGAATCCGGACGGGAGCTTGAAGGAACCCAGGACGCTGTTCCCCAGCGGCACTCACAACTCAAATTGAGCAATTCGTTTCTGCTCGTTGTAAACAAAGTAGTGGTGTAAGGCTTGCAAGTGGAACCGGAAAAGGCGTTTGAGGACTCTAATCGTGTGACCCTAGCCTGCACGGTGGGATGAAACAAAAAAGTTAAGGCTACGAACGGAAAGGTCGGTAGGAAAGGATCACCACACACTGGATATCCATCCCTCAACTTTCAACGGTCCCTAGGTGGACTGCGCACTGTGTCTCCAGGAGGATAACATAGTTAAGCAGATCCGCATGAAAGAAATTAGGAACGGCCTCGAGTTTCCAGCGACAATGTCCCGAATGAACTGTTTGGTTGTTCCAGCAACCCGCCTCCCTTGTTTGGATCGTCGAGAATAGTTCCTTCAATCAACTATCAATAATCGATGATCGACAACCATTGATCGATCATCAATCATCAATAACCGATAATACTACATCAACAATCAATATTCAACAATTATTCATCAATCAACAACCATTATAATCAATGATCAATAACATCAAACCAGATTTCGTTCCGCTCCCGCAGGCTCAAGTTAAAGCAGTCACGCGACTCCGAAGCCGGAGCTCAAAGCGGAAAAGCAGGCTTCCGTTGTGGCTCCACCGCCTCCTCCCCCGGGCCTACACAACAAACTCGACAGGATCCTCAATGTGAGTACCCCGGCTTTCTTTCTCTCAAATGGCAATTTAGAGTATAAAGTATAAAGTAAGGGTTGCAACCAATCCCGCACAAATTGAGGGTCTCCACGGTCGTCAATCAAAGGCATAAGTTGTCAGGATTATTCGAAGAATGCCAGATTTATTACTCTGCTTGGAAGAAATTGCTTTTCGCGCACACAACTGTCACCGAAATACGAGGGTTCACGAAGAGGGCCTGGGCTGACGCGTCCGCTTGGGCGACTCCTTCGCACCAAAGAGACCACAAACGGTCGCCCTGCAGAACTGAGTGAGTTTATTTGCAGCAACCCGGGGAGAACGTGTAGTGCTCTGGTGCGTCGCCAATATAAGATTGCTCTGACGCCCTCTTTACTTATTCATGCATTCACCGCGGTCATCTATTCCTTCTTCCTCAGGACGACACGCTTGCGTCACCTCCAAACGCGACGCTCTGGCTGACATCACAGCGCCGGCTCACGCGCCGCGCGACAATGCGGCGGCTGACGTAGCGGAAGACGGTGCTGACGTCACAGCCGTCGAAGTTGGACCTGCTGACGTCGGAGAGGACGCGGGCGCTTGCGGAGAAGGTGCACGGTAAGGTGTGCCAGCCTTTTCTAGCGTGTGACGTCAGCACTCGTAATCCGGGCGGTGCAAAGCCAGGACGAGAGCGCTTGGAGATATAAGCATACGCGACAGACGTCCGCGAATGTTTTTGGTCTGAATAAGGATCATTCTGAATTCTGACCACACCCAACTTTCGAATAGAAACCGGCAACTCTAGGTCGCAAACGGCGTGTCAGCTGGAATGCAAGACAAGGCGACGGTAGAGCTGGGTTTGATTGTCGCCACGACTGTCTATGTGGCAAGTGAATCTTTTCGGCGATCGGGGAAGGAGGCCTCGGATTGTTGAAGTTGCCTTTTGAGGCACCTTAGACTCAGTGCGTACGTCCGGACTGACCAGTTATATGTGGAAGGGGTATGCGAACCGGGGTTGTGCCATGACAAGGCACATACTGATAGAATCCGATCGAAGTTCTTTCGCAATTGTTTATGATTTTTGGAGGCAAAAGAGGAGCAAGCTCGGTATAGCTCTCCGCCTTTAAGGGGGCGTCTACCCCATGTGGCTCGCGGCGACATCTAGATAACGGGCAGCAACTGCCCGTCACTACTCACGTGGCTTTCGCGAGCGACTGCGAAAGTCGAACTCATCGCCACTGGTCGCCGTGTGGGACTTGTCCAACAACGTTCTCTTTAAAACTTTCTCTTCTTGTAACGATCCACTTCGTATCGGAAGGCCCCAGAGTTCAACACACGGCATATGCGCAAATCCAGGTCATTGCAACTCAGCTGCAAGTCTACTTGTGCTGACAGTACCGCAAATTTCCGTGACGCAGAACAAACGGAGGAGGCCGCGCGTTGGGCCAACGCCGAGATTGTGGCGCGCGTCCAAGCGACAGAGGGAGAGGTGTTGGCGCGCGTGGAAGCGACGCAGCTCGCGCGTTTCGTGCGCGGCTACCGGGCGGCGGCGGAAGAGGGTTTGGAGGGTTTGCATGGCGCGAGCGGGGCGGAAGCGGCGTCCGTTTGGCAAAACGGAAGGGTTATGAGGGGTTTGGGAAGGGGAGGGCGGGTTAGGACGTTTAACCGGGGGTTTGCGAAGCGACGCGGAAGCGCTAGCGGGCATTCCTGCAGCGGGCGAACGGGAGACCGGACGGGCGAACGGAACGGAGAACGGAACGAAACCGAAAGATGCTGAGAAGAGTACAGGCGGGTCGCGGTCCAAAGTTCAAGTTCACGATTCGAAAAGAGCTCCTTGTCGCGGCAGAAAAGCGGCTCGCGAGGGCGACACGGAGAGAGGCGGGCGAGCCTCGGGCGTCGCTCTTCCAGGGAAGAAGAAGCTCTGCGAGTGGACGTGGCTGCTGACCTTATCGACCGCGCTGGAAAGGTGATTTTTCATGCTCTCAGATGGTCTTCTGATTGACATACCGGTGTCAATAGGCAGGCGTCTCGCGGAACGGTTTTGCGCGAGAGTTTGAGATCTACTTGTTCGCCACGTCAATGTCATTAAGACACTGTCAAGGGGTTGTACACAATTTGCCTGCTCGGGTTACTCTAGAAATATTCCGCTGAGTCATCGTCTTTAAATAAGTACTCGTTTGAAATCAGCAGTACCGTATTTGCGAGGATCAGGCATTGGCATCATATATGTGCTCCAAAGGCGGCTCTGCGGTTACTTCACGCTGTCAAAGACTTCGTGCTTGCTTTCTTTATTCGAAGGTCCAGAGAGAGAATTTCTACTTTCGAAATCAGATCACATCGGTATCCAGATGTTGGTTGTTCTGGAGAGTGCTGGCAGTACAAGCAAGAGTTGGGTTTCTGGAAGACCGGGAATCGTTCAGTCTCCAGCCTCGTGTATCCAATCCGACTAAATGCATGTTTACTAACGCTCTATACCTGTCATGTTCAACTGAAGCACGTGACTTGTTCGAGCGTCGCGTTGATTCAGAAGAATTCAAATGGGCCCTCGATTTTTGCGGATATTGCTGCAAACCGTTTCTCTCTTGCTGCAGCTTGCGAACAAAGAGGAGCAAGTGGCCGCGCTCCAGCGAAACCGGAAGGAAACGGAAGCCGGAACAAGCGGAACGCAACCGCCGTGCTATCGAGCTCGCACCGCGCAGGGCTGGGCGGCTTTGAAGAGCAGCCTCTTGTCCGCACGTCTGACCTTCGCGACGGAAAATGATTCCGCCGGAACAGTCGCAGAGGAGTCCGAACCCACTCCTTCTGCTGCTGAAAGCAGCGGAATCGCCGGCGAGGGGCTTCTGGGGCGCCGGACGGCTTTGACACCAGAGAAAGTTTTGCGGACTTAGAAGAGGACGTCGCGATCGGAGAAGGGTGAAACGAAGAGACGAAGTTGGAGCTGCTTGCGCGTATTGATGTATGCTTATTGCTGTGCGCGGTAAACGGACAGGATGGATTTGAGCACGACGTTGGGGGTATTGACTGACAACAGTAGGAAAGAGAATGTTGCAGGAATGTTTCTTGTGTCGAACCAAGAGCGTCTACAACTTCTGGAAGTTAGGCGGCATAGCTTAAGCATATGAAGCATGCGTGCAATTTGATCAGCAAGCCTCTTTTGACAATATCCAAGTTTTGCCTTGATCGGTACGCCAATGCCTTCGCGTAACATCGTGCCAAAGTAGCTATCAGCGCCATGGGTACGATCCTTCGTCTTCGTATCTTCACTTCGCCATTCTTTATCACAACCAATCTTTGCTCAACGACGTGTGACAACTGTGTATATTAACAAGAGGGTAACACGCGTCGTTTATGTTTGCAACTGTAAGGCACATCGATCATTTTACGAGTGCTGGTCGTATGCGTCACCGTGCGCAGTACCAATTTAATGTGCTGCAGTGTGAAACCCCCGTTTAGTACATGCGAGTTGCAGCGCCAATCGTCCCTCATTTCATAGAATATACTGTCGAGTGCGCCGAACCGGACTCTCGTCTTTGTTTACTAAGATGATTACGATCACGCACAAACCCGAAGATGCAAAATTGGCCTAGAGAGAGAAACGCGCGACATCCTCTATTGCAGTGTAACAAAAGTGTCCTAGTTTCCCTAGCTCCACCCTAGCTGGATGTCGATCTGACGGTCGAAGTACTATGGTTCAACCTTAAGGTTACTTTCAACAAATATGGCAGGTGGGTAGCGTGAGATCCTAGCTTACTAGGGGTAAGTTACTAGGGTAAGTCACTACGGGTAAGTTACCCCTAGCTTCAACTTACTCAAGGGGCGTGTATATCATGTACTCAAACGGAGGCGCATGCTGATGAACAATGAATGGCAAACTTAAAACGGCACATGTGAACGCCATTCCAGAATACTTGACTCATCATATATTTAGTGACAACATTATAACTCTACGTGAAAACTTTTAGAAACGCAAATTACTTCCAAAATTGTCCCTGTCCAACTTAACATCAACACGTCTAAGTAGAGTGGCGCTCTCAATTGGCAAAGCTTACTGACTACATTCGAGTTACAGGCAGAAGTCAACCAGTCGGAAGCTTATGAACTCACTGTGGGACTACCTATAGTTTGGGGGGATGTTGCGAACCTTGGAAGTCTTTTCCTGCTTGGGGTTTATGATTCGTCATCATGCCAGCTGGTGCCAATCCCGGGCCTCCTAATACTCAAACGAGTCGCTCGAGCAAGACTTCAAGGTCTTCCAGCAGGTTATCACCAATAGCGGATCCGTAGCGATCTCCGTTTTTGTATACGATGACCATAGGCACGTGAACTACGTTGGCGAAGCTCACAATGTCCTGTGTACACAGTAGATCTAGTCAGCCACTTATGTGCTTTCAACTCTGAAGTAACACAGTGTCCCGTACGGCGTAGGAGAAGGAAGCATTCTCGAGAATCACTCACAGCAGAACGGTATTTTCTCGGACATTAGCTCGTCTTGGGATTCAGATGAGCCTAGGATGGTCTTTGAAACGCAAGATCTTTCATCAAGAATTCTGAAAGACACGAGTTGAGAGTTGCTTTAGAGACCGCAAGACAGTCGCAAGTGTCACTTTCCGTTGTAACCTGTAAACCTGTATAAGTGGGTAAGGTTACTCAGATCATCATTGGGGAAACAGGTTAGCAGGTATACGTCTTGAGTGTAAAACCCAACGGCCCACCTGAATCTGCGGTGCTTGTATCCTCCAGCCAACGTGAAGCAATCAACACTACGTTCTTGGGAGGATCATCATCGTCATAGGAAGGGCGAGCACTTACCCTCTCGGCATAGGCGTCGACATTGTAGAAGGCCATCCCGCGACCCGCGTAATGGTTGCACATTCCTTCGAAAACACTGTCAATATAACCACAGCCCTCGTCACACCCCGTGAACAAGACCACCACCTGTAAGAAAGAAGCTTCAAATCATTGTGGACACAAGGGTGGAACGAGAGTGCCAAGTTGACGAAAGTGAGTGCAGTGCGCTTGCTTAACCGACTCTCAAACCTGGCACTTTCAATCCAGAAGATATTTTGAATGCATGAGAGGCGTACGTCAAACTTGAGTGACGGTGTGGACTGGGTAACACCATCAGGGGTCAGGCTGAACCTTTTGTTTCCATGCATCCTGAGTGTGTGCACTTGCCTTCTTTTCTGTGCTGAGGACCTGTTTGTAGTTATCCAAGCCAGACAGCTCCTTAACGTCGCTCGCCCGTAGGTCCGGTGCACTGATGTTAAGCAAACTCTCAATGGCCTCCATAGCGTCTGTCAGCGCAGAGACAGCCTGGTTGGCAGCCGAAGCCAAGAGCCCTGTCAAGAAGGACACAACGTTTTGAAGGGGCCAGACCATACCGCGTTGCTTTATGAATCAAACAGACAAACATGATGTCACATGTCGATTCAAGACAATTTGCGTAGAAAACTCTTATCTCGCCTACTTGTATATCACTTTTGAACAGGGGTAAAATCCTGTCAAAGAGTAAATGCTGCATGCAGCTTCATTTGTAATCCTGTTTCAGGTGATCATTCGTATATGTCACACAATGCAAGCAACACCACGAAGAAAAGACAAGTGTGCATGCAAGTGTCACACACTAACACCATCCCTCCTCAAAATTTCTGATATGCGGCCAGATGACCAGTAACCTATTAGATATAACAGATCGGGGCCATCAAAATCTCCATGCTTTTAAGCTGGGCATAACTGACATAACACTTCTGAAAGCTTGGACATGTTCATTGTAATCCATCCATGGCCCAATCCATCCAACGGAATGCCACTAGTGCAGTGCTAGAAATTTGTCAGGACCCAGTAAGGAAATGCAAACAGAGTCTGCCATTGATCAGCACATTAAGAACTTTAATCAGTAGTCTCTCCTCTCAGCTTTTGGCACACTCACCGTCTGACCCTCCATTCAGCACCTTGCGCGGCGCACTCGCGGCTGTCGTGATGTCAAAGGCCTTCGTCAGCGTGCGCAAAGGCAGCAGTTGCCGCTGACAGCAGGAGGAGCGCGAGGAAGAAGCGCGCAGCAGCCATGGCTGATTGATCGAGAGTCTTTGGAGGAGGCCGGTCGCTCAGGTCAGGAGGACCTTTGCAAATGGATGTGAAGGGATATGAGATTCGGTATAGGCGCTGGGAAGATCACTTTGCTTGAAGTACCGTATGGTACTGCCTATAGTAGGACCTAGTTACTTCTGCTGGGGTTCTGCTTCACCGAGCATCAAACTATCTTTGACAAATTCAGCTGGAATCCGTATCTCGATCACGCCACGAGGTAATGCCATCAATGTCATCATTCATCTACTGACCTACTGCACTGAATCCTGATCTACTGATCTACCGATCTGCTGACGAATACACTGGCAGCCTGGGGCAAACCTAGCCGGCCGGGAAGGGACCCCGGCCGAATTGAGGCACCCCGCCGGCTGCTCAGCCGGCAGAAAGTGCTCACGCTTGCTGTGCCCATGGCCGGCCGCTAAAGCTAGGAACCGACTACAGCGCCGGCAGGACCGAGACGGGCGTGGGAACTCGCTCTAGCTACTGGACCGCGTAGGCGATGCTAATGGACACAAGGACTTGAGTGGCCGTTGACTAGGCGTGTGAGTCGTGACTGAAGATTCATGTACCCCGACCAAACAAACCAAATATACTAACCTGAATAATCACGCGCTCCACACCCAACCAACCCAAATCACCCGCCTAACCCCACCCGTCCCCCGGGCGCCTTTCTTAAGTCATACGGCTCTTAGGTCACACTTGCGTTACCAGCAGTGCTTGCCACGAACCGGTGTTTCAGCTGGACCTGGCCGGCAGAAATGACAGATCAACCGGTGCCGAAGGCACCCCACCGGCTCGACAGCCGGCAAAAAATGCTGAGCGAATAGGCAAAACCGGCGCCCGGTGCTTCAGCCTGTGTTGCCAGCCGGTAGAAATGTAGGAGGGCCGGTAGACAGCCGGCACCGGTGAAAGTTGGTGGCAAGCCCTGGTTACCAGAGTGGAGTACCGTACCGGTAGTCGCCAGACTCCAGAGTCTCGAGTCGGTTGTATGGAACCTGCAGCACGCGCCAGAGATTTGGACTTGAGTCGGTTGTTTCCAGAAATTCGTTGCATTTACTGCTTCAATGATTGCCGCAGTGCCGGGCGCCTTGGCGGCCGCGGGGACCCGGCCGCGCAGCCGGCCCGGGCTCACCGACCGACGCGCGAATCGACTGAGAGATTGGCGAGGAGCGGCCGCGCCGCCAAGCTTTGTGCCTAACTTGTGCTTGCATTGTCCATTGCATGATAGAGCTACAAGTATGTACTACAAGGGCCGACGCATTTGTGGCGAATTCTTTCAATCTCAACCGAATAAAATTTGAAGCTGCTAACAGCCAGCCTCGGCAACCGTACCATTAATTGCCATTTGCATGACTCCAGTACTAGCACTTACTTGCCTCAAAAAAAATTCGATAACGTGTCCACTGCCATAGGAAGCAAAATTAATTCTTTTGAGGTGCTATATTTTCTTTCCAGGTGCCGGCCATTGGTGGTGTTCCAGGTGTCTTATTCCAGCTGGAAATGACCTCCTTCAAATCACTTGAATATATAGCCTGCCATAAAGCTAGCCACTCGGGCGAACGGTTCAAGATCTAAGACAAGTATGCACCGTACTATCATGATCAATTCGTCCTGTACCGAAGTCGATGATCAATACAAGGCCCTAGAAATATCTTGGGGCATGAGAAGCCGGCCCAAGACAATTGAAAAGGGGACTCGGTTTGCATATCACGCTCACTGCCAACACGTGATGCCTGAGAGGTCCATAATATAAAACTTCGTCTGATTTCAACCTCCCAATAATTGGTGACATGCTTCGACTTAAGTAAGGCAATTGCGACTGCCGACACGGCCTCTGCAGCGTGCATAAAACTCGTCGATTGCATCCGACGAACATGTAGCAAGGACTACCCTCTGATGGCTTGATGGAACGCACAAAGACTCCTCTCAATGTGCCAGGGTTTGCGGGCTCCCTGGGCCTCAGTGCGAGTGACTACTCTGTCCGGCCGAGAGCCGGTTCATGTTGCTAGAGCTACCAAACTTCATAAGCGTAATTGGACTGAACGAAAAGTTACATGACTGCGCCGACGCCTACACTTTCGCGAGCAAATTTCACTAGTGACCAGCATTTAATAGATTGCGGCCGACGGCGTCTCTGACGGCTTCAGGGGCCTACGTTTATAAGCGTCACACGTGTTCTTCCTACCAAAACCAAGCGTGCTTAAATCTCAAAGCCGCAATTTTACATCGTTAACCAGTGACTGACAGCGTGTCCTCCCTGCCGATACCAAACCTTCAGCCATAAGTTGGGTCTTATGGCTGAAGGTTTGGGATGACTGACACCGACGGAAGTCATTGATCGATTACTATGCCGCTGACGTCAGCGCGACGTCAGAAGCGGTGCAGCCACGTGTCGGCGGTGCTGTGCAGTGTCCACATGGACATGTTGGCTGCTTGCGTCACCGTCTCTCGGAACTGGTCGCGCGCTCGCCTGTGCTTGCCGGCGGCCCACAATAGGCGCGCCTCGAAGTACTTTTGGTACACCCGCGCAAACACTGCGGCAGCACGGGAAACTATCATATAAGCTCACGTGTCGAGCTGAATCTTGCCGGGGTTTCTTTCCAGCCTTTCGGCTCCAAATCGGCTCACGCGTTCTACTTCCGCTCCAGTATATGTGACTGAATAGGACTTCTGTGACCATTACTCAAAGAAACGCAGTCAAGTGATCGACCGATTTGGTCGATTTGAAAATCTGAAGCGTTGAGAATACTAAGGGCGGGGTCTACGCAAATCTGGACTCCTCGCAGGTCCTTCGCAAATCTCCTTTTAGAAGAGTGACTAAGTGGTAGGGAAAACCACACTTCCGGGGTCTCGAATTATGCTTCGAACGATTTTTTTCATTGTGGATAAGTTTGTCTTTCTTCCTTGGGCATCCGGCTTCACTGCCAACTTCTGTGAGATACACTCTGACCCAGGCGGATAAAAACGTGCGCCCTAAAGGCTTGGGAGCTCGTTTCGACGGCTTACCCATCCGCCGACAGACGAAGTTGAAGTGCTTCGTCAGTGTCGCAATCTGATCCTCCCGGGCGGTCCTTGTGGCGCCACTTGGCAGCTCCACGAGCGAGTCCAGCAAAACCTCCATAACCGCGCAGGTCGCAGCAGGGGTGAGCGGGCAGAGCGGCGTCCCGCTCGCGAAGCGCGGCAGGAGCGCGGCCGCCCACTCGAGTGCGCGCACGCGTGCGCCCTGGCGCAGCAGCGCCTCGCAGGCGAAAGCCTTCGCCTGTAATCAACGAGCGCAATCAGTTTCATCAGTTTGCTTGCTGCGTGGAAGAGAATAAGTCATCTATTGTCAAGTTGGAATGCCCGAAAATAAAAGCGCGGGTAGAGTTTCAAATTGGTTTGATATCCACTCGGCTTACATCTGTCGTGGCGCTAGAAAAACACGCATCCAGTCACCTTATCCATCCTCCCAGAACTGATGGTTTCAGCTTCTTCATCCTTGCAACCAATCATAATCCAATTTCCCATCTACTTTATGAATTTTCAAGCCGCTACGAAGGAGCAGCGCCTACCTGCAAGCTGAGGTACTCGGCGACCTTCTCTTTGTGGTTCTGCTCTTCATACGTCGCCTCCATCTCCTCGTATATCCGTAATACCTCGTCATGTTCGCCGAGCGCCGCGGCCGCGGCCGCGGCTAAACAGGAGCCCCAAAGGTGCAACTCAGGATGATCCCTTCGAGCCTCGATCATGCGCGTGCCTTCTTGGAAGCAGAAGTTGGACTTGCCCTGACAAGCCAACGAAGAAATGTCAGCTACAGGCGCTAGAACTGTCCTGTGATAGTGAAAGGAAAGGCGTTCTGTATGATTTTAGAATCTTACAGAACGCGACGACGCGAAGGCACAGAGATTAGACGATGCACTTGAGGTCAGAACAAGAACGTGATGGGTGGTGACGTCTAGCGTGCTTGCAAGGAAAAGTTGCTGAAGGCCTGGAAACGAAAGGTCAAAGCAGATTCAGGCAATCCAGATTCTCCAAGAAGATGAAGCATTGTAACAGGTCACGGCCTTTCAGGAGAATAGAATTCTAACCAAGGCAAAGAAGAGACGACGTGGGAAAGCAGATTACCAGAGGCTACAGTTGAAGTACTCCAGTCAGAAGATAATGGAGGAAATGAACACGAAGGGACGTACGAAGGAGCCAGGGCCGCCAAGGAACGACGCAGCTCCGCAGCCGGTTCATAATGGGAAACGATACTTGAAAAAAGGCAAGATTCCAGGTAAGTAGAAGATTGAAGGACACTAGTAAAGAAGGTGACTGTCGCTCTGAAAGATGCTTATTTGGGGACAGCTACTCAGAGAAACACGAACAAGTTGCAAAGGAGAGAGCTGAAATTTCTGCCGGCCGAACCTGGTAGAGGAAGATCATGGCTCGACAGCAGTTGCAGAGGTCGACCTCCCGCTGACCCTGGCACAGCTCAAACACGTCCGCCGCATCGCACGCGTACTTATCCGCTTGGATCCACTGACCTGCGGTTAGAAGGGGGGTAAAGCCGGGTTAACAGCGGATCTATGATTTGAAATTCGGTCCGTGACAAGCGGTTTCACAGCCAAACACTTCCGCCGCATCGCAGGTATACTTATCCGAGGGAATGACCTGCGGTTAGAAGGCGGGTTAAGGCGGGTTAGGGCGGGTTAGCAGGTGGTTGATGGCCCGAAATCTCGGTCCTTGAGAAGGGGACCCAGTAACTAGGTTCTGTTCGAATGCGTCCACTGCGTAACGTGCGAACTTTCGGCCTGACCGCTGTAACCCTGAATGTCAAGGTCGGATTAGCGGCCGAGAACTAGGGTGGGAAGTCAATTGTCGTGGGAGTCAGTCTGTGACGGCTCTGCTTCGTTGAAGGCGCTTCAGTATTGACGAGAAGAGGGCAGAGACATCTGCGCTCGACGTCCTTCAGCCGCACCGCCTTTTCACACGTGGCGCGCCGCCTTTTCTCGCCTCCGAAAGTTTCTCCTTTCCTCAACCGCAGAAGCTTCCTCAAAAAGCGCGCCAGAAGCCAGGACCCCAAAGAGGAGAACGCGCATCCTTGCCAATGCAGACATTGTACGTAGTCGACACAGCCCTTGGCTTCCAACCTGGCACAAGCTTTCCGTTTCCGGAGCACCGTTGCTGATCCTGGGCGGTTCGATGCTCCCAAAATCCGAATCGTGCGGCTCTAAGGTTGCGTACCGGAGCTTGACCTTCAGATTGGGAAAATGGATACCGGCGTGTGCTAAACAACCCTTTTCAGTATCCGGAAAAGCGAACCAGCCAATGTAAAAGTTCAGAGTAAAGGCGCTGAGAGCCGATTCTCACCGTGGTACAGCGCGGTCAACGCGACGTTGTAGAAGATCTCCGCCGCTTGGACACGTGGCGTGGCCATCTCCGATTGACACTTCTCCAGCACCGCCATGCACTGGCTCATGCTCGACTCGGCCTCGTCGGGCGCGGCCGCGAGCACCGCGCACAGCGAGTACGCGCGCGCGACGTCGATCTTGAGCGCGGTCGTTGACGTCAGCACGCAGGTGAGGGCCTGCTTGCTCGCGTACATCGCGACCGCCAGGTCGTTCTGCGCGCGCGGAGAGGGGAAGAGATTAGCTGCCTTCAAATCTGACCCCCTTGTGACGTGAGCTGATAAGGTTCAACGGGGAGGCCGGTGGGACTCTGAAAACTTGCTGCTCAATACGACAATTCTCGGATCAATTGTCGTCTCTGGCCGGTATAAGAATGTCAAAAGTAAGCAGAGACCAAGTGAGAAACAAACCTTACGACAAATCCTTCAAAGCGGAGAATGGCACGAGGCAGTCTGGACTGAGTAATTCACGCAACAAAGATGACGACTTCCGTGGATCTGCAGAATGAAGGCCAGCAACGGTTCAAAGACCCTTGACAGCCGTCTGCAACAGACTTTCTCGGCCAATCAAAGAGAGGACGGAAGAGGGGTAACGGTACGCACCGACGAGGCCGCCAGGCTGCCCAGCTGGTAGAACACGTGGCTCTTGAGCAGCTGCATGCCGGCGAGTGACGTCAGGTTCTCCATCGTGCCCTTGCGCGCCTCAGAAACCTTCTTCAGCGACTTCTGGGCTTCCAGGAACTTGCGCGGCACGATGTGCTTCAGCCCCGCGCCGCGGCACCCGCAGAACCGCCAAACCCTGAACCTTCGCGCGCGGAACGACGCGACGCGGGGCCAGGCGGCGGGGACGTGGACGCCGATCTCCTGCAGGCCACAGGATCGGGATCTCAGGGACTCACGGTTTTACGAGTTTCTCAGCCGTGAACGAACCGGAATCAGTAGTGTTAGAAGTTAAGGTAGAGAAGATAGCCCTCTTTGGTCGGATGCTCTGATAATGTGTCCGTGCATCTCTCCTTTCGAAGCACTGGGTTTCTAAGCGGCCCCACACACTCGCTAAGCTGTATATCTAGTGGACCAAGACGCCCATCGGTTTTCGATCTGCTCTTTTATGACTTGCAAACAGTATTTCTTGCAAGAAATTGCCTGGAGTATGCCGTGCCTTAACCGTCATCCAACCGCACCGTTATGCACTTCAGCTGTAACTGCGACAGACAGACAGACAGACTCCAAAGAGCCGAACACAAAGAAGGTCCAAAGAAGGGGTCGACCTCGCTTTTAAGAGCCCACCTGCAAGGAACGCTTCAAATGTTCCATGCTGGAATCCAGCTCGCCCAGCGCCGCATGCGCATAAGCGATGTGCCGGTGCCACGTGCCGCGCTGCGTTTGGTCCACGCGGTCCATCTGCCCCATCGTATTACTCAGATGCAGCGCCTCCTCGTAATAGCGTATGGCCGTCCGGTACTGTCCGAACTTGAACAGCGCGTCGCGCGCCGCGCGCTCCCAGTAGAACACGGCGTTGTCCGTAACGTCGCACTCTAGATCCTCCACGTCTTTGCAGGCTTGCGTGTAGTGATGCGCGATGCTGACGCACAGCAAGTCCAACTCGGATTCGCGGGCGACCAGCTCTTGGGCGACGTCCAAGTGGATCGTGCGGCGCTGCTTTGACGGGAGCATCGACGCCGTAACCTCCATCGTAACCTGCGGGTTAACGCAAGACTTTTTGAGTTTTCAAGTTCGAGTCTTTGCAGTGGCCGGTATTTGGGCGACGTCTCTGAGTGGATTGTTCAGCGCTTTTTCGAGACGCCTTCACCTGCTCTGGATTTCCACGGTCAGGCTATCTGTGTAATCCAATCGGCTTAAGGGCGTCATCTTTTCGGCGGCGTCTCTTCGAGAGTTGCAAGTTTCGAGTTCGATTTTGTCGAAAACCAAAGAGACACGTTCTAGCCTGAATGGAGCCAAAGATGCACAACTTCGAAACTCGTTCAGCGACACTTTACTCCGAAGGCTGAGTCTGAGCACATCCCGCGGCAATCTTAGCGAAGTGGTTCGCTCAATCGCTTCAAAAGCCTCACCGAATTGCTGAAGTGGTACGTCTTGCCGTTCTCCGCCTTTCGGACCGTCAGGAAGTTGAGGTGGTCCAAGTCGTCCAGCGTCCGCAGCAGCTGCTCGCGTGTGATCGCGGTCAGGCCGTCGCGCACCAGGTGTGACGTCAGCACCGCGAGCAGCAGGTCCGCGTCGAAGTCCATGCCGATCACGCTCGCGAGCTGCGCGCGCGCAAGGAATGTGGGGGATAAGAAACTGCTTTGACTAGATACGCTGCGTGCATTCACGAACAGTCGCTAACGCCCGAATATCGGATGAGAAAACCGGGAGAAAGTTCATAAATGTGTACACGCCTCGTGAGGGAAGGAAAGCTGTCGGAGGACGAGAGTTCCGAGCAGGTCTTTGGGTCACGTCAATCGCTTGTAGCCCATAAGATAGGCATTGTAACGGTGCCTTTCTCGAAACAATATCTTTGGCCAAACCTCATTCTTTGCGTCTGTAACGCCCTTCAGAGGTAGAATATGTCTCCAGATGCGAAACGTCAGGTCTTCGAAGACGCCAAGAGGGGCCCGCGCGCGCGCGCGCGCGCGCGCTCACCTTCAGCACGTTCGTCTGCAGGGGCGCGAGCAGATCGACCCTGCTGGTGATGAGCGCTTCCACGGAGTAGCTGAAGCTGTACGTGTCGAGATCGAACTCCTTGCTGACGTGGCACGCGCCGTCGGCCGCCACGCGGATGATGCCCTTCTCCAGCATGGCGCCCGTCATCTGCTCCACGAACAGGGGGTGACCCTGCAGGGGCAAAAAGAAGGGGGGGTTTGGTGTGAATGTGGTCAACGATCAGCCTCAAAAGGGAAAGAGGGCCCCAAATTTGATTGGATCGGTACCTGAAGTCTTGGGATGACTGCGCATAGCTACCATGGGAGTCTTGGGAACACAATCCGCTTCTAACAAAGGCACGACGCCGCGTTGCAGCACGTAAATGGATTTTGCGAGCGCCGGAAAATTTATCCATCAACCTTGCTGGAGTAATTTGTGCACACGACTCTCAGTCAAAGACCACAATGTTGCTCTGAGCCAGTAAAAACCGCTGACGTCCCAGACCCGCCCCGCTTACGTGCGTCTTGCTGTAGATTGCGTCGAAGACGCTCTCAGGGATCCCCCGGGGCTTCTCCGTCGGGCACACGCGCTTGCAGATCAGCGCACGCGTGTCGCTCGCGGACATCTCGCGCAGGAAGATCTCGGTAGTGCTGGGTGACGCCACCACGGCCTGGTAGTCGCGCGCGCCGCGCGCGTCGGGCGCGAGCGGCCGGCTCGCGAGCACGCAGAGCACGCCGCTCGCGGGCTCTTCGCTGATGGCTTTCAGGACCGACCAAGACGGCTCGTCCATTGCCTGCGGGGTTTGAGGGTTTTAGGATTTTAAAACAAGTTGCAATCATTCACAGGAACATTTGTATGCCCATCAATAGCTTGATTGAATCAACTTTGGGGAGACTTTTTGTTAGGTAGGATTCCGATCGTCCCTTTCAGTGTTTAGCGGTTTTGGTACGAGGCCCGCGGTTGGCTGCAGGCTGGATGTTCAAGGGTTCGGGGAATGTACTAATACTTTGAGGGTTGAACCTCGCGAAAACATGTGGAGCCTTACAATCTCTGCGTGGGCATTGTGGAAACGCTTCAAGAAGTTTGCGTTGAGCGATCCAGCGGGAAGTATCTTCCAAAAATGGTCACGGAAATGCTGGGTCGCGGTACTAGTTGGAACAGTGCATCCCGAACAAGGCCTTCATTCATTTTACACGCGGCTGATTCTCTTCGTACGAAGTCTCACTGCAGTGCCATTGGTTCCGTGCCATCTGTTCTTTTTGACCCGTCATTTTTGGAGCAGGCTCGGATTCAAACCGACCTCTTCTGGGGCGCCTGACCAGCGATAAAGTGGGTCAGAGCAAATAACAGTAGGATAACTGGCTCGTGCAAGTTGCCGATAGCAAGCAGGGTGCCTTCAATGACCTCGCGAACGAAGCAGACCACAATCCCAAGCATCAAAAGAACATAAAAAGGTCCAATCGAAAGTATTCACGACGGAGATCACCTTCGCTTCTTGGAAGACGAGCACGCAGCGAAGCCAATCTGCGAAGCAGTCGAGGGATGCGTGGATCGATCAAGACAACATTTTTGTTCGAATCGAAGGCTTTTTCCGGGAAACTCACGTGCGCGTCTTCGACGACGAGCACGCAAGGCGCCTTGATGAGCGCGAGCACGAGGTGCTTGAGCAGCGTGCACATCTTCTGCGCGCGCAGCTCCGCGGACGCCACCTCCTGCACCGGGGCGATCTTGAGCAGCCGCTCCACCCGGGTCACGTGGCCGTCCGGCCCGGACTCCTGCGGACAGAATCCGGATCATGAAGTTCGTCCGCATTGTCCGGTTCGGTGTTTGAAAAGAGATTTCAGGGAATCCGATTGTGAGCAGCCGCTTCTCCGCCGCGGTCACGTGGCTGGAGAAGCGGCTGTTCGCTGTTTGTGCGCGCGCCCAGGCGCACATCTGCGGACGGATGTTGAATATGTTCTGTCCGAATCGATGCCGTTTTGAACTTCGAGAACACTTCTGCGATTTGGAACTATCGACGGAAGAAACAAGTCAAATACGAGACCTGCGGACGGAATGCCCAACCAATCCGCTTTGGTGTCATGGAAACAACTTTGTGACTTCAATACGTCGATATAAAGAGCGAGTCAATCTTCGGCACCCGATCCACGGGGTTCACGTAGCTGTGCGCGTGCGCACAGCTGCGGCAAAGTGCGCGCGCACGAGGCAATAGCCGTTCAAAAAACTTCCGGAAAACTCAAACGGGAAAATTTGATCCCCCGACCAGACCTATGTTGTCGATTGAACAGGCGCTGATCTTGTCTCAACACCCTTGTGAATGATCGCCGGCGGTCTGATCCACCGGATCAGACCCAAGAGCGCATCCCTCGAGGAGTGCAACAGATTTTACTCACCTCACGGATCGTTTGCCCCGGTCCAAACCGCAAGCCATCTTTGAGACCGGGACTAGCCCCCCCCGCGTGCGTCATGAACCGTGACCCGCGCCGTCCCCGCACCGGGGCCTCGTCTTCCAACAAATCAGGGGTGTTTCCCGCAGAGATTTCAACCCGGGGGGGTGCGATCTCGGTGTGGTCATACCCCCCCTCGGCCATGGTGGAGTACCGAGCCCCCCGCCGAGAATTCATCCTAAGCGCAGCGCCGCTTAACCTGGGAGTACCGGCATCGGATGAGTGTCCCTCCCATTCGGGGGTCTCGATTACAGTGCCCGGTAGCGGTGGTAAGCCCCCCGGGGGGATGTTTTCAGGGTCGGGACTGTCCCCCCCCCCGGGCATGGACATGCGCCTTAAGGGCCCCCGCAGGTTTTGCAACTCGGACTCAAGCAGGCTCATGCCGCGCCCTCTGCGCTTCAGCGACGCTTTTCGTGAGAACCTCCGCTTGCCACGTTGCCGCTGGTCGTCCGTCGGATCGTCTCCCGGCGCGCCCGCGGGCGTCGGAGGCTCGTCGGCAATCGGGGGAAATCGCCCGAGCAGATTCATAAGGGCCGGGGCGTTGTGCTGAGGCGTGGGGGCGTGACTCACACTCGGAGTTTCGCTCGCATTAAAGTCGCGCCCAGTGCGGGACGGACTGTTCGGTGTGACGCTCTGCGGGGCGCTCATTTTGAGAGCGTCGTTCAGGAAGTAAGCTTGACTCTGTAGCAGACTAGGTAGGTGCTTGACCACGGCTTGCCCCCGCTGCTCAGGGGAAAGCTCCGGGGGCAGCTCCAATGCGCTGAGCACTAACCGGATCCACGGCCCGAGCACTTGCTGACCCAACCCGCCAGAACCTCCTGACGTCATCACGACCTGCACCTCCGGGTTCTGCGCCTCGACCTGCGCGCGCATCATGCTGATGAGGCTCGACTTCCCGATCCCCGCCTGGCCCAGGATCAGCACCACGCCCGCGAGCGTCGCCGCTGACGTCATCGCGCGCGCGGTCGGGCTCGCCGGCTGCGCGAAGCTCTGCGCGCGCGGCGTCGGCCGCAGCGCGCCGTCGCGCGAGGGCTCCATGCTGGGCGACTTGAGAGGGGCGAGCACCAGCTTGTGTTTCGCCCGAAAGGACTGCCCCGGGTCCTCCATCGCACTTCCGCTGATCAACGATCCGTAATCCGCAATGGTTCCGGAGGACTCGTCCTGGGCGGTGGACCGCCGGATTTTCCGGCCGCTGGTCGAGCCGCGGTCGCGTTTCAAGAGGGTTTTGAGGCGAGAAACTTTGGCCAAGAGAAGCGTGAGCTCTTCCTTGCGGCCGACTAAGAGGAGTTGAGAGAGGGACTCCGTTCCCAGGAATGAGGAATTCTGGGTCAGGGCGTGACCCTTCTTGCCGTCTCGGCCCTTCAGACCTGCGCGAATGAAGAGGGTTTCGTAAGCTGCGGCAATCGGAAGCACGTGAAGGGCACAATAAAAAGGCCCAAGCGATCCGTGCGCTGAAAAGAACCTTTAGAAAGAAGTGACAGCAGATCTTGGTGTTCGATCAAGCAGCGCCTCCATCGAGCGCCTTCTTCGACCGCAGTTCGACCAACCTCAAAAAGAACCTCAGAAGATCAACATGACAATCTTAAAAAGACGGGCTATGCGCTGCAGTTTGTCTGAGCAATTTGAGAACCTCAACGGGGGTCGCTGCCGCTGAGGGCACCTACCAATCTGGCCGACAATTCGCAAAATAGATGTTACTAGCGGCTGAGAATTTGGACACGGAGAGCCTAGCGTCTCCGATACGTACCGACGGGTCTGTACACGTCCAGCGGTTGCTTCTTCCCTTTCACGGCCATCGGAGGCAGTGCCACGTACTCTATCGCTGTGTTGGTGGCATCGTAAGTGGCCGAGTCAATCAATACCTGCAGAACGTGCAATGAGAACCTGACATTACTGCCTCGCAATTTTATCCCGATGGTTTCTGTACGCCGCCTCTCTGTCAAAGTTGAAGAACACATGGAACAATTTCTGATCCAACGGAGAGGGAGGCCGTGTTTGTTGCACGGAGGGTCTGGTTTAGCGTGTGACAACGATAGATATGGATGGGCAATTCAAAATGATGATACAAAATCGCCCAAAAGGTGACAGCGAAACAAGAAAAAATCAATAAGGCTCTAGAAAAAGGTCCTACATTGTAGCACGGACAGCAGATTCGAGCTTGACAACCAGCAAAACAATTACAGGTGCCAAAACGTCATTTCTCAGAGCGAAGAAACGAGCGCATATTCCTGAGTGAAAGAGTATCTATCAAACTTTTACTGTGGCCTTCCGTTCCAAAGTCCGCTCCCTCGGTTTGGAGTCTCCAAGACCAGTCATATATATGTGCAACATTATAAGGGGCATCCCTCACCTCGTCCGTTGCTTTCTTCATCAGCCGCGCGCTCAGGTTGATCGAGTCGCCGTACACCGTGTATTCACACCGCCTCCGGCCGCCCACTGTCGCGCACAGCAGCTTGCCGGTGGTAACACCCGCGACGCCCATCTCCCCTATCGCCTTGAGCTTATCGCGTATGGTCAGCGCCGTTTTGACGCCCCGCAGGGGGTCGTCCTGGTGAGTGTTTCCGGGCAGGCCAAACGCGGCGATCATGAGGTAGCCTGCACAGCGCAGATCATGGCCGTTGGATATCGGTATTAGACGGATCGTTCAGATGCTCAGGAGGGGGCCGTCGCTTGTACTTATCGATGGCAAGAGAGTAGATAAGACAGGGTCCCGGCCAGGGAGGTTGAGATTATTTTTGCGGAAACAGAAACTTAGATGTTGGAACCCAATTTTCATGACAACTCAGTGGATCTTTCGCAGAGGTCGAGAGCGGGAACAATCTCGCAAAGGCCTTTCTGTTATGCGCTGGGTTCTGCTTCAAGAAAAAGACGAGAACCGTTTTCCTCTGCAGTCACCGTTACGGATTGCTAAAGCACTGATGCATCGTACTGAAACGCTGGCCCGCTGACACTTGGATCAATCGATAACATTGATCGGTTTTGTTGTTTCGTCAAAAAACACCCCGCCTGGCGACCGTGAAGAAACGACCTGCCGGACAAGCTCTGGGTCGACCATAGAGCAATCTCAACTTCCCACTTTACACTAAAATTAACCCACCTTTCTCGTCCATCCGCATCTGCAGGAGGCAGCCATCCGTCGCCGCTAGGCACTGCTGCACCGTCGTCAGCACCGTCTGGACACGTGTCAGCTGCGGGGGCCCGCCAAGTGGCCCCGGGTCCGACAAACTCGGGAGCCCCAGAAAGAGGCACGTGCAGCGCCTGATCTCGGCGAGGGCCGTTGTGCTGCTGCTGCTGGCCTGGTTATGGAGCAACCGTGTGTATACGCTATCCGGGATGTACGTCCGGAGGCCGCGCACGATCGCGGCCGCGACATCCGGCTGGGCAGAGAAAACGCGCGAGAGATTTGAAGCTTGTTACCAAATACATGATAAGATTCACGCATTCGTATAAAATGCAGGGAATCTTCCTAGCAACAATTACCGAACTTTCCTGAGAAGCAAAAGCCAAACCTTCCGTTATGAAGAAATATGCGTTCCGGATTTGCTGTTCCGATCCTATACGACCATCACATTGGACTCGAATGCTGACTGCAAGTTCAAGTTAATATCAAGACTCAGCTTCCTCTTCCACATCTCACTGTCCGCGATAGTTTTGAAAATGACAAACAGCAGACCTATCAACGAATGCGCAGAACGGAAAATACATGTGGTTTAAGAATGCTGGAGTTATCCGCAAAGCTCGAGTTCTTACCTGGTTAAACTCCAGGATCTTCTTCTGTTCTGGAATCACGATCCGACCCAGCACCCGATTCAGCCGTATAAACCCGTGCTCTAAAACCTCCCCATCGCACTCTTTCCCAATTAGCGCCCACACTTCAGGGGACAAGATGACGTTGCCCGACGTGGCAAAGTGGTCGCACCCCTTGACCTGATCCATCGGCTGACGCAAGACGACGTCAGGGGCGGTAGGATCTTGAGGGGGGTCCGCCATAAAGTACTCCCAGCGGGGGATGCCGGACTTCAGCTGTGGCTCCCCCCCAACATTCAGGATGCGCACCTGAATTTAGATCAAAGATTTGTTAGGACCTGGTAACCAGGAATTCCTTGTTTAAAAGGGAATTTTCAACAAAGAATCTCTTCCTTAACCCTAGACTTGACAAGTGAAAGCCATGTTGTTTGATCTGCACAATATAGTTTGTTTCCATCGATCGAGACAGTCCACTGTCACCACTCTAGAAGTGAATGAACACGCTTTCTTACACTCGTCATTTGCCGCCTCCAAACAAGCATCGGATCCAGAGCTTGACGCGAAACACCGGTACCAAGAGGGTTTCGCTTGGTCAAAAAAACACTACCTCCCCAACCCCGACCATCACTTTGAGCGACAGAGTCAGCGGCGCTGCGATCTCTTGGCTTGTGGCCACAGTGGTCTCCCGCGACTTGCTGATACTGCGCGGCAAAGAGAGAGGAGACGCGTTCAATGGTGTCATGAGCTGACAGACTAGCTCTGATCATAGCGACCTCGGCTTCAATCCGCACAAACGGCCGCTGAACCGACACAATGACGCGCCAAAGATTCCTCCGCCGCGAACGGCGAATCGAAAGAAACGACGATTTTGTCCCCCAACCGAACTCTTGCCAAAGGAAGGCCCAGCAATCTATACAGTCTGCTTACCTCATCGTTTTCGGAAGGGGAAACGTCTTCCCCAGATTCAACCCCCTCGTTTGGCGCGTGGCCTTCGACTTCACGATGGTCACCAGCTGGGCCATCGTGATTGGCTTCATGAGGAAGCCGTCCATCCCCGCGTCTAAACAGCCCTTTTTCGCCTGGTCCTCGAGCTGAGCGGTGACCTGTCGCACGAAGAATTAGAATTTTTGAAGTTTTGTTTCTATAAGAGTATATTTATTTATTCTGAATTTACTCGTATCTCTTAAATTGAGAACCCGGGCTGATAATGATAAGTGTTCCACCGCCGCATTGAAACAGTTCTTCTTGGCCTCGTCCTCCAACCGCGCTGTTACCTGACAGCAAGAGGTTCCTAGTCCTGTTTTGCGATTCTCGCTCTTGGGTGACATAGTGGCTCAAACAATTACTTTGTGCGGAATCCCCTAGTGTTTCCTATCAGCCAATGCTTGCCCCAATCATCCAACTGCACTCTTATCAGTGGATTCATTGGATTCAAAGCAGCAGAAGCCCGCACACTCAGTCTTCCATGCGCTAGAAACTAGGTAAGGCTGAAATATCTCACCGCAGAGATGAACGTCGGGCGCGCCTGTGGGTCTTCCAGCTTCCGGATCTCCCGCGTCGCTTCGTACCCGTCCATGACCGGCATCAGCAAATCCATGAAAATCAGCGGAAAGTCGTTCTTCGAAAAAGCCTCCACCGCTTCCTTCCCGTTGTTCGCGTGAACCACTTCGCACCCCAGTTTCGTGAGCATCTTGGACAGCACGACCCGGTTGAGAACGATGTCGTCTACTACCAGGACCTTCATCGCTTGGTCGGCTTTGTTGAGAGTGGACGCGGGGCGGAACGCACCGATCGTGCTGCTCATGTCTTCGTGGCTGCTGTGATCGGTGTCGCCGTAACCCCCAAGCTGTTACAGGACGGGTTAGGGCAAATTAGCTTCATTACGACGGTCATTCATGCTTATTCGAGAAGGAAAAGCTTCTTTAGAGACGCATGTACTTGTTTCACGTGTGACTGCTATTGTCTGCCGATCTCTTTGCAGCTGTTGTAAAACGGACAATTGTACGCATCCTGCGGATCGAAAGGACAAACGGAGGGAAGTGCAGAAACCCGTTTAGAATTTTTGCCGTGCCGGCGCTGCTTCATAACGCCTTAGCTGCCGCAACTGAAGATGCGGCGTTTATATTCAGAGCGTTAAGCTGTTTTCGTCTTTCTCTCTTCCTTTCAATCCCTTGTCTCCAACCTTTGCTAAGCTCTGGCCAGTTGAACTTGAACATCTGATCCTACTCCAAACAGTTGCTTGTAGTGTGTCGATCCAAAACGAACCCTGCCAGCTTTGAAAAAGTGTCTGCTTGGCGTATCAAGAGCTTTCCTTTCCTGCGTGACAAAACGCACAGGAAGCTCACCTGGGGAGTATAGGCGCCAAGCGTGGAAACCAGATCGAACCCGCACGCTGCCGCTCGCAAAGTACAGGCCTCCGGAGTCTGCACAAGGATTCAAACAGGTGAGGTATAGTGTAAGTTTCTCGTTATGCCCTTCGAAACGCGGGTTTCATTCCGAGAATCTGTCAGCAGGCCCTTCTTTCAGATACTCCGAAGCAACTTTCCAAACCCTTCTGATAATTGCTGTGGAAAATGAGTGCGCTTCAAGGTGAATTCAGACCCGATTGGCAGACGCAAAAGCTAGCGGGTTGCTTGATGTAGGCTGTAGCTCATGAGCTCTGCACGTCAACACCGCAGGACAAAGTCTTGTGAGGCTGTATCACGTCTCTGGTGGACGAATACATGCATCTCGAGTACAGAAAAAAGTTATCAAATCACAGTAGGAACGGATTGACAGCATTTCTGCAGGAGGGAAGAGTCGGCGAGCAGAGCAAATGCAAAAGATCAGCAGACATTGACAGGTCGGGTGTTCAGTCGTTCAGAGGACAGCGATATGCACGTGCGATGTTCGCATAGCGCTTACCTCCTTGGCAGCTCTGTTGACCGGGAATGCAACTATCAGGGAGTCCCCTGCAAACTGCACAGACCAAGGTGACAGGGTTTTCGTGAGGAAGCCGAGCATGTGGGGTGATTAGATAGTGAGCCAAAGGCACAGCGATTGTAGCTCCAGCCGAGAAGTGAACTGTTTTCATCGCAAGTGAACGGCTGTCCACTTGCTAGTCTCGAAAACGGCTGAAACGCAAAACAGTGAAGCCTGCTAGTTGAGCTTACCATGATGTTATCGCCTCAATAGTGTCGATGGCCTTGTCAAAAGTACTTGTTCCTGCAACTTAAAATTTTCCAACGTATAGTTCTACCATAGGATTCTTAAACACTCTGGAACTTCTGGATCTTAGAGCTTGAATCTATCGCGTACATCCTTCAACCCTCACCTTGATGATGTCGCCGCCATAGTCAAAGACCATGTCAATGGCCTCGTTGAAGTAGTTGTTCATGCACACCGTCAGCTCCTCCACCAGCTCCGTGCCCCGCTTCGACGTCAGCGCGCGCTCCGTCAGCGGCGTGAAGCCGGTGACGTCAGCAATCATGATGGCGGCCATGAACGAGTTGACCGTTGCCCGGCTGCTGAACGCCTCTGTTTGAAGTGAGGGCAATCCTTTAGTGCGGGCGCGTTTTCCGACTCTCTTCTTCTTATAGGTTTTCTGCGTCAATGGCATGCAAGCCGCCGGGCTTCCCTGAAGCTTATGGGGGCGTGCGGAAACGGGAATCGCAAGGTGGACGAATCCATTTGCAACTCACGAGCTCAGCCTGAGAACGCCAGCTGCGTTGGAAAGGTCATCAAGCATGTGTTCAAAGTCGCGCACTTGAACGCAGCCCGCTGGCACTTTGAGACTCGGCCTTCAACTGTACAACCGTGCTGTGATTTCAAGTCTTCTTAACAAGTGGACTCCTCTCGAAACGACGAGCTTGCAAGCGTGGGGCACAGGACTCTGTTCGAATCACTTACTGTCCTTCTCGATAGAAGAAGGACATCGGGGCAACGTTCGGCGTAAGTCATCTGAAAGAAGGTCGCCTGAATATATCTCATCTAAACAGTCCATGAAGCACTCATTGGTTTACTTGGAGTGCGCAGTCCTCTCACGGTCTCCCAATTGAAGAATTGGTTCATTTTGACCTTCCAGAAGGGAGACTCTGAACGCGTGCTTGCACGGCTTAGAAACACAATGGATTGATTGATAAGCCAGATATACCGCAAGCACTGAGCTGATCAGTCAGCCAACTTCGACAGATGCTTACCTGGCTCACTGGCAGCTGCCTGGAGCAGCAGCTTTGGGACGAATGACGAGAGCAACCGGAGCATGTCCCCCGGGTTTGCAAGCTGCTCTGTGTCAAGACCCGCCAACCGCCCGGTAGTCCCATCCGCCCATCCAGTCGACGAGGCGCTCGACCGTGATTGACTTCGTTCCAGAATGCTGATCTGCGAGTCCCGAGACAACACCTTCTCCAATCCTACCGAGCTGCGGGAACCTGCTCTCTCTGCACCGCCTGCTGGTTCTACTGCTCTTGGCGCTGCTTCTGACGGACCAGTTGAGACCTCAAACACTTTGACGGCCGCAGCGCCTGGAGAGTCTAGGGCGGAGCTGTTCTGGCGCGAGAGTGCAGCGGACGGACCAGGGACTGATTGCGTCATCGACGATGTGCGCCGAGAGCCGTACTCAGACTCGCCACCGATTGATATGCTTTGGCTGAAGTCCGAATACCGGCTAGAGTCTGACGCTCCGTCTGACGTTCGTTTGGCTGGGAGCGGCTGGCCGTCGATATCTGGCGAGGAGCTTTGTGGAATGTTGATGAGATCAATCTCCAGCACAGCTCCATTCAGAGCTGAGCTAAGTGCACGGCTATATTTATCTCCATCCCTAGATGCTGTCTGCGCACTCTCTGCTGCCTGTGTCTCTGCATAGGGGAAGATTTGGCCTTGCTTTGCACCCTTCAGTCCATCTTTGATCGCCGCCTCTGCTGGATTACCGCTGACTGGAAAGTAGTCATAATCCTCGCTGGCCTCTATATCCATCTTAGCGGACGCTTTTGGAGTCATGGTGGACCAATTCGGTGCGCCAAGTGCTTAATAGCTGCTGAGGGCTTATAAGCTGTGAGGTGCGTTTTAGTCCCCGTGTGCTCATCAGCCCCTGCCAATAAACCCCATGCCAGTATGTTTACCCTGCCCCTATGCTGTTCCATGTAGTTAGGATGTGTCAGCTATGATTGCAGGGTAATGTAAGATAAGCTTGATGGTCCAGAAGATCAATCAGCCTGCATCCCTCTTGTCCTTGCTTCTAAAGCAGGCACAGCGGATGAAATCAGCGATCAGAACTACCCTGAAGAGTCTCCACTTCAAGTAAACTGTTATGGTCATCCCCTCAGCAAACTTGCATTGCTTGCATGATCAAGTACACCCACCCAACTGATTCGATTGGTCGCAACTCCCTTCTACTAAACTAACTCTGCAGTCATCCTTCATGCAAACCTTTTCTCCGCTTCACTTTCCTCCTTGATTGATCAGTTTCCTTAGCGTTGGCAAAATTCTCTGCGCTGATCTTCCGCCATAGCCTTCCACCATTCGCCTTCTCAGATATCTTTTGAAAGTTGCCTTCGAAGTATGGAACATGGAAAGAGGATGGGGGCGATCGCGCAGCTGAAACCACTTTGCAAGTACCCCAAATGCGCCACCTTTGCAAGTCACAAGCCTGATTTCGGCGATCCTGCATCGATCAGCAAATCGTACCGGACACCCATTGTTAATTGCGACACACTTGAGAGCATAATCATCACTATAGAGAAGCTCCGCAGTTGCAACCACCATGCGACAACCTTCTTCATAAATTTCTCACATGTGAGCTGAGCTGCGGCTGACGTTTCAAATTCTTCTGACACCGCCAGCTAGCGGGGATGTCGGCGCCCTTGCGACGAGAGACCGCCATGTCAGAGTCACGTGGGCGTCGTGCAGAGAGCTCACAAACTAAGCTGGGCCTCTAGTTTCAACTGAAATGTACTCGGTTCATTGTATTTTGAATAGCCTAGCTCAGCTGCTGCAAACTGTGTTTCACTAACGAAACCGGCGAAAAACCCTAGGTAATCTACCTCACACGCCACTTTGCACTCTTAAACCACTTTAACCCAAGCATTCGACCCTTTGTTTTTTCCGGCCGCTCATGCTAGCATGATTGGTTGTTGAAGTGTACTGCCAGAAGGAGGTCCAGTGCGCACAATGCGGCGACAGCTTCGGTACTGACGGATGCAGGATCTGCTGCACGCAAGCGAAATGATGCACTGGCATATCTCCGAAACCGTATTACGTTAAACGGCCAATGCGCGCGCAGATGTAACGGTGGAGCTTGCAACCGTACGATCCATTTCAGACATTACCTTGAGCCGTACGATGAGCAAGAAGACTCTCCAACTGTTGCTAGGCACGTTTCGCGAGGAAGCAGGCAGCTAGCCAGCAAATTGCAGCTCACGAACATTGCTGAGCTAGCAGGCCTAGCGCTGTAGTAGGCACCGAAACGAAGAGCTCAGCCGTGGGAAGCCTTGAGGTTCTCTGCCGATTCTGCTTGTCAAGTAGCTCCTTTCTTGAAGAGCAGCAACGGGTGGAGGCACCAAATAGCTCCTCAAGGTAGTGGGCCTTGTGCTCTGCTCTGATGTTCTTCAGCTGGATTCCAGAGCTTCATCCTTCAGTAGCAGAGGCAAAGAACTCCACGCCCCAACATGATGAAGGGTGCGAGCAGCTCAAAGGGCTACAGCCCCACCCCCCTGAAGTTCATGTTCTCAGACTCCAAGTATGCACGCCAATCAAAATACTCGCTAGCTGGTACGTTTTTGCTGGGGATAGTCTGTGGATTCTTCATAAGCTGGCACAGATCTCCAGCTCTAGTCTCGGGTCCAGCTCAGATCGCTCTGGGGTCTTCCGTAGCGTCCAACATCAGGGTTCTAGACGATGAGCTCTTTCTGGGGCCCCAGGAAGGCGATCAGCGGCCGGCACGTTTGGCGAAGTGAGGGCTTTCTGCATCCGTATTTTGCAAGCAGGCGTTTTGCGGACATTTCAGGGAGAATTTGACAAATGCGAATGCAAGCAGAGTGAAGGAGTGCAGCTTCCTTGCTTCCAATGAGTGCAGCTCATAAGGCCGCTCGAATATGAATTCCGGTGAAATTAATAGCCGAAGGTAAGAAATGTCACAAATGGGCCTCAAACCAAAAGAAAGGCCATATAAGCAGGGCTGGAATTAGTCTCAATGTCTATTAGACAGCCATCTTTAAAGTCTCCCTACAAAATCCATGAAATGCCTGTCAAGAGGCCCCAGGTTTATAGAGGCCTGGGGCGATGCACTTGACAAACATTGCAATGAGCACCTTTCCTACTCAAGCTTCCGGCCTGCAGAACATGGTCAGTAGTTGTTGTTTAAAGGGTTGGATTAACCTGACACTGGTCCTCTTTACTTGTGAGCTGCGAACCTCAACACAGTCGAGACGTGTACCGCTCCGAAATATAGTTCACGCTTCCAGGTACGAGCTCAAAGCATCCGCGTACACCACCATTTGTGCACAAGAACAAAGATGCCTCTCCACCCAGAGTAAACCTCTGACGAGAAGTCGAAGTCCACGCGAGCAATGATCCAACGCGCTTTTTGTTTCAGGTACGAGCTTAAAGTCCCCGACTACCAGCACGTGTACGACAAGTCGTGGCTCGACGGCGGCTACCCCAAGGCAAGCTGCTGGGGCTGCCGCTTCGCCGCTGACGTCATCGCCCGCATTCCCGCGCACACGATCCTCGACGCCGGGGCCGGGAACGGAGTGTTGCTGCGCCAGCTTCGCGCGCACGGGAAAAGCGCGTGGGGGATCGAACTGAGCCAAGCAGTGCTCGACGCTGACTGCCCGGATCTGCTGGAAAGCGGGATCGTCAAACAGGGCAGTTTGACGAACCTGCCGTACGAGGATAACCAGTTCGATCTGGTTTTCTCCGCGGACGTTTTGGAGCACATCCGGCCGTCCGAGGTGGACCGCGTTGTCCAGGAGCTGGTGCGAGTCAGCCGGCGCCACCTGTTCTTAAGTATCAGTCTCAAGGGACACACAAAGGTGCGTATTTTGTTGTCAGCATAAAAGTGCAGCTTTACTGGTGCATGCTAATGGCTCGAATCACATTCAGCGTTGATGTTGCCATCTGCAATCCAAAAGAACAACCTTCTTTTCATTCAAACTACTTAACTCTAAGCCCATGCTGACGACTTTCAAAGGTCGGGTCACTTCGCCAGGGGTGAATGGTTTTAGAAGTCAGTTTGAGTTACAATCAAGTGGCGACGTCGACAGCATGCCGATCTCAGAATTTTTGGGCTCGTCAAAAGTTCGCATCGATCAACGCTAACGCCACTCCTTATGCCAATCATTGCAAAACACGCAGTCCTCGCTCAACGAATCACTCGCCGTCAGACACCCACCTGCAGGCCACCAATCCCTCATTCGTCCCGAAAAGACTGGAGAAACGAATATTTGCCACATTGAAGGCTTGTCACCGGTCGAACTAGAGCCGTGCATATGCTTTCCAGGTGCGCGGCCGGTAGAAAAGCGGAGTAATCATCCATTCCGGTAATCACTCGCTACCCCAAAACCTCTTTCCAGGCCGAACTTCCCTTCTTCGCCAAAGACGACTGGATGAAACGAAACCTGCCAAAGTAAAGGCTTGTCGGCCGTTGAATGAAAGCCCGGCATATGCCTCACAGGTGCGCGCTGGCAGTAATGAGGAGGCCAACCGGCACACGATGCTGCGGCCACGTCACTGGTGGGAGGCCAAGTTCCGGGAGCACGGCGCGGTGCTGAACCGGGAACTAGTATGGGCGCTCCAGGAGAGAGACGGGCACTTCACCGATAAAGATGTGAGGGCCTCTGTTGTTCTTTTAAGTTGTGACAATACTTTCTGGGCGGTACTGGTATGATCCTGCTAAGAAATGGATGGGATCTCAAGCGGAGACTTGTGTAGATAACGTCTCTTGACGGAGTAAAGTCATAAATTGCAAGGAGAGCGACGGGCACTTTAGCGTTTGATAGGAAAGGATCCTCAAATTTAAGCGGAGAATGCCCTGTTGACGGCTGTACTTTGCTTTCGTCGCTACAGAAAGGGCGCTCGGTCTGGTGCTGCATGAGAATCGTATGGTGACCGACCTTACAGACCAATAAAATGAAGCTGGACGTCTCGTGGGATCGGAGATGAAGGAACTAGGTGGCGTAGGTGTAGATTTACGTGATCTCAAACCTTATGTTCCCTAGAAAGGTCCTTGAAACATCATTCTTTTGAATGTCAATTAAAGGGACGACACTCTGACTTTCTGCGGTAACCCCTCCGAGCGAGCAAGGGGGAACTTTTGGCCATTTCCTTCGCTTCCAAAAGATTGAAATACCGTCATCTGCCGTTTAGTTTCTCGAGCCGAGGGGCAAAAAGAGGAACCACTTTCCGCTTCGTACGCTCCATTATCTACACAGTTGAATATTCTCAATTCGTCTCGCAAAAACGGTTTCCGGTTCCGTTTGCAGATGAGGGACTGCCGGACGGAAGGCGTTGCGGACGACGGTGGGAACTACCGGGTGTGCGTTGTGGACAGTCCGTGGCTGGTGGGCAGCCGTGATCAGGTGAGCCAGCACTTTGACGCGGCGACACCAGCAGTGACGCGCATTGCATATGGTCGCCCTCCTTACAATCCTGGTAACACCCATTTGTCAGCGGAGTCGTGAAAAGACTCGTCAATCAAGAGGGCACATCCTCCTCCCTAGGCGCGCATCGCACGTTTGATTTGATTGCCGATCCTGCCACATAAGCTCGTTACAAATCTGACGCGACCTGTCTGTAATCTCGAGTTTTTTTAGACATCGTCTCTTTGACGAATTTTCAACGGCCCACCACGATCTAAGCAACTGAACTCAAAGTTACGAGCGTTACGACTTGTGAAGAGGCCACAAGCAATTGCCGCCCCTCGATCAGGTGTTCGTGTGCGTTGCCGGAGAGCCCTAGACGCTCAACTGAGTGCGAAGGAGTGACTCGAAATGCATGGTATCCCGTTGCAGGAGAATCTGCGCAAGGACCGGTGCATCACTCCGGACAACGGGGAACTCGAGCCCTGGTTCTTCGCCTTCCGGAAGCTCAGGTAGCCAGACGAAGCGGTAATCGAACTTTGGAGGACTGTCAAACTGTGTTGGGATACATCTCAGTGCTTGGGCCCGGCGCGCGGGGATTGGAAAAATCAGAGCCGTCCAGGTGTGTAACATGTATCATTGCCAAGCTCGTTGGTTTTGTATCGTCCACCCGGTGTCTAGAGATTCCATGTTTTATGGTCACGATGATGCCGGTATGTATCGTTTTTAGAGCTAGTGCAGGTCAGATACTATTCCAAAGGTCTCAATGCTGTTCAAGCGCAGTGCTCGTACAGTCTATAACCTGAGGCACGATTTGAATCTATATCGCGATCGTTAATGCTGTGGTTTACATGCCTGCCGCCAACACCGCACGCGGTCATTGTGCGATCTAGTTAGTGCCCGGCCGCCACCCTCCTCCCTAGCTGATTGCGCCATGCAGCTGAGTTATCGAGTTGATTGCATGAGTTGGGCGACGTACCAGCCGCCGTGCACTGCATCTGCAGAGACTGATGCCTTATATAAATAGATGTGAGGCCGGCACTGAATCCGTTTCGGCCACACGACGTAGCCTGAGTCTGAGTACTGGTGGTTCATGCAACTAAACCATTTGATCATTCAAATTGGTTGAGCCCTCTATCATTAGCTCAGCTTACTAAGATCGAAGCCCGGTTTGGGCGGCCTTGTTGATCTATGAGTGATTTGGAAATCCTATGGAAGCAGATATAGAAGAACTTAACTTGCTGAGCAAACCGAAGTACTTAAAAAGCGCGGTGTCCCGTCAGGCAGGCTTCAACGACTTGCTCATTAACTCCAGAACTAAGAAATATAATCCTTATTTATAACGTCAACCGATACGTGCACCCTATGACTGATTCACACAACGTTATCGATAGAAACACAAATAATCGTTCCTCTATGCAAGATACCCTATGGCTATGGTTCTTAACCCGGGTACGGCCGGCTGCCCAGCTGCGCCGTCAGCGGCTCAAGCTGGTCCCTAAGAAAGGCATATGCCGCGTCCGTACTTCCCGCCACAAACCGGACCACTAACGCTTCCCCTCCGGCGACCTTGCTAAATGAAAGAGACAAAAGGCCCTGTACACTAGCGTCCGCAGCCTCCGCTTTCGGACGACTCCCCACCGGTCCGTTCGTTCCGCCGGACGCCCTACTGCTATTGACGAACGAGCCGTTTGTTCCGCCGGAAGGACCCTCCGTTCCGCCTGAAACTCCAATCTTTCCGCTGGAAGGTCTATCCCTTTCGCTGGACGCTCCGTCCTGTCCTCCAGACGCTCCGTTGTTTCCGCCGGACGGCTGTTCCGTTCCGCCGGACGATGGAAGTGCTTTGCCGGACGTTCCGCTCGTTAGGCCGGACGCTCCAACCATTCCGCTGTGGGCGGCACGTGCCGCAGCGAGGGCTCTGCTTTTCTGGAGGGCGACCATGCGCACTGGAAGTTGGTGCTCCAGTCGCCGTATCGTTTCTTTCACACGGGGCCTGCACGAATCAAAAACGGGAGATCAGAATCTTTCGTCAGGCGTAGCATGCTAGAAGGGTTACAACGTCTGATTCGTTTCGTAAGACCCGCGGGAAATTTTTAAAAAGCTGACTTTTACAACTAGGCTGGGCCCACTCGGAAACACTTTAGTCCGAGGACTTGCAATGTTTCGAAGAAGCGTGCCAACACCTTCATGGGCGACAAAGGATACGTCACGACCTACCGCTGCAAACCCACATAATCCAGAACAGATTCATTTCCTACTACCACTTCCCTTTGACTAGTTCTTTGCTCAGAACCCTTGATTTTATGCCGACGCTCAGCCGGATAATGACACGTGGCGCAGCACCGCTCACCCGATCAGCAGCATCATGCCAAGCACGTGCGCTCCCGCCATCCGATTCTTGACAGAGAGCCCCCGCCCGTTTTCCAGTCGCAGCTGCAAGACAACGGTGAGAGTGCGAGGACTGAGGACGATTGGCTTTTCAAGGAAACGAGGACCCTTGCGATTGCATTTTGGCTGCGGCAATGAGTGCGGAAGAACGGAAAGACAGCAAATGCGTGATTGAGTAGGAAAGAGAAGTGCAGGTTTACATTAGTCAGGTTGCGATCAAATGTGGAACGATGTGCGAGAAACATTTCGATGTCTTTCGACTGCGTGCACTCGATACTCATCTAAGAAGCCAGAGTTTGCGAGCGAAGAGAACACGCTGAAGGCTGAACCTCTTCAATCCACATTGGGATAACCCCCTCGCAAGCCGCGCGTTTGTCTACATCAGAATCCATTGCTACCTCACCCTAACGTACTCCTCATGAGCCCTCCTTTTCAGCTTCAGACCCACTTTACCCAGCCATAGGGATTCCCTTCGATTCATCCGTTCTGCCGCTTCGATCGAGCAAACGTCAACCAAAAAAACCAATACTCTGCTCTGGCAATCTCTCACTCTTACGCCCGAGGATTTACCTTATCCAGTAGCACGGGTTTCCCGTCCCGGTAGATCCGGTTCGCCGTCTCGAACGTGCTAAACCCCCAAACCTCGTCGCGCTGCCGGCGGCCGCTCGTCATCCAGTCGACGAGAACTAGACTCGCGTCTTTTTCCAGGTGGAAGGTTTGCTTTTGAACGTACTGGCTCCGTGCGAAGGGCGTGACGGGGTCCGGGAGCAGGGCGAACAGTGAGCCGGGGGCCAGGGTCACCTGTCGCCGAAAACTTGACACTGTCAGCTTGTTTCCAACTACTTTTGATCCGGGTAGTGCGACTTGAATTCCAAGATTCATATGCAAGTGCGCTCTGCTCCGTAAGCAATTGCTCCCATCTGCACGGCTCTGGAACAGCCGCTACATACATGTGTCCTCTTGGGATTTGACCACGGCATATTAAGGGCGCACAGCATGGAACAGACAATCCGTTCTAGACCCCCTTGATTTATTGCGTCTGTCAGAAAGATTGTTGCTTTTCCCAACGGTTCTTGGGGGACGTCTGTTAGTGCTACTGGCAATTCCAACCTTCTCTAAAACGGCCGAAGTACAACGGGAAGGAGCAACGTTGGGAACAAACGAGAAGCCGATAGAAGGGCGTGTGCCCAAGAGTTCTCGAATCCCTCTTGAAGGGGTCTTTCATCCCGTACTTTCAAACAAAATGCACAGCGAGAATCCGACTTCACCTCCATGATTTGCTGCGAAGTTCTTCCCCCGTTTGAATGGTACACCTTGGAGGACGCTTGAGTGGTCAGGACTGCCGTGCAGGCCGCCCCGACGTCAACCCGGAAAGCGATGACGTCACCCTGCAAGGATGCGGCCTCAAGGGTCAGCTTAGATTTGAGAACTGTATTCTTCGGCATGAAAACAAACCACGCTTCCCAGAATCGCCCAGAACAATTCAGCGCTCAACTCGGCCAGGTACAGAATCCCTTGGGAATTCGTTGGGTATCGTTCCGAACGAAGCTTTTTAACAAACAGAAAAAGGTTCACTAACTTCTTCGGAGAGGATGGACTAACCGACAATTTCGCGAAAGGTACAATTGAAAAAGCCGAAGTTGGTTTGATTTGTCATACCAACGAGCCTTGACCTCCAAACCCGCAAACAACTTTGGGAGATGAAAGGACAAAATAGGAGCTTAGCAAATGATTCCGTTCACTTTCTGGAACGTTCATTTCTCAACTGCCTGACTTGAAAAGATGTACCACATGTCAACTGAAGCCGACCAGACTATCACAAGCCCGCCGGGTCTGGCCCTGATGACGACACCGCTTTGCAAAGCATATTTGCAAGGCGCCAATGCAGTAGAGGTAAAATGGGAAGAAAATCTTGAGAAGAGGGAGCGTACCGCCACAATTCCTCCCCCATACTGCAGCATGTACACCCACACGGCATCCACCGATGCAGTTGCCACCTGTAGCAAACCAGCCATTGTGAGGAAATGCACGTGGAGAGTTTTTGCGTCAGAAAAAGGAGGGAAGCCAATACTTGAGCCTACGCAAGCTAGACCTTCTAAGTTTACATCGTGGTCTGCCTCTGAAACACCTTTCTTGCATGGAAGTAAGAAGGAAACCACATCATGCTTCGCCTCAAAATAACAGCGCGTACAAGGGCGCGAGAAGATGATCGTGGATAAGGATGCCACACAGAACTGAGGTCGGAAAGTCAAGTTGGAAAATAGCCACCGCTTTCTTTCTATTCTTTACTTTACTCCTAGAGAACACATTGCGCAGCAAACTGAGAAGCGGGACGCAAAGTGCTTCCAACCTCGGCTGAAGTAAAGGACGACTCAGCAAATCGAGAGACGTGTTAAGAGTAACGGGTAGTGCGTACCTTGGTCGGGACCATGAACTTGAGGGGGATCGTTGCGAACACCCTCGCCGCGACAGTCTTCCCGCCCTCCCGGCTAAAGGCCAACTGGCCCCACTGCGGCCCTGCCATCTTTTCCGGCGACCTACTACTCTTTCCGCCCCTTTACAGGTCGCCCACAAGCGGGTTAGCGCGGACAAACCCTCCTCCTAACCCTGGAATGTACCACCAACCGATGTCAACCGGCGAACTGAGACGAGTAGATCTCAAACCTTTCCCGGAGAAGCGGCCAACTCGCTCAAAGACTTGCTGAACCCTGTTATCGTCCCAAACCCTTTTAACTCCGGAAGAGGCGCGAGAAGAGGCGGTCCTGACCCCCTTGAACGATGTCGAGCAGAGGGGCGGTCTGACGTGCGTCCTCGATAGGGCGGTCTGAGTAGAGGGCGGCGAAGGCTTCGGCTTGCGGAAAGAGCGCACCCTGCAGGAAATGACGTCAGACGATGAGATGAGGCTTGATGAAAGCGGAGTACATTATGAAGCCGTTTGAAGAACGGGGCAGTCATTGAGATACGACACCAGCGGACGCATGAACCCCCTAAAAGCGGCCCAAGACACCGGGAGTCTGCACCGCTCTGCGCATCGAATTGGTGTATGGATGCAAGGGCCTTTAAGTCTCCGGCGCTCCGGCGGCAAAACGAGGAGTGTTCCGCCCTTAGACCAAGACGTATAGCAGTCCATCATGAAGAATCTGCAAAATGGGACCCTGGATTGATACAAGCTCCCCGCAGCACAATCTCTCCCGTCCATCTGCTCAAGACAGACCGACTGTCTTTAGGATTTCTGCTTTCTGAATCGCTTCAAGAGTCCGCGGCCTTACCTGCAGGATGGCCGCCTCGAGGGGCCCAATGAGGTTCAGCCGAGTCGCCGCTGACGTCATGTCGCGCAGCGCCATAAACAGATATGCCCTCTGCTCAGGAGATGGTGTGATTGATTCAAGGTCACTTTCTGACAATGCACGAGACTGCATAACCTTCCTTAGTAAAGCACGCCACATGCGATACCTTTTCGTACGTTTCATGCACCTCCAGGCATTGGTTTTGATAGAACAGAGAGCTTGCGGCGAGCTGGGAAAAGCTCTTGTTCGCATAGTGCAGTTGCCGCTTTGCAACTTGATTCTGAATCAGATACCTCATAGTATTCTGCTACTCACTTCGTGGTTGTCAGCAAAGATTTTCGCTTGACAAAGTCAACGGCAGAGACTATGCAACAGCCCACCATAATCAGATCGGACTTTACCAGAAGCTTCCAATCGTCCTCTGCGGTTACACATCTTCAAAAACCTCTTTGTCGGCCTTTCTGGAACTCTGCATGCAGTCTGTTTGCATGTAATTTACCAACTGACCAGGCGTGTTGGCAAGACTGGTTGAAGCCGAAGCAGTGTGGGGGTAATCGAACAAACGCGTCGGGAACCAGCTGTCCTACCTGGGCTGTGGCGGAGCTTATTCCCACCCGGCTGCAAACCACCCCAAAGACCGGCGCGTGGTGACTGCGGGCGCCGTGCGAAGCGCGGGTGTGAACGCGCATCTCCTATAGAGCAGGACAAAACGTTTTCAGGGCAAATGGAAAAAGCTTCCGCCCTGACGGACGCATCGCCTGCTCTCAAGGCTTACCGTTCCAGAACTTTTGCGTTTCCTTACGACGCTTGCAATATGGGCGCAGTGCAAGCATCCGCTACTGCCTGGACATGGTATCGAACAAACACTTTTCCTCATGCTCACATGTTCGCAAGATTGAACCAACGAACCTCAAGATACGAATAAGGGATCACAAGAACTCCCGGATAATTTGAACCAGAAGGTGTTCGCCTGAAGCCTTTCTCATCTCCAAATCTTGACACCTGCCATTATGTCGAACTAACGCTGTAAGGCCGATGCATCGCCTAGTCGAATTCAGATCCCAGAACCTGAAACTCGCTTGATCCGTCCGTCCTGTGGAAATACTCGCCGAGGCGCACCTTGAAGAACGCAATGCCTTGGTGAACACCTGCCACCACTCTCAGCAGCGCGGCCCCCTGCGTGGCGGACGCTTCGTTTGCCACGTGGTTGGACAGCGTGGCATCCATCGCAGCGTCCAATTCCTCCCACTCCGAGATCGAGCCCACCTTCAGGGAGCAAGCAAAAGGAGTTTCAAATCACGCCAGAAATCTGCGCTGACTGTTGCGATGCGAACAATAAAATAGAAAGCATGAAAAAGCCAATGTGAAATGCTTCAAGCCGACCTTGCAAATGAAAGAAAAACCAAAAAATATAGGTCCAGAGTTGCACGTGGTTCTTCTTGAGCCACTCTCAACTCGCTAGAAGAGAAACGACGACGATGTCTGCTCGGATCCGAGGATCTGCATGAGAGTCTGCAAGGAAAGACTGGCTTCACATCGGCCTTGATGAAACATTCCATGGGGAGGAACTGAGACGAATTGCGCAAGAAAGCCCCCTCGCCCCGTGCTTGCAAGCTTGCAGGTCTTGGTCGTTTTGTAGAGCGTGAGTTCTTCTCTGAGTCCCAAAATGCTACAGCGAAACACTGTAAATAGTGCCACCTCTCAGTCTTCCATGTACGATTGAAGTGGTCTCAGAAGTGGGTTAACTTCTGCTTGCGCATCTTCCTAAATGGCTCCTTACCTGGTACCCTGCATAAACAAACGGCAGCAGCAGTGCGCCAACGTTCTCCAAGCTGCTGACCAGAAAGTCCCTGAGACCGGACGGTCCGCGCAACAGCCCCGCCTGCTGTGCTGCCTGCAAGGGCGCATGGATGACGTCAGCGGCAGAACGCCGTGCTGGCTTTGAGCACCGTGAAGAGGATGTCAGCGGCAAATGTCAGGCTGCTTTCGAAGCAACGTCAAGAACTTCATCATACAATCCTTCGCAGCAGAGTTTATGGGGTGCTCACGATTGCACTGAGCAAAAGGTCATTCACTCGGTTAAGTCGACTAGATGTTTAGGCATGGGGCAAACTAGGTGCGAGCTTCAGTGACACGCTGGCAGCAACCTGAGAGCTTATGCAGAATAGCGAAGAACATCCGAAGGGGCTTTTGAGTGTGTTGGAGCGGAAACAGAGGCGGAAGCTACCCGAGACGAACGGCGTATTTAGTGCAACAATGAAGGAACTCGGGGTTGAAACGGCTCAGTCTCAGAGCAAGGAAATTGCTGGGCCACCCTATTGGCGACCTTTGCCAGGAAAAGGCCGAACAATCAATGTTTTCAGAACCTATAGAAGCCATGTAGGATCCGCAACAGTCTTAGGGACTTGGGCTTCGAAGAGCAAAAGCATACCCAAAGCTATCCATCTTGAACCTGTCGAACCAAAGCTTACTTCCTCGAACCGAGTGAAACACCACTTACCTCCACTCCCAAGGAGTGCGCGAACCCGCCCGTCGGCAGCAGCGAGTCGACCAGCTGCCACGTCAGCCAATCATTGGAACTGGGCCCCGGAGCTGACACGTGTCCCCCCAGTCCTGGTTCCGACCCCACGCTTCCGCCTTCTTCCTGCGCTTCCGTCACTGTAGCCCCATCTTTTAGAATTTCCGCGTCCCCCATCAGAAGATTCCTTTCTGCCCGTCAGTCACTTTTGACCGTTCCCTTTACTTGCGCTCCTCAGGTGACGTTACTGCCTTTTAATTGTTGCATTCGATTTGGATCCCGCTGCCCTACGAAACCCGCTGTTTCATGGGTGCTGGTAACCAAACACCCTGCAGAACGCCCGCATGCTCTCCCTCATGACGTCATCGAACCTCACTTCCGCGCCGCCGGTCTCCCTCTCAAGTGACGTCACCTCCTTGTCCGCGATCCCGCATGGCACGATGTGCTCGAACCACCCCAGGTCAACCGTCGCGTTTAGCGCTAACCCATGGCTCGTAACCCCCCGCGAGATCCTCACACCCACCGCCCCAATCTTCCGGTCTTCGACCCAGACCCCCGTTTCCGCGGGCACTTTCCCGCGCGCTTTTACCCCCCAAACCCCGGCAGTTTGCACCATAACCTCCTCTAAACCCTCCACGTAAGCCCGCGCGCCGATCTTGGCTTCATGCAGGTTAAGGATGGGGTAGAGGATGACCTGGCCCGGCCCGTGGAACGTGACGTCACCCCCTCTGGAGATGTGGAAAACTTCGGCACCTAGCGCGTTGAGCTCCTCCGGGGTTTTGAGCAGGTTATGGACGGTTTGCCGCTTGCCGACCGTGTAAACGGGGGGATGTTCGAGTGCCAACAAAGTGTCGGGGACCGACTTTTGGGTACGGAGGGAGAAAAGCGTTTCCTGGATGCGGAGCCCGGCACCATAGGGTATGCGCCCCAGGCGCATGATCTGGAGGGCCTTGTGCGCCATCTTGCTATGCTAAAATCCGTTTCCTAACAATTCAATGGAGCTTACGCTTGAATTTACTAACTGGGGACTCCCGGCTCCTGTCGGAAGTGTAGTTCGCCGGGCCTGCTAGCTGACGAGAGCTGTTGCTTACCGCTCCAAATACGGAAGTACTCGTCATGTTTCCCAACCAAACCCTAGGTTACGTGAGCAATTTTCCCCGTGTGGATGTCTATCAGAAAGAGTATTTCAATTGAAGATATCTGCGCTACTTGTACCACTATTCACTACTGCACTGAACAGTGCTCAGAAGAGGAAGTAGTTCTGCGCCAGTGGCAGCTTCTCTGCCGGGAGACACGTGAGGGGGACGCCGTCCGCTGTGACTGAGTACGTTTCCGGGTCGACCTTGATCACAGGCAGCGCCGAGTTGAACTTCATGTCCTGTAAGGAATACGAAACGCAACTGGATTCAGAAAGTGGGCAGCGAAAGCTGTTTGGTGAGGAGCAGAATCGATTTGAGTCCCGAGTGTACAGAGCGCTTGCCCATGGAACGATTGAAGTACATCCGACAGAGACGATGAGAGGAGCAACTACTCTCAGACGAGCCTCTTGAACTTGGTCGGTCCAAGATTGGAGTGCCCTGCTTTCTGCAAACTCTCGATATACAACGAGTCGCAAGACCAATTGAGCTTTCTCGCCTAGCACCTGCTACGCTACAAGATTTCCATTGCGTCGACGGACGAAGCTCGAAATCTGCAAGAATCGTCTTTCCCCACTTTCCGTTTGGACATGATGCAGAATTTGACAAGTGCAACCAATGATTCCTTGTCAATCCTCACCAAAGCAAAACGTCCAGATACGCCCGAGCGAACCAACAGAAGCAAAATTAACGTTAAGTAAACGTCCGAATCAGCTCACCTTCTTCGTGATTGTCCGACAGCCTTGGACTGCGACCGCCTCCTTCTCCAGTCCGTACTCTTTAGGCTTCCCCTTCTCGATCGCAGCCTGGCTCATGAACGCGAGTGACGTGGCGCCGACCGCCTTGCCCATCGCGCCGTACATCGGCCGCATCGCCATCTGCGACCGGTGTGAATGCGCTCGTCAGGGTGGTGTGAAGAAGCTCGTCAAGAAAGTGGAAACTGCTATTTCGGGAAGTTTCCTTGATTTTGCCTCAATTTTCTCGGAAAGGGATGCACTAAGCAGCAGGAATGATGAGCGGTAAGTGGGGAAACATAGACGACCGACCGACCGACAGCCCAGGTCAGTTACACTTTCCGCAAAAAAGCAATTCTCACCGGCTGGGGGGTAGGAATGCTGGCGTTTGCATCCCCCATCTGCGCCCACGCGATGATCCCGCCCTTGATCACCATCTCCGGTTTGGCGCCAAAGAAGGCCGGCCGCCACAGCACCAGATCGGCCAGCTTCCCGACCTGCGGACATTGACACCGGAGTTGAGGAAAGGCCTTGCGGAACGGGCTCAACACGGCCTTGGTGTCAAAGAAGAATTGCAACCATCCTGGATTTGGCGCCAGAGAAGGCCGGCCACAGCACGAGATCGGCCAGCTTGCCGACCTGTGAATGTTGACACGGTCCAAGTCTAGCGAAAGCTTTTTGAACACGCTGAAGACGGCCTTAGTGTCAGAAGAAGGATGTTGACCTTTTGAAGTTGACCCCTGAAAGAAGGCCGGCAGCCTTGGCGCAAAGGCCGCCAGCTTATTGACATCCAAAAGTAAGGCCAGCATACTTGTATCCCCTATTTCCAATGGTGAGGCTGTTGACTTTCACAGAACTTCGACACTTCAAGACTTACGACGAAAATTCAACAAAAGCTGGCTGTCAAAAGCTGCACGCCGAACCGCAGAACTTTCAATTCCAACCAAGAAACATCCCCAAGTCCATCAGCCCTAACACCCTAAAATCTCAAACCCCTAAGAATTCTAAGAAGCGCCATACTTCAGAGGACGACAATCCTGCAAAACCTTCTTCTTACTTCGGCAAAGCGGACGACGTAAACAACTTGGGTCATTCGCATCAGGTCGAAGGTGGGCTTTGACACGTACACTTGACACGTGGACACGAACCTAAGATTTTTAAACCCCCACACTGAGAATCTCAGAATCTTAAAGTGAAGGAATCAAACCCCTACCTCAACAGAGCCGATGACGTGAGCAACCCCGTGCATGAGCGCCGGGTTGATGGTGTATTTGGACACGTAGCGCTTGACCCGGAAGTTGTCGTTGCCATGGTCCGCATCTTCGGACAGCGCCCCGCGCTGGACCTTCATCTTGTCCGCAGTCTGCCACGTGCGAGTCACGACCTGCGTGGGCGAAAAACGGGCTTGCTTAGCGGCAGGAACGCTTACAGGGTCCAAGTTTCAGAGGCTTTCAATCTCTTCTTGCTGCACCCAAAGGTCTGAAAGGCCTGTTCGAGACCGCCGCAAGTCAGGGGCTAAAGCCCAGTCAGTCGTGCATTGCTTCATTAGGCAATTTTGATGGTCGTGTGAAGCTTTCGCTCCACAACCCGTTCAACTGAAAGCTTTGTCCAGATTGGGATCTCAGGGAAGCTGGATTCAAGTACAGTTATACAGGCAAGACTTGGGATTGTTCCATAGACACAGATATAGTATGTCGTCAGAGTCTGGGGGCTTTTGACTGGCACCGCTCAAGGTAGCTACCCGTACTACTTCCGGACTCCGTCCACATATAGATGTAAAGCTAGACCTTAGTCCGTTTGTTTCAACAAGGCCTGATCTTCCGCGATCGGTCATGTACTGTCAGCACTGGGAATGATATACGGACTGCAGCGGGTAAAGCAGGAGCGTATTCTCACCTCGCCGATGCGGCCCATAGCTTGAGAGTCCGACGACATGGTGGAAATCGCCCCCAGGTCGTGCAGGATATCCTCTGCGGCGATCGTCTCCCCACGGATCCGAGACTCGGCGAATGCGACGTCCTCTTTGGTGTTCTTGTCGAGGTGATGACACACCATCTGCGTCAAATTAGGCGTGAAAGTTCGTAAGGGGAGCTTCGTCATTGAACAATCACCCCAAGTTATGAAACTGAAGCCGTAAAATCCTAAAATCCTAGACCTTTAAAACCCTACAACCCCAAAGCCCTAGAACCCTAGAGCTGGTTGTGCAAGCGTCTGCGTCAGAATCCGTACAAAGACTCCTGAGGTGAAAGTTTTGTGCGAAGATCTGAATGACGTGTCGCAAAAGACAAGGTCCAAGCGGGAAAGTTCAGAAACTCCTGTGAAAATAGGCCCAGCAGCTCTCCTATAGACACTCTCAAGATTGCCGCAGATCGCAGACTAGGTAGATTGTCGACATTTAAGGCCCCGTTCTGATACGTTGTTGGGCAAGTACTTGTAGGCTCCAAAGCCCCTCGGCTTCCATTTGAAACCACAATGAAAGCACAAAATCACCTCCGTTTCTGAGCGGCTCAACCGCCGAAGCGCCTCGCATCAAGAGGCTTCAAGGCACACCGAGATTTTAGACACAACTCAGAAAGGGGTCTTTAGCTGCAATTGACGATGGACAACAAAGCGCCTAGTTCTAAGACTCGCTCACCAGCATGTCGAGGTGCTCGTCGATGGTGTTCTTGGTGTACGGACGGGTGGGGTTCGTGGACGACGGCAGCACGTTTGCCTGTCCGCACACGGTGATGATGTCAGGAGCATGGCCCCCACCGGCGCCCTCGCTGCAAAAACGTGTTTCATAGCTTTGTCAGTCCCAAGTCAGGGGTGCTTCGGTATTTGAGTTCGCTGGGGTCTCAATCAAGTTTTACGATTGGTCCGCACAGGATGAGGATGCTGTGAGCGTGAGCTCCGCCAATCTGCTCACTAGGACTCGAATCTGGGGTTCAGTATACTGCAGATCCCCAACAATCTAAAAGCGCAGTCCCTGATTGAGTTCCTACTGTTTGCTCGAAAAGGGCAAAACGACACTTAGGCCAAGACGCTGGCACCTGTGTTGGATGAAAATCAAGAGCCTTTTCCTTGAAGCAACTTTCGGAGGGCTTGAGGGACTTTGGTTCCAAAGTTCTGACGGCTTCAGAGTCCGCGGTGTCCGACATCCAGGAGAACTTCTGTATTGGAATATGGAAACTCAAAACATGGCTCTCCAAAATCTGTTGATTTATCCGTTGCAAGAAGGCCTGAATGAAGCAAAGCAAGCAAACAAAAACAATTTCCACCTGGCTTGCAAGAATCTGCACTCTTCCTCCAATCCGCGTACCTGTGGTAGGTGTGAATGGTCCGTCCCTTGAACGCCTTAATCGTCCCTTCGACCACGGACGACTCGTTCAGCGTGTCTGTGTGTATCGTCACCTGCAAGCGAAGAGCCAGCAAATCATCATACTATACAATAATGATTGATTTGGGTGCTGCCTCTCTTGTTTTACGAACCTTGATTCGGAACCCCCGAGCCCAGTTGTTTTCCTCAGCTTGCATGTGGAACATTGAGCAGGCTACCTCTCCTCTTCAAGAAGCTGCAGAAAAGTCAGAGGCCGTGCTTCACCAACATCTTGACACGGAATTAGTGCGAACACCAGCATAATACTCTGTTGGAACGAAGCTTGGAATTCACATAGTATGTTTGTTGCTTCGCCGTGCCTACCTTCGTTTCAGTCGCTTGGACCAACCCCAACAACTTCCCAGACTGCTTCTGGAAATCAGTCTGAGCCCTTCGCCGGCCATCAAGCAAGCTCCTTCTCGGAGAGGACATCGTGCGCTTTTCCCACAATTCATCTTACAGAAGATCGAGTAAGACAAAATGCCGCCGCTGGACCATTGCCATACACGCCACAAAGCCACTGGCACAAGAACTAAATACAGTGTTTTCAAGCATCCTGCCGATTGCAGATAGAGAAGATACTTTGGATTCTAGACGCCGAAGTCGATCAAGTCTGAGACTCATCTAGCAAAACTAGAACTAAGTTTTAAGCTTCCCTCCCTGATCGAAAGGGGCAGGTCGATTGCAAAGAGCTGTAAGAAAAAAGAAAAGGAATAAGACTAACAAAAGGGGAATGGGCTCCCACCTGGATGTCGAACTTATCAGCGACGGTCAGGCAGTTGTCGATGGCCGCTGGCGTCGTGCCCCAATCCTCGTGCAGCTTCAGCCCGATCGCGCCCGCCTCGATGATGTCAGCAAGCCCCTCCGGCTTCGCCGTGTTGCCCTGCCACGTGGCAGCATGTAACCGTTAAACACTGCCGCGACAACGTTTTTCGACAAGCTTTTCATGGGGGCCCGCCACGCAACTGAATGGACTTGTTTGAAGTATACACCAAGCGTCCTTGTTCATCCTTTCAGCTTCTCTCTTCCGGCTCCTTAAGACGTTGAAACCAAGCTTGGATAATGGGTTATAGCCAAAGCGGCTGAGCAAGTTGAATAGAGCCAAACATGAGAGGACACTCTTGTCCAGTTGTTCCGTCCACTCAGGTCGGCGTTGGTATGCTTGATTGATCAAAAAGCTAAGAGAACAACATTGGGGTACGTCGATACGTTTTGACTCGGACCTGAAAAATTCAGGAAGTACACAAAAAGCAAGATTACCTTTCTTTGGTAGATACGAGCACTCAAAAATAAGAAGAGGCCGATGATAGATCGTTCTCTCCGTCGACCAATCAACCGAGACCACCAGTAAAGAGTCGCTTCAAAAATCATATAGGTTCAAAGTCGCAGCGACGAATGTCGATGCCTCTTACCTGAAGGTGGCCGGCATCCACGCAGCACACTTTCTCCTCTAATTAAAACGAGTCAGCTCAGTCTCGGCTCACCTTGCCCGTGAAGCCGATGTTGAGCGGCTGCGTGTCCGTCGCTTGCAGCATAACTTTCATCTGATGGGGGGCGGGAGTACACGTTGTAGCACAGGTGCCGGAAGCTGGGCCGGTACCCCCCCCGATGAGAGTGGTCACACCTGTACGTTTCATTCGTGTGTGAGGATTCTCAGCAGAAGGTCCTTTCAGAAAGAGCTCTGAAAGGACCTTCATCTAGTGGGGGATAGGAGGACGTTGTGGCACATATGAGTGAAGCCGGGCCGGTGCCCCCCCGCTGAGAGTGGTCACACCTGTCAAACATCAAGTCTCGTCAAAAGGATGGGAGACAGGAAGCTGCGTGGTACTGGAAAACAATGACGAAATTTGTAAGCTGGCGCAAGGAGAAGACTCGCGGTTCTGGCACATGCGCTGGAAGCGCCGTCGGCACACCTCAAATTCGCAATTGCCCAACAGTGGCTTGTGAGGGTCGAAAGCGAAAAGAGAAGCTGGGTTAGACGAGGAAGGAGATTGCTCGTATGTCCGAATGACTTTCTTTTCTATCCCTGCGGGGAGTGCTCGTTCTTTCTTCAACTCTTCCACTGGAATCCAATTTGGGGACTAGAAGAAGTCTTAGTCAAGTTGTTCAAGAAAGGGGCACAACATCCAGGACCAAACTTTCTTCAGACTCCTGTAGTCGAGCCAATACTCCTAGCATTTGATGTTTCAATGAACTTCGTCATTGTGACGATTGAAAGGCGAGGCCAACCCACAGAACCGAGCTCAAACTCCGAGGCTTACCGCTTGCGATGGCCTCGTCCGCTTGCTGGGGGCAGATGAAGTGGATGTGCGTGTCGATGCCTCCTGCGGTAAGGATCATACCCTCCCCAGCAATCGCTTCAGTGTTCACCTGCAGTAGCGGGCGCAATCTTATACGAATTTACTCGAGAGGCTCTCGCTTTTTGAGCGTGATTGTGGGCAGACGCGTTCCAACGCCTCTAAACGAGCTTTCCGGTCACCGCTGATTTGACCCCGCGAACCGTCGCAGAGCATTTTAAGGCCCAAGCTTCTGCTTCGTACTTGCCAGATGGCCTAAGCCCGTAAAACCTTGTCCAAACATCAAAACGACAGTGGGTCCGCCCACATGTCGCAGTGGGCGCATGAGACGTTAGTGTGAAAGCGCCTGCAGCGTTCCTCAAAGAATGCGTAGGATCCGATCGTTCGCGGCAGAACAGACTTTTCCGAATCACCTTCGGTGACGTCTTTGCTCAGCAGTTGCTACAAATAGAACTCAAGCCCATAATCACCGTTCCACTTCTCAAAAAGATTGGGCAAAGAAAAGGGAACGAGCGCTCTTTTTCCCGGAACAAAAGTGGAGCGTCGTTACAAGACACTACAAGGTGTTTGGACTCACTCCCACGATCATGCCCTCTGTGACGCCTTCCATGACGTCAGGGTTGCCAGCCTTGCCGATGGCGCTGATCTTGGAGCCCTTGATGCCCACGTCAGCCTGCGAAGGGAGGAGAATCGGTTCCCAAACCAAGCCAAAATTCACTGATCGAAGTTTTGTCAAACCGACTATTTCATGGAGACGCTGCGACCTCCTCTATCTGCAGTCTGTCGGGTTGGCCGTACAAGATTTCGATAGAGGCCGACGCCTAGCAGCGGTCGCAGTCAACAGATCCGTATTCAAACGCACAGAACGATGGGTTTGGAAGATTAGTTGCGTCACAGCACATATCGCTGACCCGAGAGGAAGTCGAGGCTTCCTTATGATGTGCAGCAAACTGTTCAGATCTCAGCCATCTATTACTCTCCGAAATGCCGTCTGCATACAAAGAAAACGCCAACCAAGCAAGCCAGTCAAATAGGGAATTTAAAAAGGAGCTTTGCGCACCTTGTAGATGCCGGAGTAGTCGACAATAAGCGCGTTGACGATCACGGTGTCCAGGACATCAGCCGCGCCGACGCCCGCCATCTGCAGTCAACAGCACTGCCATTATCATTACACCAGGTAAGCTTCTTGTAAAGGCGTGCGTTGTATACTCCAGAAAATGACAACAGGGATGAATACAAGAAACGGACATCTGCATCGCACAGCGGACGACTTCGTGAAGGAATGTACAGAAAAGTGCGCTGTCTCGGTCATGATCACAAAGTGGAGGCTTTCAAAGGAAGGAGAAGTCGTTTCGATGTGCATGCCCGTAGTAAAGTGTGGCCAATGGTCCACGAGTTGGGAGCTTTGGGTCCCCTTAATCGCAGCCACGCCATTCATCAGAGGCGGGTACAAAAGGAAGACCGGGAACTAGCTCTGCGGATTCAGATATGGTCCTCTCAATTCCTGCGTCGACCATGAACCTTTTGAATCTAGTTCTAATCGGGGCTTCCACCAAGAAGGCCGACTCATTCTAAGTCAGCGCAATGACCTGAAGCCCTAAAACCTTAAACCGGAAAAACGCATCCTTGAAAGTACAAGCACGCACCTGGCCCATGCCCTCGCGCAACACCTTTCCGCCGCCAAACTTGCACTCATCGCCGTAGTGGGTCAGGTCACGCTCAACCTGCAGACGATTAATGCAACGCTCAACCCAATTTCAAGCGGCGATATGCAGCTCTCCAGCACACGTCAGCAATCTTCTTACAGTGCTAGCTTGATGTCGTACTCTCCGGCGGCCTGTTATTTGAAAGCAGCGGTTTGAGACACAACCCGAGCCAACTTCAGGAGCTTGTATCGGTTTGTGGTCAGGACAATCATACACTGAGCAAGGACTTCAATCCTTATTTCGAAACTTAACGGAAGATCTTTTTCGAACTAATGGCGAAGCTCGGGAATGCGCAGTTGTATCGTTGAGGACGTCAGGTTGAATTGACGTCTTCTCACCTCCAACACAAGATTCGTGTCCCCCAGCTTGACCTTGTCTCCAACGGTCGGTCCGTAAGTGTTGGCGTAGTGCTCTTTGGGGATGCTGCACGACAGACATTTTAGGTTGGGTAAAGAGTGAAAGCGATCCGAATGAGAATTGGTGCGTCCCTTGCCATGCTTTTGCTGCTCGCGGGTAGACACACGGTCTGTGTTGAGATGAACGCTGCGTTTCTGGGGAGTCTTTTTCTTGCATGTCAGGAAGCTGCTGGCTTTTCAAAACAGAGGAGAAGCAAAGGAGCTAGCAAACAGGTTGTTTCCAGCTCCTTCATCTGATTTGCTTTGCCGCACAAGTTTCAAAGCGATGGCGCTCGTACTCACACTAAGACACAAGGTAGCCTGAGTTTTTACGTTAGCAGTGGTAGAATTCCCGCTATCTCTGAGGATAACTTTAGTTGGGGACATGCAGACTTGTTGAAACGTCGTTCAGTATGGATTGGCTGGGCCCTACCTGACGGTGTGATGCGCAGTCTGCCCAACGATGCCCTTTCTGCATCAGAGGTACCGACAGCGATTGAGTGATTCCATTGAAGGCCGGTTACTTCTTTCAACGAGCGAGATAGAAAGAACGCCTCATCGTTTGCAGGCACTTGTTGCAGAAGGGATAGCGAAAACGAAATAAAACCGAAGCACCTCAAAATGAGCGTCTCCAAGTAGCAACTGCTGAAAGCATCCGAGTCACACGATCGGAGTGACTGTCAAGGTGCAATTCTGTAAAGCGTGTTTCGTTTCTAGTCCCGCATATTCGAAATCCGACCCTTGCTCAAAACATGACGGCCTTTCCATTCAAGCCAAAAGACACATTGTGGTGGCTCCGCGAAACATCATCGCAACAAAAGTCTACAAATTCCTGCTTCTTGAAAACTCACACTGCTGTCCCCTGCTCCATATGACCAAATCCTTGGGCCTTGACTTTCTCTATAACTCCCGCCAGTCTCTCCGCGTTCACAGGCCCGTCGACCAGGGAGTTGCCGCCGCGGATGACCTTGTTACCGCCGATTGACACTAGCACCACGGACTTACTCTCGCCAGGCTGCAGAATTGCAGGGAAAGCGGTCGCTTCTTTAGATGGTGTCATAAGTCGCAGATGGAGCTAAAATCAACTGTATTTCTCCGTTTCTTCTGGGTGGACGGACAAGGTTGATCGACTGGATAGCGGAACGAAACTTGAGTCAGAGTTTTAGGCAACCATCTGAAACTTCGAAGGTCGCAAAAGCTCCAACAGAGGTGCGAGCAGCCGAGCATTCTAAGGACCACAGAGAGACGCACTTCACCTCCGTTTCGCTAAGCTGCAGTTTGCGACATAAAAGTGAGCCTGCAAGCACGGCTCGAAGCATCCGTTCCGCAACGACCCTATCATATACGGCAATCCGACAAGAGTCAAGTTGCGGGAGGAGGCGTTTGACCAGCTTGCACAGGGCTCCATAGCTTCCCGTTACTTTTGTATATATGTTGTACGCACCTCGAAGCGGACCGCAGTTCCAGCCGCAATGTTGAGCCGCATGCCGTACGCGGCCGCTCGGTCGAACACCAGGAAGGGGTTCGTCTCGATGAAGTGGTAGTGACTCCCGACCTGCAACAACGTCAGGAGTGTCTTAGCGAGCGCTAACTGCTTCCTCGCACCTCTTGGGGCTTTTCCGCGAGAGGAAACGCATACAGGATACCCCGTTTGACCGTACTCGACTGTAAGCATCCAAGCGAAGAATCTCTTTTAACCTCTTTCCTTAATCCTTTTCATCTCACCTTTACATGCAGAAAGCATAGATTCCCGTACTCGAGAAGGAGGCCATGACTACTCAGCAAGATTGATGTCTTCTCAGCTGGGACGTCCTTCAGCCCTTCGAATTCTGTGCTCAACCCCAACTCACAGCCTTCCTCAGCCTCTAATCGGCACCACTCAAGCGACTGCTTGTAAGCTTCGCACATCTAAATCTCTTGACACTGCAAACTCTCCCTCTAATCGCAGTCATCGTTTTGTGTCACGGGGCCCTTGCCTGGATTGGGCGATCGCACTTGCTGGTGACCGTCAGTTTCACAGTGAGTCTGCCCGCGTTGAGAACGACGGATCCGGCGGCTGTGGTGACCTTGCCAGGCGCCTCGCTCTCCTCTTCGAGCGGCGGGAATGCGTCGACGTCCGGAACTGTGAAACAAGCACGAAGATGATTATGGAAAGGGCAATCGGCTTATAGTTGTCGATTCGATCTTGGCAAGGTTATATAAGTTCGTTTTGCAGCGGGTGCAGCATCGAGGTGGCAGGCGCTATCTGCTGAGAAACGATTTGGGTCCAGCCTTTGACACGATCATCGATCTTTTCCACTTCGCATCGACTAATGCGGGTTGCGGCTTGATCAGGCGGGATGGTTGTTCCTACAAACGAATCTAACGCCCAATTTCGTCACATTCGCAATCACATCAAGGATCCACCAGATTATTCCAACGTGCGAGATCAAGAGTTGGATCTCTTGACGAGCGCGACAGCCAAGAGAGGGTCGCATATCTGTGCTTCGAGCCGTTCAGATTCTTAGCAAGAATCTAGTAACTCCGTCAACCGAGCAGTCGAATGAAGCTTCACATGCTCGCAACTTGGCTGGGCCCCATTGAACGGTTCTAGACAGTCCACAGGTAGACGAAAGTCAGGCGCATTCGAACCTTTCCAAAAGAATAAACATGATACTAAAGAGGAAGGCGTCGGGCATTACCAGGGAAGAAAGAACCATGCAGGGCCAGTTTTAGGTCCCCGTTCTCCAGCGAGATGGGCGAGTGAACGGTGACCAGCTTTGTGCCGTCCGGAAAGGTGCCCTCGATCTGGACCTCGTCCAACAGGTGAGCAACAGCTGGCAACACCTGGCGCCTGCATAGGCGGAGCAAGATTAGCCAAGATCGGAGATAGACGCAAATAGCGCGTGCATCTGCAGAGGCTCATTGGCGGAGCGAGCATGATTAAAGATAATCAGAAACAACGTGCTAGAAATCGTAACCTAAGAAAGTGTACGCTAAAGAGAAGTTGACGACTTCAACTTGACACTGCTGTCACTGCAGATCAATGGGTCTTTGGTACCATTTTGCAACAAGCATGGATGGACCTTATATATCTTAGGAGTTCGCATCTTGCCATTGAGCAAAAGGACGAGACCATGCAAAGGCAAAGCGACAATGTCGAGGTTCCTTTCGGGATTCAAAGCAAGGACTCACTTTCCCAGCAGTTGTCGCCCCAAGTCCATCAGCTCTGCAACCGACTTGCCCTCCCGAATGAACTCCAAGATCTGCAGAAACACAAGTCGAGCCTGAGAAGAGATTGAAAGAAAACGAGTCCCAATCTCGATATGTAGATATGTTCCTACCTTCTGAATGCTTGTTGCTTTCCTCAGTGAGCATCTGAAGAGCAAAGAGTCAATTCCCAACCCTCGCTTTAACAGTATCCTTGGTGGCCGCCTCTTTTGTCCAGCAACGCCCAATGAGGGTGCAGTTATGATTATCTCTTGTGACAGAAGCTCACCTGTGTTGCGATGAGGGCGATGGCCTCCGGGTGGTTAAGCCTAACCCCTCTCGCTAACCGCTTCTGCGCCAGCACCCCCGCCTGGTGCAGCCGCAGCTTATCGAACTCCCTGGGAGCGAGCTTCATCTTGCTGGTTAACCTAACCCGCTAGCCAACCCAATCCTAACACGGTGCTTGCTTTGGCTAGAATGAGGGGGGTGGTAAGCTCGTGTGTGATCTTTCCGTGTAAGTCAAAGCTTAGCTAACGAGTCTGGTGTTAGGCGTGGTTTGTAGAACCCGAAACTTGTAACCCAGGTACAAAGGGACCTTAACGAGCTAGCTGCGCCGAGAAGAACCGACCGCACCGCTTCAGAGGCGGTACTAATGACAGCTTGCAGATATGAGGACGCGCGTACCGCTTCTAAAGCTGTTGCCGGAGTGTCAACTGAGCGAAGCGAAGGAGAACTACCAGGGCCTAGTTCAGAGAAGGAAATGTCGGTTACAGTTTCACAGGAGGTTGCGGTGGTTGGAACCGTGGATTTCAAGACCTTAGGAATACAAGCAACTGGGGCTGCTAGGGGACTGAGAGAGAGCTTGAGGAAGATGAATGGGGAGGCTGAGGGGGCACCCGCCCGTGACGTTGCCTGCAGTCAATGGTTTGAATCAGCTCCCAAAGAGATGCCTCATGGGGAACGAGGCAAGGTTTCAATAATTAGCGGGTTCAAGAAGCTGCTCTCATGGACTTGTCAAGAAGGACTTGCCTACCAATTAGAATAATAGTGGATCCTGGAATGTGGAACCAAGTATCTATAGACCCACATTGCGATCTTGGACAAGGGCCTGACAATGCAAAGAAGGGGGCATTGATTCGTTCATGTGTTAGAGATACGGTGCTCGTTGCTTAAGCTCGCAAACTGATTCAGGACAACAAGTGAAAACTTTCTCATAAAACGAATTGGGACAACTGTAGAGCAGTTGGACAGCCTTTTGTTACATACACTCACCGCTGTTGAAGGGGAGGCCTTGGGCGCACTCCTCTGGTTCTTCCTTCCAGACCTAAGCTTTCTCTTTGCGCCTCTTCTTCTGGCCTTCCTACTTGTCTGCTTGCGAGAGCTGCAACTTTCCTGCCCTATCAATGTGGGGGGACGATGATTTGGCAAAGCGGGGAACTCTGTGGAAGTAAGAAGAAAGGCCCGCTGTTGCGGGTCTTCTTCTTCACGCTGCAAAAGAGAGGGGATGGAATGGATTGAACAACGGAAAGGTATGGAAAGGGAGGAATCAAGGCTTCTTACATTGACAGAGGAACATCGAAGAAGTAGAGGAAAGATAGGATATGCTCCAAATTGAAGCTGAGGGATTGAAGAAGACGTTTGAGCTTATGCTCTGTCGCAATGCCCCCACTGCTAGCTTTGGGCCTTTGGGCCAATCTGGGGCTCACAACAAGTTTGGCACACCAATTGGCTGCCGCTTGATTGACGGAACTTTGGTGGTCAGTCCTTTGTCTCAATGTGGTTCAAACGCACGTCAATGCCCTGTGCCTTTACTTTGAAGACTTGATAGAATGAAGAAGATTTTGTAAAGGCATGATGGTTCTCAGAGACAAGCAGACCAAAGTTATGCAATGCTGTGACCACACATCAAGTGACTTGTCGAAGGGCGTCCCCTGAGCAACTCACTGATGCAATGAGTCCCGCTCCTCTCACCTCCAGAGAGTCCGAGCTGATGTAAGCGCAACCGTGTTTGGCTGAGAAGGAGCGAAGGAAGTCCCCAAGTCGAAGCTTCAGAGCCATCAAAGTTCTATCTCTTATTTCAAAGTAATCAGGACTCCCATGGAACCTCTGCGTTCCTGTAATGCAGCATTTGCAGCATTGGCAGATCAAAGTTCAGTACTATCAAGGTGCCAATTGACTCAAACTTAGCTGGCACCAGCTAGCAGTAGCAATGGCAGCAGAAGCACCAAATCATGCAAATGAGCTGAGACTCTGTGAGAGCTCTGAACAAAAGGAGATCAATGCACTTTGACTCTCGCAAGCAGGAAGCGCAAGTAGGGCAATACTAATAGGTGATGCGGAGAATAGTACCTCGTGTCAGTGTAAAACGGCAATCTGTACCTGTTCACATGAGGCTCACCGTGCACAGATTCCGAGGTGTGAACAAACTCGTTCTTTAGCAGCTTTAGCATATGCAATTATTGTATTGCATTTTGCAAGGAGGCTTTGCATGCACATGATAGTTCTCTTGAAGCCTGTTCAACCAATTCAACATCAATTGCAGAGGCCAAGGCGCTTTTTTATCTTCGCAAAGAGCCCATCAAGGACTGGTCGGCGCAACGATGCGGATTGAGAGAGGTTTCGAAGTGGCTCGATGGAAGAAGCAGCATTTGGCTAGTGATATGGGGTCAGCATTCGGGCAACAAGCGATTGATTCGAGCTGGTGCGGAGGCATGGGCGGTGAACAGGATCGACCAGAGCCACTTCTTGGCGGTGCGGACCTGAGTGGCAGCATTGCGTGGCTAGAAAACTGTTTGCAAGCTGAAGTCAAGCGGTGGAATGCTGAAATGGCCCTTCGGCAGGCTGCGGAAGCAAATGCAGCGGCGGTCAGCAAGAGGGCTCTCGTTCTTGAAATGGAGTTGGCGCAACTAAGGCGGTCACTGCTTGAGAAGGACTATGCTCTAGACAAAGCAGAGGCGAGAGCGGCAGTATTTGAGCGGGCGTTGGCGCAGATAAGGGGGAATGCGGATGCAGTGCTGGCAGACGCGAAAGGAGGCGAGATCTTTAAAGAGCAGGCGGAGAAAGTAGCGTGCGCGGGGGAAGGCGACAGGCCTTCGAAACATGCTTCGGAGGGCGTCACATTGGGAGAACATGTACTTACGAGTGGTGATTCTGCTGAGAAGCTACTAGAGGGCCAGAAGGATACAACGCCTGCAGTCAAAGGTGAGTCGGTTCTCTTGATCCCTGCTGATCTGTCAGTGTCTGATTGGCAAGGCTGGCAATCATAGGGTAAGGGCATTCAATTTACTGCATCTGGGAAGAAGAAAGGGGACTATCACCAGAGGGCACACAAGTACCCGTCCACTTGGATGCACATGCTTGAGCCCAAAGGTGATGCCCTTGCATAGAATGAAGGATAGCAAAGGAAACTGATCACTGAAGATCCTAAAATAGCAGTCTAAATATCCCAGGTAGTTCAGGACTGGCAGGTGTGCTCGGTGGAAACAAATAATCGGCGCACTCCAACTTTGCCCTTGCCTTTATACTGCAGCACCCGGCAAGGAAAGCTGTATGATCCTTCTCAATTAAATCTGCAGGGGGGAGGGGAAAGCGTGTTCGATGTAGTAACAAAAGTGCTTGGGCCACCATCGGTGCATTGCTGCAAGCTGCACCAGACACTTCAAATGTCCTTGGTGCAACTACAGCGCCAACAGATGACGTGCCGAATGTGGGAGAAGGGGATGAAGAAGAGGCCTCTCTCACACGAACACGGTCGCTTTGGGAGGTTCTCAAGTGCTCGGAGAGTTGCGCAGAAAGGCGCCCCACAAAGGAGATGCCTTGCCAAAAGGGGTCTGGGAAGCGGTGCACCGATTGCGGGGCAACAGAGGCAAGGCGATGGTATGGGGCGTCGCTGGGAAAACGCATATGCAGTATATGCTATGATTGTGTTCATAGAAAGCATACAAAAGCGCAGCCGAAGGACACTACAATGGAGACAGCGGCTCCTTGTGGTAAGCAAACAGCAAGAAAAGAAGGTGGCGCTGCAGCCCCTTCTGGTCTTGCAAGGAGTGGGGCAAAACGGAAGCGAGAGACAGTTTGTTGGGGCAGAGCAGAAGTCCCTAATCATAAGAAGCCCACATTGGTGGCCTTGTCCGAGCCCAAACGTGGACATTGCGCAGATTGCGGGAGGAGAGGTGCAACCAAGTTCCGTAGTGGCATCAAAGTACTCAAGCCTCTGTGCCGTAGATGCTCCGATTGGAAGTTGGGGGGCCTTTGCCACCTTTGTGGGACTACGAGTACCTGCACATGGTATCGAGGTCCTGAAGGCGCGAGCAGAACCACTTGCAGCAAATGCTACTGCAGGCACTTCAAGCTAAGAAAGAGAAGGGCTTTCAAAGCCTCGGAGCGAGAAAACGCAACGTAGTCTCTTCCCCGCTGTCCCAGCCGGTGTGACCAAGGATGGCTCCGTGGTCATATCTAAAAGGTAACCACGTCCGATAAAGAACAGTCGAACCTTGTGTGCCATGGCACACAAGATCATGCATTGAAGCAAGATTTGCATTGAAGCTTGATTGGATTTTCAACCCCTTTCTACTCGCGTCCGTTTGTGCCCGTGATGCCTTACTCACTCAGTTAATACCAACTTGAAGCTACTGCAATGAGCCCCGGCCCTGCATGGCCTCGCACGATACTTCAGGCCGGATCACTTACTTGAAGGTTGTCAGCATGTTGGACATGTATACAATAAGCTAAGCAACTGATTGGCGGACGTACGTACGTAATGATTATGTATGATCATGTACTAAAATAAGTACCTATATATGAAGGCTGCGGAGTGATATGGTGGCCAATTAACCAATCGATCGTACCCGGCAATCTTTTGCCATACTATTATCATCATGCCCGCTTGGATCGCTCCATTTCAAAATTGGCCGAGTCGGCCTTGAAGAATATCAAATCTTGCAAATGTGCGCAATGACGTAGTTTCGACTTCTCAATCGGGTGCATAGCTGCATGGTCCGGTCAGTTCAACCATATACTAGAAATGCACCTGAGAGCTGTCGGAAGTATCTGGGACCATCATTGCGCCACAACGGTACGAACAGCAGTATCATGCCATTTTATAGTTACTTCCAGTATTGGACCATTTCAAGTTTGCCTCATCTCATGCAGCCTGGCAGCACAGGCTCTATCCGAACCACAAAGACAATGATGGTTACTAATGGTTGAGTCTGTTCCCATCATCTCAGATGGCTGATTGCCAGTGACGGCGGCAAGAAGTGACCGCAATGTACAGCCATTGACTCAACATGGGACAGCCGTCCTTTACTTCTGGCACACCCAAGCTCGAAAAGTGGATGCAAGTTCAAGCTGACCAGCTCGACTCGTTTGACCTGGCCTGACTCACCCTACGGCATCATCTTATTATGGCAATGTAAGATTTTGGACTGGAAAAATCCTGCACCCAGCTCATAATCAGCGCGGCCTACCCCAGACAGGACCGTGCTCGCAACTGCGTAGTACTGGATACTTGCGGCCATGCGTACCATTCACACTATGACTTGGCGAGAGCGACTCCCGTCCTTGGCTTCGCGCCAATCTTTTTCCAGGACACGCCGGGCATGATCTGCTCGTAGTCGACCCGATCCTTGTATTGAATCGCGACATTGACTAGCGAGTCTAGCAGGGAGTCGTTCAGGTAGTGCGGTTCCAGCCCCATGTCAATCAGCTTCGAGTGCTTCGCGTTGTAGTAGTGCTCCTCCGCTTCAACACGGGGGTTCTCGACCTGTACGAGTGCAAAGACAACTGTTGTTTGGATACGAAATACTCCGAGAAACTCGTTCCTTCCACGATTGATTTTTTGCCGGATGAGGGGAGGAGCGAGACCGCAGCGACACAAAGATCGACGGTCGGGGGCAGGATGCAAAAATTGGACGTATACGGATGTAGGTGCATCCGGCCGACCATCTCACTGTACGTTTGGCTGTCCCGCCATCTACGATACCCGCTCATTCAACAAGCGGCGAAGTGTCGCAAGGGGCAGTTGGACTTGCACTATGTGGAAGGGCAGAGGAACGCTGAAACCGAGGGAACGCGTTCAAATTGGTTGCACGCGCTGCGGGGTAAGTCCGTCAAACCCCTTGATTCACTCGACACAGGGATTATAGATGCACAATTCTTCGCATGACCTCAAACGGCAGAACGCATACGGGAAGAAACACTTAAATCCCCTTGAGAAGTGCTTGACAAACTGGAATCACTCTGGTCACCTGACTTGACAGCGAGCTACGAGGCGTGCAAGCTCTCACTTCATCAAAAAGCTCGACAATATCGAAGGACACGTTGTGTGTCGATGCACTTCTTCTGCAAACCATCAGGTTTCCCAGTCGGTTCCTTTCGGCCGGCAGTTCCGAAAGAAGGCGCTATCAACGAAGATACGCAAAGAGCAGGCGTAGCAAGATTCTATGACACACTTTGCTCCGTGAGATTGATGTCGACTTCCGAATTAAGTGCTCTAGACCAGATCGCACAAGGCCGCACGGCCAACGACAATTTCAAATGAAAAGGGACCGTCATACAAATTAGATTCCAAAGTCTCACGTTGATCGACTTGACTTCTAGCCCCAGCTTGCGCCCCGCCTCGGTGACCAGCTTGGCAAGGTCCCGCACGCTGAACTGCTCCGTGAACTGGTTGAACACGCGGAACTCGCCCAGCTTGGCGGGCCGCGTGATGGCCAGCTCCAGGCAGCGGACGGTGTCCCGGATGTCCAAGTAACCCCGGGTCTACATCAACCAGAAAATGTATTTTGAGAAGCACATACCATTAATCTGCGGCTGCCAAACGTTGTGTCCGCGGCTGCCATTTAAGGTCGAAGAAAGGGCCGACGAAGCTTCATAGAGCATAGATTGATTGTGCCTCAAACGAAACTCGTTGCTGCCGCTCTCTGCTGAAAACGCAGCTCTAATCCCTGTGCAAGCGCTGAAGGTTAGAAAGTGTTGTCAAGGTCAAAGAGGTACGTGCAAAAGCACGCATACCCGTTGCACAGCCCCTGTGAGGAAACGCGAAAGGGAGAGCCCTTCAGAGGGCTTGAAATGTTGGGCCCACCTGCCCCCCCTTTCCGTAGATGGTCAGCGGATGCCCCACTGCTGCCTGGACGCAAAAGCGGTTCAGCGCTGTGCCGAACACGCCGTCATAGTCCAACCGGTTGATCAGCGCCTCGTCCAGCGACGTCTCCTCCGTTTTGACTCCGTACACGACACCCTGTCGAAAGGACGCCGAGCTTGTTGATTTGAGAGTCCGAACCAACTCGATTGCGTTCCCCACAATGCTTTTTCAACTGGTCCAGAGGTTGGATGTAGCACTAGCACAGGCTTCGTGGATGCTGATCCGCCCCAAGGCCGTCGTATTGCGAACAGGGGCTGTTGTCTTGACTTGTTGCGGCTGTGTACCCTCGTTTTCGAGCGAAGCAGGGGATTTTTACCCCTGATGCTCGAAAAAACTCTCCAGCACTCGACGATTCCGGGCTTTCCCTGTGTCGGTGACGGAATGGTAGAAGGCCCCCATTTACCAAAATGCCAATGAAAGAACGTGGGCCCAGTCACGAATTAACAGCAGGATTATGCAACCATCGCCAAGGGAAACCAGAAGTGAAGTGTCCCCGCTATAATGTTGGCCCAGTTACCACAATCCGGCTGCCGCACTACGTGGACGCCCATAATTGTTAACCCCAACCGCAACCAGGGCGTCACAAACAAGCCCCTTCCGCACCTGATTCAGGTCCGTGGCACGAATTCCCCAGGCCTTGCACGCGAACGCGATGTTGTGCGAGTCGTGGACCTTGCTCAGGTGGTAGAAGGAGCCGCCCTGCTTGGGGAACGGCAGCACGTCCTTGCGCCCGTTGTGCGTAATCTCGATAAAGCCCTCCTCGATGTCGATGTTGGGCGTGCCGTACTCGCCCATCGTCCCCAGCTTGACCTGGAGAGAGTGGCGAAATGACGGATGAAAATTCAATCGATCCTACTACTGAAGTCACAGAAGAAAAGCGTGAACCTCGATCGGAAGTTTGGTGCCTCCGCTGTGGATTCCGTACATGAGTAGAAATTGATGGAGGCTGCGTGCCGCCGGCCGAGCCTGAGTTGGGAGTCTCGGATCCAGCCACGGTCGCCAAGACGCCACCCACACAGGGTTCAAAACGCTAGTGGATCCAGGACTGTCAAGGGACTACCAACTGCTCTCACAAGTCGTCTGTGCACATCTCGATACCATTTTCTTGAGAAAGTAAAGCAAGGAAGCAGGAATTAAAGAAGAGAGCGGATGGGAAAACCGCTTACCAAGTGGCACTGCGGAGCAAACTCCTTAATTGCAAACATGACGTTGAGCGTGCCGATGACGTTGTTGTGCTGCGTGAAGACGGCGCGCGAGCGGTCGATCATTGAGTAGGGCGCTGAGCGCTGCTCCCCGAAGTGGACGACCGCGTCTGGCTCGAATTGCTGCAGGCAGGTCAGTGCAAGTGACAACGTGCTCTCTTATTGGCTGTGCTACCAGGGAATACCCAGATTTCACTATATTCTGAGATTATAGCCTGGCGAAAAAATCACAGAAGGATTGTACAAGATCTTCTTAGCAGAAGATCGTAGCCGCACTAAGATCGCTCGATTTGAATCTTCAGAGTTGTCTTAGAAAGAGGAGGGGCAGTAAAAGCTCCCAACTGCTTAGGATGTTGAGGTGGCGGGCCTCTGATTACCTGCTCAGGGCTAGGCTATTAGGCGTGCAGTGCAAGACATGTAAGACTTTCCCCCCAAGACATGTAAGACTTTCCCCCTCAAGAAACCCTCCTGCAGCCTACTTTTCAGCTGTTGGTTCACTTACTTTAATGTTTCTGACTACCATGTTTCGTCTCCAATAGCAGAGCGAGATACCAAACGATGCAATCAACGTACAGCCTTGACAAATCACAACCACTTATTATCGCTTCCCGATTCCTGTCGATGCACCCGCAGATGCAGCATCCTAAAATGGGGGAGCCACGAAGAAAACAATCGTTGACACATTGATCATGGATGGGTGCACTTTGTCAAATCAGGCAATCACGCACGAACATTCCTGCTTACCTGGAATGCATCTGCCAGAAAGTCGAACTCGCACACATCGCCAACAAACAGCTTGATGTCCTTGTTCTTGATCTGCTTCCACTTCTTCACCCGTGTGTGCACCGATGAAATGGGAGTCAGTGTCTGGAGGCCCAACTGGTCATCGAAAGTGCGCCTGACCAAATTGTCCACAATTGCAACCTGCAGTTTGTTTAGTATTAGTATTTGGTAAGCTGGCTCAGCCTGTGCTACGATAAGCCGAGATACTTAGCCATTAGGGTTTCAGTAGTGCGCCAAATCCCTCTTCGCAAACTTGCTAGTTGCATTTTTAACATTTGGCTTCATCAATCCTGTTCAATGAGCTTTACGCTGGTTGCTTGCAGGGTTTCTAAATGTGCGCCTGAGTTTTCATCAGCGCATCATTGACCAATGTGGACAATGCTCCCTTCCGTCTGACGAAAGACTGATTGAGACATCCACGAGGCATCGAATAATGGTTTGAAAAGTAAGGCATTGATGGTGGTGCAAAGTAGAGAAAACTCAAACCAGCGCATGCACTCGACCACAGTGTTTCGAATTGCTTGATATAACGAATTAGTGTCGCCACAGCCTTTAAGCAGATGCAACTATGCAATGTGCAACACACATGATCATATGCTCACAAAATCGGACTTATGATAGTGGCTTTCCCACAATGGTGGGAACAATGTGTTCCAGCAGAACAGACCATATATTCGTGTTGGTTCATGCATGGAAGGGGGAAGTGCTGCAGTGCTTGGGTGCCTCGAAAAACTCCGTCGGAGCATGTGCTTTCTTCTTTTCAAAGCTTTGGCGTCTGGCTCTAGTAAGAACAATGGCAAAATCCACACCACTCCACACCACTCGATGAGAAAGCTTACCTCGTGCCCCCGAGCTGAGAGGTGCAATGCTGTTGCCCAACCGCAGTACCCATCACCACCTGCAGTAATCAGCTTTACATTAGCAACGTGGCAGAGCTCAACTTAAACCAACAATGCTGTTCAGCCGACAGAACCCTTGATCCATCATGCAATCCTGGGCCTCCAGTGCCAATAAGTTGGTTCCACAGGAACAGTCCGAATTGGATATGCAAACCCCGCGATGTCCTTGCTGCAGCTCCTCGGCATGATCTTAACTTCATGATCTTTCAAGGGACTTTCCATGTCCACGATGGCCAGCAATGCTGAAGTGGGGCTTCCTACCAGCATTCAAACCTGGGAAGAACAATTCACCGCCGTTCCTTATATGTAATGCAAGTGATTCAAGCCTTGCCGGGCGACAGAGACGGTCCTCACCGATAATCATGACTCTTTCTTTGTCCTTCCCGTTCTCGACCACTCCGGCCTTCTCGCCAACGGCTGGTTCCTTCACTGCCGCGGTCGCCCGAGCAACCTGCCTCCGCTCCTTCAGCGTAGCTTTGTGAGTCCTAGCATTGGCTCCCTGTCTTAATATTGCCTTGTTTCTGAGGCCTGCATTCTGACCGCACAGGAAAGACTTGCTCTCCAGATTCGGCAGGGCATACCGAGCATTTGTGGCACACGACTGGCCGGTTGCCTTGCAATCAAGGAGGAAGCGCGCGCTGCCAGATATCCCTGCGCTTATCGCCGTGGATTGCGCCATGACTGGCGCAGAGTCACGAGCGCCGCTTCAAGAGGTCAGCACAAATGTGCAGGGAGTTGCTCAGGAAGAAAGCTAAGCCGTAGCAGAACGAAAAGATTGCTACTTTATTTTGAACACTGTGTTTCAACTTTCCCTCATGTTTACAAGAGAGAGAGAATGAGAGGGAGAGAAAGAAAGGGGAGATTCTCCCAAGATTCCATCTGGTCACGTGCAAGCTTAGCAGAAATTAGAATGTGACTGAGCATTCAAGTTGATGCGCTCGTGCGCTCGCGCGATCTCGCTGGTCATCAATCCCGCGATAAGTGCGCGCTGTGCACTCGCGCTTCAGATATGAAGCGCCGCAAGACTCGAGTGCGCAGTGCGATCGAGCGTGCTCGAGCTTCCGCAGCTCATGCACAGCTGTGCCCGGAGAACAGCTATTACTATTAGCCTAGACTCTAGAGCTGGCTAAAGCCTGGAGGAAGGACTCAGGTGGGCGCCCATTCCTGATTTCCTACCTATCAGTGTCACAGAGTTTTGAGGTCCAGAGGAGTCGGATACAATCGTGCTGAGCACGCACTTTGCGGGTTTGGAAATTGGGAGATTGTATTAGGTGCCACCTTTGCTGCACAGCATGGATCCCTTCGCAGGACCACCAGACAAGAGGCGGGCGTTCGATGATGCAGGGCAATCAAACGGCGTTCAGCGCGATCGGATGTGCAAACGTTACGACACGCCTGAAGGTTGCCCCTTTGGTGATAGGTGTCGATTCAGCCATGGAGCGGATGACCCTCGTGAGCACATCTTAGTCTGTTTACAATTTCCAATTATCATGTATCTGGAGCGGTGGCGCTTATCGGAGCTTATTCGCTGTCTTTGGAGCTCGACGAGTCCGAGAGATGTTTCTTCCCAGCTGCTTCCCTTTTGCGTTTGGTAATGGCCTTCATGGTTGAATCTTTTACCCTGGCCAAATTTAAGCTGCTGGCTAGGGTTGGCTTCTGTTGCCATGCATCGCGTGCCACAGCAGGCGCTTTGCACTCCTCAGAACTAGCTGTTAACGATTTGTTCAAGCAATTTGGCGGTACCTCAAAGTTTTGCATGTTTCTCCGACCCAGGTTTCAAAGGAGCGGCCAACGGTGCCAGTCAGAAGCAGCCTTGCCAAAAGTTTTTCAGGTGAGCTTAATTGCGGCAGACTTTCCATCCCTGTACATCATATTCTTTGCTGTGTTTCAATGGCTGGTATATTGATTTGCAATTGAGAGTATTGATTTGTTGACTTTGGTGTAATGCAACTCTTGCAATATGGTGTAATGCAACTCTTGCAATATGGATTGGTAGACAATGTTTGCAGCTCCTTAGATACCTGTTGACTGTACCTGGCCAAGCTGCCAGTTTGCATACCAACTTGCGAAGCACTGTCCAAGCTGCTCAGCATCGGCCTTGCATCGTTGAACGAACTCAGGCACTTCTACACCTTATCAATATGCACTATCCCCACTCCAGTTGTCTCTGGATTTGGGTGTCGATTGCATGGCACCATCATCAAAACAGCGCATGACTATATGTGTCTGCACTCCCTGTTTTCACCACTCTGTCAGCCTTATATATCACCAATCACCAGCCAGACTTCTCACTGTTGTTTCCGATTTTTGAGATCAGGGGTTAGCCATCAGTCCCGACACGTTTCCTTTTAGCTTGACTTCCCACTGTCCTTCGTTTTTTGCATCTTTTCGAGCTCATTTGTGCAATATCTACCTTAACTAAGCAGAAGCGCTCCCTGTTTTCCACCATCGTTGACCCTGAATTTCAACTTTTTTATCCAGCACAAACGGTTGCCCATACGGCGACACGTGTCACTTCACCCACCATGTGAGCGGCCCGCCCCCTCGGATCATCATCGGCAGCGGCCAGTCGGCGGCGGCCGCCCCCCTTCCTAGTTACAGGGCGCCAGAGCCGGATCAGGGCCAACAAAACATGAAGACGCGCATGTGCAGAAACTTCCAGGAGGGGAACTGCACGTGAGTTTCGAGTCCTTTTTGGAACTTTTCGATTGCCATCTTCCAGACCGTGAAGCCTCTGGTTTCGCTGAAATGCAAACCTGATTTGAGATTGATTCTACATGCATTCAACCATGTATTTGTTGGAAGAACTGAGTCGTTGGGTTGTATGCGGGCAGTCTTTCCATACTGACAGTTCCATGCTTTCCCAAGCTTGCTCCTATTGCAGGGGACAGATGAGGGGGGAGGGAATGAGGGGGGGATGAGGGGAAAGAGGGAAGGGAGGGTGGAGGGGGGATTCACTATCTAACTATCCACGGCGGTGGTAAGATCGAGAGGGAAGTTGGGGTTTCCCATTGCACCGGGAAATCAGCTGATTCCTTCGCTTACGATGACTGCTTGCTCCCTTGGCCACCTTATTGCTGCAGAGTAAACGAATCTGACGGATGGTCATTCTATCCTCAGCTTCGGCGACCGGTGCCATTTTGCCCACGGCAACCAAGAGATGCGCGCCGGCCCCCCCCGCAGCGCACCCCCGTCCGGGTTCACTTCCACGATGGCCCCCGAGGGTTCGGGGGTCAAAGAGTTCCCCCTCCTGTGGGGAGAATCGGCCACTGACGCGGCGGGTAATGTTACTATGATGGCGACGATCACGTTCCCACAAGAGATGGCGGGTTCGATTATCGGGAAGGGGGGCCAGAACGTGAGGCAGATCCAAGTTACTTCAGGCGCGAAGGTGGGTGTCAGATTTGTTTAGAGCAGTGTGCAGTTTGTGTGTCTCGTACGAACAGGCTCCAGTCTCTATGTAAGAGTTTGTCTCTTTCGCTTTATTTGCTCAGCGCACAACCTCCGATGGGTCAAGGAATGAAAGCGGGATAGGTCTTACTGACGCCTTTGTGCCTTGTATCTTAGTGATTTGACGACAATTCCCTGGAAGGGGACACGGAAGTGCAAGTTGCAGGTCGTGCTTGGGGGAACAAGCCCTGCCAACTTCAAAGTTGCTTGCGAAATCCGAATGCCCTCTTCTGAGATTCAGGTACATGAGAGGGTTAGCGGGAGGCCTCAACCATCGGAATTGGACAGAGAACACAGCCTTACCGCCGTCAGAACCATGAGCGTCAGTCAGGGAGGCAAGGAGCTCGAACCTCCCATCTCCTTCCGCAGGTCACTCTCAAGCCCAGTCCCGCTGACCCGAACAATCTGAAAGATGTCGACATCGAGGGAACGGGCGCCGCGGTGCAGTCGGCGGCGTCGCTGATCCAGCGCACGCTGGCGGATAAGCTGAACAACCCGGGGGGCAGCCGGCCGGGGGCGGGCGCGGCGTCGCCCTTCTTCAAGACGCGGATGTGCGAGAAGTTCATGCAGGGGGCGTGCACGTTCGGGGACAAGTAAGTTCAAATATCCATATCTTTTCTCTTTTCAGTTCTTATGATTCGACCATCTTAGTAAGTTGAGAGCCCATTGAACGCACTTCGTCACATGCGTTTCCTGTCGTAATACTGGGTCGACGAGTTCTTGTTTCGGGTTGATGTTCGGAGATACTCTGTGGGTACTTGAGCTTTTGTCGTCGGCCCTTCGTCAATGCCCGTCGTGGCTGGACGGACTGAAAAGGCTGCGAAAGAACGTTGAGGCGACGGAGTAAGGTTGTTGATCTAGATTTGGTGTCGGTTTCTTACCCAGGTGCCATTTTGCCCATGGGCAAGCGGATCTGCGGACAAGGACAGACCAGCCGGCTGCTTATGGGGCCCAGCCAGCTGCTTATGGGGGCCCGCCGCCATATCAGGCGGGTCCTCCGGGTGGGGTCGCAGCTTACTAAGCTGTCTAACGAAAAGGTGAGCAATTTGCAGAGGTTTTGGAACGAAATTCATCTGACAATCTGTGTATGTGTGCAGAGGGGGAGCGAAAAGGTGAGTAGCACGCCTTGCGTAACTCTCTATGAGCTATGTCACAGTCTGCCATCAATGTTGCCCAACTACGTTAAAACGATGCACTGTCAAGCGCCATCGGTGACTGCTCACCGCAAAAGAAACCCGCTCACACCGTCTTTTCTCTTAACAGAAGGAATATATCGACTAAAGTGCGAAATTCGAAGGCAAAAGAACCTGCTTGCCGGCAAGATTCGCTGAAATCTATGCTCTGAGGCATGAAAGGCGTCCAAACGTGTAAGGAATCTAGCGAACGTGATAATTGTTGGCTGGTGAAGATGCGAGGGGCTCCATTTGCTTGGCACATGAGAACGTCAGGTTTGGTTGCATTTGGGGAGACGCTCAATCACAATTGCGTTCTGTAAACTGCTAAATGCTCATCACAAGTTTACCGACCTCTTTCAAACTCGCACAAAATCTCCTGGCAATGCGTATCGAAGTAGCAGTTTCCATGGAACCTTCTTGCCATTATCTCTTTGTTAACAAGGCCGGAGATCTTGTACTGCTTGGTCAAGTATCGGTATTGCTTCTACATGAAGTTTAATTCCTAGTTAGTGGACCATGTGTTTGGACTAAGCAAGAGACATCTCTTGTACTTGCGTATCACTTTAATCACTCCAAGATTGAGGACTCGGCTTTACAAACGGGTTTCCTGATGCATTCGGCTAAAAGAATCACTATTCCTTGCAACATGCCGATACACTAGCCATAGTCATTGAGTTGTTGGAAAGTTGTGGGCAAGTTAGTGCAACCCTTTGACATATATTCCCGAGCTCCTTTACCCCGGGGTCTACTTCATGCGAATGATCTCGTATCTAATTTTATCTGCCATTATGTAGCTGAGGCTGCGCTTTTACACTGCAATCGCCGAGCACCCAAGCTCGTAGTCCCAAGCGTGTGACCCTATGCACTCAATGCGCCATGAGTTCAACTACGGTTATGCATTCCGGGCTACATGGTGGCGCAGATTCGTCATGTTCATGCATTCAGTCCATATCCGAGCCGGGCGATCGCGGTGTCTTGAGCTGCGTCGCCTTGAAGGCGGTCAGGTTGCACACTCTAGGTATTCAGCAGCTCTCATGGTCCGACTCATATGATTGTCAGCCTGACATCCGCAATGATCATCATGATACTCAGCGCACGGTATGCACGATCCAACCTATCTTCAACGCCGATCGATCCAGGGTCTTCAACTTGAAGCCGAGTGACACGAGATTAGCATATCCGGAATTGACATGTAACAATGAAATTGTCATTAGTTACAATTAGGTAGCTGAGCCGGGTAGTGTCGATAGGCAAAGAAGTTTAGGGTCGGATAGTGTACAGTATATAGAAGCATGGGCCATACAACAATCATAAGCATTGTATATGCAATGAGAAGCCTATGGCCGCGCACTGGCTACGGCGTGTGAAAAGAGACCATCATTGTCATGGCCTTTGCAGGTCCGAATTAAGTTGAATCAAGACGAGACGGCCGTATATAAAGCCAGACCTGCCCGCAGAAACATGATCGGATCGTTTGCATGGTAAGGTATATATAGCCTGAGGCTAGACGTTCCGACAACACCCAAACAATTCCCATGTATGCCATGGAAGCCTATGGCCCATGTGGCTACGGCGTTTGAAAAGAGAACACCGTCCGACATGGGTCAATGAGAGCCGCCACGTCCGTATGCCACTGAAGCATATATTGCACTACATAGGCTCGAATCAGATTTTGAGAGGAATGATTAAGAACATGTGACCATTAAGCATTCAATTACTGCAGATCAAACATCTGCGGCAAGCCAAGCTGGCTGGCATGCTCGCATTGGCACAGGCCCGGCTTTCCAGGGACTCTTACAGCAGAGCAGGCTGGATGGACTCGATCTACTCATATATGTTAGGCATGTGCACCAACACGTATGCACGCGCAACGTTACTACGTATCCAAGATCCGACCACCGCTGAGTCCGGACGTATATATGCGGGCCGCCCAGATCAGCCAGAATGCGCGGTCAGCCTGCCACCATGTGCCGCCCACACGCATTTGCCATGACTTGAAGCGGTTGAAGTTGGACTTTCCTTAATCGAAGCTTCAATCTCTTGCTTGTACGTCGGAATATCGTTCGGCAGAGAGTAAAAAACACTGCTAGCTCTGACTACGGTTGCCGGCGTGAAAACACTTGTAAGCCGTATGTACCGCCGTTCGGCCACCGATCAAACATGAAACCGTTCATGCACCTCATACCGTCGTCTGTATCAGACAATTGACTGTCACTACATACATGTGTCCTTTTGTGCTACAATTGGGGCCAATGCAGCTTCAATGTTGGTCTGTAAAAGGTAGGTGCTGGTTCCGCATCGCTCACTAGCGATGAAGACTTGCACCAGATCCTACTGCCTTAGAACCTACCGGAATGGACCAAACCCTGTCCCGCGGTTTAGTCGGCACGAGCCCTTATAAGTTATCGTCCAAAGTATCCCCAGTCGTTCTCACATGCCCATGCCCTTCAGCCATTACCGGGCTACTGGACCTCTCCAGGAAATCGCTCAGTCTAGTTCCCCCGTGGCCCGACTCCTCGAGCTCAACCCCACTCGTCAGCGTCGCCAAATTGGTGCGGGATCCCTCGAGTCTCGCGGCAACGAGAGAGGTTAGGTTATTGCGACCGTGACCGGACCCACCACTTAACGACCTCACATTTTCCATGCTGTGCCCGGATCCCTCAAACGAATCTCTCCTGCTCATTCGTTTTTGGTCTCCGGATGTCCCGCCCACCGTCGAGACAGTCCTCTGTTGGAAAAAGCGAAGAAGCGGCTGAATGGAGATCCATAAACGAAGAATGCAGATCCGTAGACAAAGAGTTGGCACGTCTGGGAATCGATGCGAGCAGGTATTGTTGTGTCATGCCCATCTGGAAAGATCTCTCAGACTTGCGCAAGCCCTTTGTCTACTTCGTCGTCTGCTCAATGGAGCTTGAGAGGTATATATGGATAGTCGTCCGCAACCGGAAAGACGCAAAGGGTCATCGTAGCAAGAACCACCCATTTGAGCGCCAAGACATACACCCCGATCCTGACGAAGCCAGCACCGAAGCGATCAGCTAGAACCGAGCTCTCTGTGCAATGCAAACGGCAAGAATCAACAATGTGGCGAAATGTCGGTATGCTTTGCGGACAAAACCGTCGAGTCTTTGGGGTACAAGTCCAACTGGTTTAGTTGTCGATTCCATTCGAGTAGGCAAAAGAGAAAAAGGCAGCGCAAGTCCTTACCTGCCAGCCCGACAGCTTGGCCACCGTGTTGTCCCCCGAGTCCGACACGTGGCGGTGCGAGAAGAAGAAGACGATGACGGTGATGTCGTCATGGAACTCGCGCCGCTTGCCCGCGCTCATTTGCAGCAGCTCCGAGTAGGGCACCTCGTGCTTCTTGGCCGCGCGCTGGAGGGCCACCTTGACCAGGTGACGTGCGATCTCCTGCGAACGATGACGTCAGAACGTGCATGACGTACTCGGTTCTGACGCGTTATGACCTGAGCAATGACAATTTCTGACCCCTCTCACCAAAAAGAAAGAAAGGGATATATAGATTGTGCATCTTGGCGGCGCGCTGGAGGGCCGCCTTGACCAGGTGACGTGCGATTTCCTGCAGGACAATGACGTCAGAAGCATTGGTGACGTCATCCTCGAGCGCTTTCTGATCTTTCCGATCAAGAATGACTTGAAGACAAGTTGAACGGGTGGATCCTTCGAAGGCGCTAACAAGCGCGCTGGAGGGCCACCGTGACCAGGTGACGTGCGATCTCCTGCCAGAAGATGACGTCAGAAGGTATACGACGTCACATAATTTCGGGTCTGGCAAATCAAATTCGACCTCAGATGACATTGGACGAATCTTGATCAGTTGCAACCTCAAGAAGTGCCGCGCGCTGGAGGGCAATGTCCTGCGACCGGATGGCGTCAGTAGGACGACGTATTGGCTGGATTTTGAGTGCGTCACGAACTTTCACACGCCAGATCAGGTGTCCGCTTCGGTCGCTTCTTGTCGAGTCGTGGCGAGGTTTGCCCTTTGGTCTTGCCGTCCCCCGTCGCCTTTTGGTCATGCCACTTTAAAACCCTAGTACCCTAAAACCCGTCCATCGGAGTTCGATCTAAAAGCTCTCCGTCGTCGCTCATTCCTGTCATCTTCCTCCGTACGCCATTCCTTGTTATCCATGATAACCTGTGCCTTTTGAGCGATTCACAAAATGATCTGTCGTGGCAGCCGTTTGATGAGTTTTCCAACGCACCTGCCGCGGGTTCGCATTGACGATCGCGACGGCTTCTTGATTGCCGACGTACTCCCACAGCCCGTCTGACGCCAGGATCAGGAACTCGTCCTGAAAGGAATGGCGCGACGGTATTTCAGGCAAATCGAATCTCACACCGAAAGTGCACAGGCGTTCCTCAATTTGGGCCAAGCAGGGTCAACTTACAAGCATTGTTCGGTGCAAGCTTCTTCGGAAGCGAAAGTCCGAACCGGGAGTCACGCTCAGCACGTTCGGGCGACGTAAGGCGGCAGAATCGCGACTAAGGTCGCCCCGCAAGTGACCACGTGGGATCACGGCGACCAGAAAAGTGGTACTCCTGCTTCCCTGTCGCCAGAGCATAACCGGGTCACTGCACGCCATCTACCAGATGTGCAAGTCTTAGATCAGATTCCAAACATCAAGGACTGTCCCAGTACGTTTTGGCAAATGGACGAAGAAGTTGGAAGTAGAGAGCGTATTCACCTCGGGCCGGATCCGCTGGACCACCATGTGCGGCTTGGCCGTGATGAGTGGCGGTGTGAATCGGCCCGGCACCCGAAAGCGCGGGAAGAGCGGCTGCCGGTTGAACTCGAGGCTCTTCATGTAACAGTTGCCAAACGCTCGAGTGACCTGCGGGAAACGGTACAGAGTACGCAAATCTGAGTACTGAATCTCGTCCCCCATAATCTTCTTCGAAGGGTTTATTGGAAGGTTAGGATCTCACGTCTTAGATATGGGGAGTTTGTTGGGGGTTACCAGTGACTTCGTCGAGGTTTCGTTTTAAGTGAACGCGGTCAACCCGATAAAGGTCCCAGCCTAAAGAAACGGATATACGTTACCGTTTCGAAAAACATGTATGTCAAAAAGAGGCACAAACATCGTAAGATCTCCGATCGTCTTTGCAGACCTGCACTTGTGCGGACACGTCGGGTGCATATTGAACACACAACTTAAAACTGAGGATCTAGCTTACCAAGGAAGAGATCTAACCGTCGAGAATGCGTACTCAGCGTCCGGTCGACGACTGTTTTTGGCAAGCAAGAAAAGCGATTGACGGAGTGCGTGCTTACGGATAAAATAAGGATCGCTTTGATCCTAGAAATCGACAAACCTCTTGCACAGCCCGGCCAAAATTCCCTCAGTAGATTGCCCGAAGAGTCCTATCAGGTGATTGAGTAGACTCAACGGAAAGCTTTTATCATAACCGGCTCTAACCACCTGAAGCTTGCCCTTGATCCGGAACGTCCCTCGGATCTCGAGGAGGACGTCAGCCTGACCCTGGTGCTCTTCTAGGTACCTGCGAGGAAGGTTACGGCGTGACGTCAGCGCAACCGCTTTTGACGGTTCGGAACGGATAGAGGAGCTCAGCAGGTCAGGAAATCTACGACAATCCGGGTGTAGAGATCGGATTCCTTCTGCAACTCGCGAAGCCTCGAAGCTTCGGAGGAAGCGACCAAGGCAAGGAACTCACAACGAAGGTGCATGACTGCGGACGACAATGTGCCTCTCGCATCGCCGCTCCACAGTATCTTTCAACAGAGCACCCTCAAGCGTAAGCCCGGAGCCCATCAGAAACAATCAGACGTGCGATTTATATCGAAAGAATCTCAACGGCTATACCAGCGCGCTCCTCCATGTATTTGGGGTTATGGTCCACGCCTAATTGCACAGCCGTCGGCGGGCCGAGTCCGCCCCGCACGGCAAGCACCGCCTACCAAAAACCCTGAATCGCAAACCCCAGAAGTCGAAATAGTTTGAGTTCTACGGTGGGAAGAGCTCTCCTTTACCTGGCTCGTTCCTCAATGTTTTTCAGGTTATGGTCCACGCTTATCTGCAACCCGTCGGCGGCCCAGTCCGCCCGCACGGCAAGCACTGCTCAGCTATAACCCTGAATCTAACCCTGAAAAAGCTGGAACATTTAAAACTTAAATTGACAGATAGAAGCTATACTTTACCTGGCTCGTTCCTCAATGTTTTTGAGGTTATGATCCACGCTCAATTGCACAGCGGTCGGAGGGCCGAGTCCGCTTCGCACGGCAAGCACCGCCCGGCTGTCGCCGCAATTGGCGACGTACAAAGTGGAGCCCGAAACGAGAGCGATCACCGCACAGGATCCGACGCACGCCAAATGGGGCGCCTCTTCAAACTCTTGGCGAACTAGAGTGGTGAAATGTTCTTCTGTAGCCTGGAAGGAAAGGAAAAGGCTTGAGTAGATGAGGAATCTTGGCTTAAACTTTGAGGTTCAGGAAAGCTTTCTGAGACGAGAGCAATCACCGCACAGGATCCGACGGACGCCAAATGGGGCGCCTCTTCGAACTCTTGCCGAACTAGAGTGGTGAAATGTTCTTCTGTTGCCTGGAGAGAAAGACGGATGGTTCAACAGGAAAGTATCTCTTGGCGTAGGGCTTATGGTTCAACAATACTTTCTGAGGGGAGCGCATATACTGCGCGGGAGTCGACGCACGCCAAATGAGGCGCCTCTTCGAACTGCTGGCGAACTAGAGTGATGAAGTGTTCCTCCGTTGCATGGGAGACGGAAAGCAACAGTTTAGAAACTTGATTTCGTGGTCACCAACTGAAGCTCAGGAATGCTTCCTGAGACGACAGCAGTCAACAAGTGTTCCTCTGTCGTTCAGAAGAGAAGGAAGAACGCTTAAGTAAGTGAGGGTTTCTTAGCCTGAGGCTTAAAGGCTAAGAATGCTTCAAAACGAGCGCAGAAAACTGAACGGGAGATGGCGCACATCAGACGCGGCGCCTCTTCAAACTCGAGTCCTTGTGAATAGAGTGATGAAACGTTATTCTGTAGTCTGGAGAGAGAAGATTGCTGTGGAAAGTGAGGGTTTCTAGGCCTGATATTCACAAGTGTAGAAACGAGCGCAGCAACTGCGCATGACCGGACGCACGCGGGCGCCAGATTGTATTCCGGGCGAACTAGAGTAATGCTTTGTTTTTCACCTGCCTGGGAAGAAAGAACGGTCGCATGAGCGAGGGACTCGTGAGCGATAAGCTCAAGCTCAGAACTACTTCCTGAGAGGAGCGCAAAAAATTGCACACGATCGGAGGCACGCCAGGTGGCGCACTTCTCGAACACTTGGCAAACTAGAAGTGCTGATATATATTCCCCTGTGGCCTACATACGAAGAACGAAAGGATTGAGGCGAATCTGAAGCTTCTCATTCTACCTTTAGAAGCATCGTCTTTGCACTCCTCCTTACTTTTTTCAACAAACCTCAACCGCTTGCACGATGGTCTGTATCAACATTTCCTACAATCCACATGGCCTCCTGAATCTTCCCAATACTCTCAGGCTCTTTGTACGTTCCTCCTTCTTCGAAACCTAGACTCACCTCACAAGCTCGCACGATGATCTGTTCTGACAGTCCTCCCCTGGTCAGCATTGCCTCCTGAATCTTCTCGTTTGAAAACTTCGTCTTTCCACTCCTCCTTAGGATCTTGGACTCACCCTCACACGCTTGCACAATGGTCTGCCCTGACGTCTCCGTTTGGAACTCTCCCGCTTCTCTTTTCGACATCTTGATTCGAGTTTTCATTCTTTCTCCAAATTCCTGACTTACCTCAAAAGCTCGGACAATAGTCTGTTCCGACATTCCCCCCATGGTTAGCATTGCCTCCTGGATCTTCGCAAAGAGAGCCGACTCGACGAACGCGGACGCTTCCGGGCCCCCGTGACCGTCGTACACGCCCATGAAAACTCCGCTGCTGCTGGTTTCCACCTGGAGTCGAGAATTTTATTTCTCACCTTTCTGGCACTGTAAAACGGTGCCCCTGTTCAAGTCACACGAGTTTGATAGTTATGCTGCTTGAACTCTTCTTGCGAAAGTCGTTTGGTTATTATGAGTTGGGTTCTTTGTTGTCAATTCGTTCGTTTCAAGATGAATTATATGGCTGAATTGACCGCTTTTTTCACTGTTCTAGTTGAATGCTTTGCGAGGAGTTCCGTGTTGCAGTCGCTTGTACCGGTTCGACTTTGATCCGCTTGAGTCAAATTAAGATCCTTTAGCATACTTGAACGTCCTGATCTCAAGTAGTCTACTTGCTGGAACAGCGCCTTGGGCAGGGCTCTGGGTTATAAGGTGGAGCGATCAGATTCGGTGCAGCTTTGCCACGTCTGCTGAGCAGAGAGTTGAAGGACTCCCTGCTTGTCACTACCGAGAGCCGCCAGTGAGTCACGTATTCGAAATCATTTGGACGTAATTACTAGAAGACGAGTTGTTCGCAGTGTGCGTCCTGTTGGTGACAGGCATCAACTTGGAATTAGCATCCGCTGTTGACCCGCACCAAATAGGAATCATGAAATCCTTTGAAGCCGCCAGAACAAATACGAGAGGCTGCAGGTCGCACGCCTCAGCGCCATCGTTCGAAATATCAACGGGATGCAGCCTGCCAGGGAATCGACAGAGCTCCTTCTGACGCCGATGACGTAGGTTCCTAAAGCAGTGGAACGGCAGAAATCAATCTTTCTTGAATATTATGGGGATCAACCTCGAAGGACGTCCTTGAGTAAAGGAAATGCTGCTATCAGGAAGCGTGGCGAGGATCTACGAGCGATCTGCCGAAGGCGACGGCCGCAGCACGTAAAGGCTGCTGACGTGTCGGTCCCTGCTGACGCACCTGTGACGTGTCCTCCATGACGTAGTTGGCCTCGTACATGGCGTAGCTAAACTCGCCGAACGCCGTCCGCTTGAGCTTCTTATGCCACATGCCGCCCCGGTCTCGCCGGCTGGGGCCCGGGCGGAGGCAGTCGGAAGAGACTCGCTGCAATAGAATGAAGGATTCTGAATTCTGAATTCTATTCAGAGAGACTGGAGATTTTTTGTCGACAATCTTCTCAGAAAGTCGCAATCTGTTAGGTTTTCAAAGGATTGAGACGAATGGCTATGTTTGGTGCACGATCGAGAGTTTGACCACTTTCTTGGTTCATTGCCTACACCTTTGAAGATGCGGCACTCTATTAGCAACCAATCAAAAGAGCATTACTGTCTCATTTTGAGTCGACTCCGGTCTAATTGACTTCAAGGTAAACAATCGCGGAGCAGTCGGAAGAGACGCGCTGCAGAAGGTATCGGGGCACACAACCAAGATGAGTGTCGAAATGAGGAATTGTACGCGGCAAGATCGTAAGCTAACCACCTTGAGACGGGTGGGCTTATTTTGGGGCTTAGGGTGAGTACGGGTGCGGAGCAGGTTAAAGTTTGGGTTACGCTTAGGTGTTGTTTGGTAGCTCAGTATGGCATCGCTCGAAGCAGTCACGCTTCCACACTCCAAACGTCAATCCGACGTCAAAATTAAAGCTGACCCTCTCCCCTTGGTCATTGATTCGCAATATGATAAGCTGAGAAGATCTTACCGAGAACCTCCTCCTCAGATTTGACATCTGAAGCCCAAACCGCGGCCCCTCCGCGTCGGGGTCCCCTTTCGTGCGGCTTCGAAGGGTGGGGTCTTCACCACCGTGCAAGGCCGCGTCAAGCCCAACCTACGTAGAGGATAACGACGACTGATTGTAAACAGGCTGGGTAAAAGCAGGCGTAGCCCCCACGTCACGTTCATTTTGTTGCGCCAACTTAACCCACGCGACTGGAATGAAGGCGACGGAACAGGTGCTCTGCAAGCTTTGGAGTCGCCGGATTTATCATCATAGAAGGCACTGTTTGACCCAACTTCTAAGAGCAGAGCAAGACCTTCTTTGGAACGGAATGTCGGTTGGAAGCCATTCAGTTGAGTTCCTGAGCTTTCTGAACACAGTAGACTCCAGGGCCCTGACTTGCGAAGCTTTTCAAGAAAGTAGCACGACGGAGTAGTGCAGCCACGAACAGCGCCACTGACGTCATCGTACTCACACGCGTACGGTAATGCTTTGAAAGACCGAGTCAAAGGGGGCGGTACAGCGTAGTCAGCACGCAGCGACAGTACACCGGACTCCGTGCCGAGACAAAAGTATAAAGGGGTGATTCACGGCGACGGGCAAGCAGGAACCCGCTTGTCCCGGTCGCCTGACATCCTTTCATATGCATTTGTGTACGCCCTCTTTTAAGTTTAAAAGTGTTTAATCCCCTGCAAGTAGGTAGAATTAAGCTCACCTCCTCCTCGTGCCTGGGCACCCGCAGCATCCCAAAGTAGTGTAGCACCGCGAAGAGCACAAAGGACACCCCGCCCACCCATGCGTACACCCCCAGAATCGCAAGCATCTGCAAGCCCGACGATGACGTCACGTGTGACGTCACTCAGCAAGTGCGCGGGCTGCCTTTTGTTTCATGAACGAACCATGCAGAAAACGGCTGCTTAGAAGGTGACGTCACTCAGCAAGTGCGCGGGCCGCCTTTTGTTTCACGAACGAACCATGCAGAAAACGGTGTGCTTAGACGCAGGGACCGCTTTGAAGCAGCCTTTGAAGTTGGCTCGAAGCAGAAGAAAAGGAGGCTCAACGAACCCAAGTACTTCAGTCGGTCTGCGCAACGCCCGTGACAAAACCTCTGATGAAACCGAGGCCGGTAGTCTCCTAAGAAGACCCCCTTGATTCTTCAAACTGCGCAGAAACATCGGCCGGTTAAAATGGCATGTGCATTGTATCTTTTTCCTCTGCTTGTGCTCGGTTCTCCGTAGATTCTGTCCAAGATATGTCCTTAAACGTCGTGATGACGTCCGCAAATTAAAGTTTCACCTGCAGGCCCAGCAGGTTTCCTGACCCCCCGTAGAAGATCCCCACGTCTCGTGGGCTCGCGATTCCGTACGTCGACCGAATTCCGTCCGCTGTAGCGAAGCAGCCCGCGCTGATGGCGCCCCAGGTTCCGCAGGCCAGGTGCACCGGAATGGCGTGGACCGGATCGTCGATCTCTAGCAGGGCCTGCAGTATCAAGCGTGGAAAACAGTTCAGAAAGAGAGATGTGTGGGGCTGGAGTTCTGAGTACCTCGTTTTCAGTATTTTTAACAAAACAAATGAAGCCCGTAATGGGGCCGTAATAGCGCTGCCCCAACAACTGGCGGCAGCAGAGCTGATCGCGCAGGCCGCCACGCACCCCCCCAAAATTGTATCGTACACGAATTTCACGAAGTGACTACCTTAGGAGGGGGGGTTCCGTACTGGGAACTAATAGCCCCCCAAGATATGAAATAAAACCCCGAAAAGATTCGAATGACTGCGGCCGCCCAGCTGACGACGACGGAGCTAGTCGCACAAGCCGGAACGCCACCCCTCAAAGAACGTAACGCATTCAGAAAGCATGTCACAATAAGTTATGTATTGGTGCATGTGTGTTATCATATGTAGAAGTTAGCTACCCCAGAGGGGAAGTTTCCATACCAGTAGCTTTACGCCCCCTGTTTATATCAATCCTGAAACACTCTCAACGACCGCCGCCGCCCAACTGGCAACAACGGAGCTATTCCCACAGGGCGCCACGCACCCTCCGAGATGTCAAACCGCGGCACTGTATTCCAACGAAACATATGACGCGCTTGATTTTCTCGTGAAGGGTTTCCCGTACCAGTAGCTTCCACCCCCCAGGATAGATCAGTCCCGAAACAGTTCCAATCGCCTTCGCCGCCCAGCTGACGACTACACAAGTGGCTGCGCAAACCGCCACGCACCCCTCCAAAATAAAATCACGCGCCTGAGTTCCTCAGAGGGGGGTTTTCGTACCAGTAGTTTCACCCCCCCAAGATATATCAACCCCGAAACAGTTCCAATGACGGCGGCCGCCCAGCTGGCGACAACGGAACTGGTCGCGCAAACCGCCCGCACCCCCCCCAGAATGAAATTTACGAGCTTGAGTTCCTCAGGGGGTGATTTCTTACCAGTAGTTTCACGCCCCCCAAATATAACAATCCCGCAATCGCTCCAATCACCGCCGCCGCCCAGCTGGCGACGACGGAACTGGTCGCGCAGGCCGCCACGCACCCCCCCAGAACGGCGTTAAATAGATGGTCCGGGGGGGATCCCCCGTGGCGCGTGGTCGCGATGTAGGCGGTGCAGCCGGCAAACGCGGCGCAGATCGTGGTGTTGCAGCAGACGCGCGCGAGTTGGTGATACCACACCTGCAAAGTTAAGGGGCAGTTACTATCAAGTGGGCTAGAATCTGTCAGAAAAGGGGCGCATAACCCCGAGATATTCGTGCCATTTCTAGATGAGCAGTCTAAGCAGTGTGATTTCTTTGACCGTGTGAAAGAGTCTATGCGATGATCGGGCGATTTGTTTCAGGAGTGTGCCAGTACAGATTCTGTCGCGGGAAGTTGAAACAAGTTGGGGGTGTTTTGGACGACAACTCGAGACTCGTTTATTTCCTGGTAAGTAAGTGAAGATTCACGTCGGTCTTGGAAGTTTCTGAAAACGATAGACTGGTAGCAGGATTTTGGTTACAAGGACGCGCTCGATCGGAGTTTTACATTCTTGAAAGATCCTGGTAAAGCAGGAAGGTTCCTTTGGAAAGCGTTGGAAATCTGAACAAATGCATTTGTTATCGAAGCTATGGAAAAAGACGGAAACATATTCGGGCACGGCTTCTTTTGACGGGCTCGTTTTGTGACGTCATCTCACCTCCAACCCCAGTCCATTCAGATCTACGCTGCCCGCGTTGAAGCCGTAGAAACCGGCCCACAGTATGAGCGTCCCGGCCGCAACAAGTGAGATCGAGTTGGGCTTGAACGGAACCAGCCGCCCTTCGATGTCGTACCGTCCGATTCGGGGCCCGACCATCCAGGCGCCGACCAATGAAGCGACGCCACCTGGCATGAACGAGGGGAACAGAAATGGAATACCAGAAGAGTGACCCTTTTCAGTACTGTCGAGCAACGTCCACAAACGAGAACGCCTTCCTTGACAGACGCAGCGGAATCGCTACAATCAAAACATCGAAACGGTAGCTGGAGCTTGCGATAATGCGTGAGAAGTGCAAGGCTTTTTTGCGTGCATTCCTTGGCTTCCTGAATTTGAACTCTGAAGAGGAAGCCCGGTGTCTCGTGCGTTGACAAACTTGCACGGCACGAAATAATAACAGCCGCGTTCCGTTTCTGGTCACAAACGGAGTCCTGCACTGAGCGTCGGACACGTGTTCGTACCAACGGTTAAAATTCACAAGGCGGTCCCGCCTGCCCATCAGCCAGACGTTCTCCAATCCTACTCCCTTGACGACCCACATCGAGCATGTCGCTCGGCGAGAACCTCGCATTACTTTGGTAATGGGCACGTGTCCAATCTGACGGCCAACGAGCCCTTGCACAGGCCCCGTCCTGCCCTTGTACAGAGTTGCACGTGGAACTTTGAAACGTGAACAGGCACAGGCTTTCATACGAACCTGACACGTGACCCACCGGACACGTGGACCACCAGCGAGCCGCCGTTGTTCAGCACGCTGTCCGTGCCCATGGGCTGCGTTCGGGATGTCACAAAGAAAGACGATCACGGGCTATGTACGATCTTGACACGTGTGCTTACCTGACACGTGGACGACCAGCGAGCCCGCGTTGTCCAGCACGCCGTCCGTGCCTACGAAGGCCTGCGTCCGAACGCGCGCGCTCATGAGCCCGTGCTCGGACCACACGAAGTGCGCAATCATTGGGTACATAAATGCGCTGTGGACGAAAATGTAGATGAGGTACGCCCGGACCTGGAAGCGCTCGGCGACTGCTCCGGAGGCGATCGTTGCTGACGTGGCGGCGAACGTGTACTGGAAGAAGAAGTTGACCTGGGGGAGAGAGCGTGTCAGAGCTTGAGCTAGTCATTCAAATGGAGTCTCAGGACGGAGGTATATATCTTTATGTTCTACACAAGAAGGTTTTGGCTGCTAACCAGGCTGATTGAGTCTCAGGTTATTGGACAATTAACCGGGCTTGGGCTTTTTCGGTTACCGCCCAGGTCTGGTTATGCGGACGCTTAACCACTTTGTAACGAGCTCATAGCCAGCCCGCACCATCCATGGTTAAGGGCCACGAATCTTTGTGCTAGTATTGCAAGGGAGCCAAAACGAGTTAGGGGATCCTAGTTTAGGTGGGGGCGACAAATCTGTGCTCGAAGAGACGGGGACCTCAGGGGAAGGTGAGACTGGTCAGACTATTCGTTCTTGCGTACTTAGAGAAAGAAAGTAGAGCGTCGAGGTTTGAGCATCTTTGGGTTCTGAAGGAGAAACGTTCGAGGCGATTTTGGAAAGACGGGCGCACAAAGAAGGAAAAGATCTGCACGTATCCGGAGGGGTATGCCGCGTCAGATTGAAGGAGGGCGTCGAGAACCGCGGGATGCAAGTCATCTGGGACGCTCGACGAACTATTTCGGTCTAAATGAGCGACTCGACTTGAGCACACTTGAAAGGAATGCTCAAAGCCTGTTTCAATTCTGGTGAAAGAGGGCGGGGCGAGTCGACTGAAAAGCAAGCCCGTGATGAGGAGAGGGTTGCTGATTCGTTGTCACTCCGTTCCGTATTGCAGCCATTGAAAACTAGAGGGAGGAGCGATACTGAGTGCCTTGACCGGACGAACCAGAAAAGGCAGGAGAAGGCGGCGGAGATGGGAAAACGGGAAAGGGAGATGTGGACAAAGGTTGAAAATAGAGGGAAGGAGACGTCACCTAAACAAGCCAAAAAGGGTTTTGTTTCTGATACAAACGTTCCTCTAGAGGAATGGACCGAACAATTAAGGTGGTCAAATCAGCAGTTTTTGGGCGACTAAGAAGAGGTGTGAACCTGGCCTGAAAAGGAATCCAGAAATGTAGAGCAAGCAGGGTATTGAGCGTAGCGGCGACCATGTCTTTGCTGGCCCCCACAAGGACGGGCTGATCATTCAAAGCGAAATTTCACTCTCAGACTGGCTTTACTAAGGATTGGAAAGCTGTGACAGCGTCAACTCAGCAATCTACGAAAAGCCGGCGGTCAGTGCTGTGCATGTAAGCTTGTCACTTGCAATTTTCGTGTGAACCAAGACCCGACTTACCTGGGTACGTTCAACAAAATCCCCAAAACTGATATGTACAGCCTTCCGCAAAGAGCACCATTGGGATTTGTCTGAGCTCTGAGGATCAAGCTCACAATCAAACCTACACACGTCAGGTAAAACAAGCAATTTCTGCCAGACTGTAAGTGGGCAAACTTTGAAAATGTAAGCTGAAATAGAATGAGGTTTCACCTGCTCCCCTTCATCAAAAAGTGCGATCTGCCCTGCGGGATTCTTCCAGCCAATGAAGCGGGAGCCGTCTCCAAACCCGATGGCCCACCCAAAGGACCAAAAGGCGACCGCACAAAAGCATGCGTCCATCACGTTCTTGATCTGCAACAGAAAAGAGTATCAGGGGTCTGTGAAGTTTCAGTTCCTGAAGTTATTGGCCGTTAGGAACTCCTGCATTCTACCATTGATGATCATCGATGTTAAGGCCACGTTGTTAGCACAATTTTGCCTAGGAAGAGATTATTGTGGATGTGAGTCTAACCAGCATTATAAGGCTACAGGACTAGTGTGGATTTCACCAAAAAGCCAAAGCCCATTTGCTAGGCCAATCTCTGTACGTGTTGAAAGATTCCCTTTATCCAAGGCGAGGAAGTGTGGCTCCATTTCAGCGGAAACAACATAGCAAGCGACTTCCATGTTGGTGTGAGCTGGCCACTGTAAAAGCAGATGCTTCAGAATCACTCTAAAGCATTGGAAGAAGGTGAGGAAGTACTTATTCCCAGAGTCAGGAAGGTTCAGCTAGCTTTAGTGGCAACCTCAAATGCAAGGACATTCAAAGTCAAGGATGCATAATCAGATCATGGTGCGTCATTTACTATCAAACCCTTCTTAGGAATGAAGGCCCTACCATGATATTTCGGGTGTTCTTCGCACGGACCGACCCAGACTCTACAAACGCAAACCCAACCTGCAGCAGACAGGTCATGCTGGTTTACTTTTAGTGTAGAAATGCTTCACATTGTGTCACTTTCAAAGCCAACAATCAGAGCTGCAGAGCCTCTCTGGTTTAGTGATTCTTCCTTGTGGCGCTGACCACTTCTAAGCAGAGTCGTCAACATGGATCATTACTACTTCACTCGATGTTGACATCTTGACGGGCCACCTTGAGACTGTGCGCTGTCGTTCATTGCACGCACAATTTGCAGAGCTGAGGAATGGGGCACTACTGATGTCCATTCAACGAGTCAAAGGCCATCATTCTGAAGACGTGTGTCGGATGCTTGACTGAGGGGCACTGTGTGTCAGACCTCCTTGTGGTAATATCTCTGCCAGCCACTTTCGGGGCCCGAAGAGCTGGCTATCTCTAGAAAGTCTTTACTTCCAAACTGTCGGTGCAGGTGTTTTACTTCCAAACTGTCGGTGCAGGTGTCCCCTCAAAAGAGGCCAACACAAGATGACATGAGCAACCAAGGGGTACGTCGAACCAGCAAACGAAGGCCGTGAGCGTGAGAACCAGCACTTTGGGGCTGATCTTACATCAATTGTTTAGTTTAACAATCATCCCTGACAAGACAGAGCAAAGCAGGGGCTTGAGTTTCTGACGGTGCCTAACTAAACCGCACTCATCGGCGCGTCAACAAGCATAATGGAGGCCATATCCTTCCTGAAAAGCTGCGCAATGTGTCTGATAGCAATATTAGGAACCAGAAGTAAGCAAAGGATGCAGGTTAAGTAGACTGCACTCAAGGAGAATCGACGTTGATACATCATGGATGCCTTGAACTTGCCTGCATGAAAAAGACGATTGTGGCGGCTTGCAACCTCCATATTGCTGCATCTGTCTCTGCAGCTTGCTTGAGGCCCTGCTGGGTAGCAGCGACAGCTGTGCTCAGCTGTTCCAAGGTGACCTCAACCATTCTCCCACAATTTACAGGGCCTCCATGCTTGGATGAGAGCTCGCAAGGGGCTCAGCTACCGTCAGAATCCACATCATCAAATGATCGGTCTACCTACTTGCTAGCAGCTAGAGTGAAAATGCTCCTACGGCCTCTACGCCTCTATAATCGCTTGCAATCAAGGGTCTCACACATAAAAAGCATTTATGCTCATCTGGCGTTTCGGCGCAACTTGCTAAGATCTTAAGAAACCACTCCCCACTTGCAGGCAAATTGAACGCCCGGCGTCTCGCTTATTTTTGCAAACTCCTGCATTCCTCCTGAATGAACAGCCAATAACGCGGCAGGTGACTTCCTCTCTCTAGGCTGGGGACAGAGATGATTTTTGAATCATGCTCCGCAAAGCAATGATACAAAATGTTCTATGCGTTGCTTTCCCCTTGCTTTCCCTTCGAAATGCTTGTGCAAGCAGGTAAAACTCAGCAATGCTCTGGCTGAGTCCATTACCTGACGAGAAAGCTAGGAGGGCAGCCCCTGAAGTTTGAACAGTGACTTGAATGAGCAGGATACATCCTGAAAATTCAACCAAATGCGCCCCAATTTGCAATGCCGCCATGTTGCCATTGTTGGAATTTGGAAATCCTTTCAGTGTCACATTCTTCAGTGTTCACATTCTCAGGGCAGATGCCATGTGCCACGTGGAAGTCGGCGGCTGGCTTGTAAACAGATTAGTGTCGGGCCGACAAAATTGGTCGCAGTTGACCGTACTTGTGTGACTTTCCAAGTTCCAACCCTTGAGAAACGACCTAGGTACGTTCGATGACCGTCGAAATCAGGAAAGTTACCGTATCACAGCTCCCGTTGAACACGGAGACTTAACAAAGAATCAAGTACGGTACTTGCTAGAGGACTTATACCAAGTAAAAACCCTGCCCTTCTAAAAGGGTGGTTAACAGGATACATAAATGTATTGACTTCGACATAAGTTGACCTTTATTCGACGCTTCTTCACGTTTACGGTTTAATTGGTGTGTCGTTGTGTCAGACAGTCAGACTGTTATCTCGTACGGGTAGCTGGGTCACGATGATTCTCTGACGCGTGCATTGGTCACCCTTCTGTACATCTGTATAATGCAGGACCGCAGGTGTCTGCTTTGATAAGCTTTGAACAGAGTCGTCTGCTTCAAGTCTAAACATCTGATCTAGAAGTGCAGAGGGCAAGGAAGAGCGATCATTTTGTCTAATGTTTCATGGCGGCAGGCGGCAGAGGCCTGCAAGAGCCATTTTGCAGGGCGCTGGATCTGCCATCCCGCCTCTGTCACTCTTCTACCATCAGCTTCTCACAGATGCAGTGCTTCAAGCAGTCTCTGTGTTTCATTAGACAGGCACCAGCGTTCAAAGTTTTTGCAGGTCGCTCTCACTACGGCCGATTTCCCACATCTCCTCTCTGTTTGCCCGACCCAGCACCGCCCTGGCTCGCGGAAGCGAGGAAAGCCGTGGCGCGTCAACCGTTACCGCTCAGTGAGCAGCTAAGTCGACTGGGCGGTTATGCTTCTCTCCAAAGCAAGCAGTCAGATGCAAGTGGTGGAAAGGCTGGTCTTGAAGATAAGGGACTCGATCAAACCCCTTACAGACAGTATGCTGAAGACAGCAAGCAGCATTCAACCCTGTGGGCAATCACTGCGCGGAACGATGACTTTGACGGCGCCTTCGAAGTGGAGGCACGAGCGCAGGGCTATCAGGAGCTGAGACCAAACGTGTTTGCGGTGGGGGGGTCCGATGCAGGTGTGGTGCAGCAGGGGGTATGGAGGAGGATGGTTGGGCTAAGGCTCATTGTAAGTTGTCTTCTCCGCAGTGTTCCTTGACTCGACCATTGCTGCAAAATTAGGGTTCTGAGGGCTGCTGGCAGTTTACCTGTTACAAAGTGCTGTACCATGTGCAGGGGAGTAGCTTCTTTGAGCATTGTTACGCGTCTCACCATGTGCTGGGTTCACAGACGCTCCAGGTCATTGTCCTGGGCTTAGATTAGGGTTTGAATGAAAATCTAAAATAGGCTTTCCAATCCAAAAGAAATCCACCCACTGTTCTCGTACTGCCAAGCAAGTAGGGACGAATGCTGCCCATTCGCACAGAATGTGGTGGGTCCTGCTCTGCAGCAGACTCTTGCTTGGTGCATTGTCGTCTATGAACATGTAATTGAAAGATCCTGTTGGCCAGATGGGTGACGGGCTCTTCAATGCTGCCAGCTGTACAAAATGGTTGTTCAACATTGCTGCGACTCCCAGCTGCAATTCGCTCACCGAAGTGGCCTGAAAGCTGGGTCCGGAGGAAAGGAGAGAAGCCCAAAACTGTTTTGTAAAGTATCAAAGTATCAAACGTCAAAGAACAGCTCGGCGGGCACCTGTAGATGGAGCCTCTGGTGGTGGCGGCTACACCAGCAGAACTCGTCTCACGCACGATGGACTTGTCGCTCGACCTGGTTCAGACAGAGTTCAGCATCTCGCACGAGCGCTTGGAACGGAACGAGGGCGCCAAAGAGCTGAGCCAAGTGGGTGAGCTTTAGGCCCCCCTGTCCCTACTCGGAGGACGATGCTTGATTGAAATTCATTTCACAGACTTGAGTTTCAATTGCAGCAGATGTTGAATGCGCGTATTGTCTCGTGGGGCATCTGGTCAATTGCCGCCACTTAATCCGCAGGTTTGAAATCAGGAACGAAAACCTGAGGGCTAGAATCTAGAACAGAGAAAGACATATGAGGATTGAACAAAGATTCTATACATGTGCTCCAGGGCTGATTGTGCATCGGCCACTCGAATAGCAGCTCGCAGAATGGGGAGCCAGGTTTTACAGACTGCCTGAGTAGATATTCTTGTTACAGCTCTGCGGAGACACTTGGGCGCCGTGCTCGGCAACCCCAACTGGGCGGCGTGCAAAGACGAGCCGGGGCTGACGCGGCCGCGGTATGTCGTGCTTGAAATGACAGAAGGGTGAGCGAGCCAACGTTGTTCCTCATGCGAGGTTCCCATATCTGCCTATGTGCAAGTAGCAAGCCTTTCGAGGGGACATAGGCCACCGGTGTGTTTATCGGAGGTCGAAGTTGGTGAGAGGTGATCACAGATGATCGTGTTTTTTGCCTGGCGGTATCTTCTTTTTTCAGTATCAGTTCTTGGCAACGTTTCCCACTTGCAGACCTGTGTGCGATGAGCACATCGGCTCTGATGTTATGAAGACTGTGTTTTGGGGCTCTAGGGTCTGAAATCTGTATTTCGCGAAATTTTTGCCGTGATTCCCGGTCCAGGACCGCCAATGTTTTTTTGGTAACTTTGACAAAGTATTTCCCCCCCTCTTTTTTGGTGAGCGGGGGTCGGTCGTGAGTGGTTTGGCCAGCACAGAAAGGCCTACTTGTTGTGTATGGCAGGTTATCTGTTGCAGCCATAGGCGTAAACGTTTCAAGGATGTTCGCCCGTTTATCAATGTGTCGCATCTTTGTCTTGCGACACATCAGTTTCGCACTTCTGGAAAAGGAGGGACTCCGTTTGATAGGGCATCAAATTCTGAGCATAGATTTCAGCAGCGGGGACCGCCAGTCCGGTTTGGCTGAGCTCATCTCTTCTGCACAACCACACAGTTGCTCAACGCATTTGATCCCTCTGTTCTTTATGTCACGTGCATGATTGTTCTCAGAGGGCAGGCTCGGCAGTCCATGTGTTTTCACCGGCGGCGGTTCTCGAGTCTGTTTTGTCGGAAAGCCCTTCGCGCCCTTGTAAACAGTCGAGATGATTGCTGACAATGGGCATTTTTTCCCGTGCTTTTCCTCAGGTACGTCCTTGGGTACGTGGTATTTGCTCCGCCCCTCCTCGGTCTGGACTACTCGTCTGCTCCTCAAACGTGGAGGTCAGCGCCGTTGCATCCATTACTATCTCTGCATTTGCGTTATTGAAACTGAGTGTCGACTTTTGAAGTTTCGTTACATGGACTTTACCAGCTACTTGAGTATTGGAGCGGACTTGTGTTTGATACTGATTGCGAAGTCTATTGCGATCCTTCTGTAAGGGCGCCCTTCGTTTAGAGCCTGATTGCCCATTCTAGCCGAACAGCTAAGATTGTGTGTTTCTGTTTCTCGACCCCTTGAAACTCCTTTCAGATGGTTCCTGATAGTCATTTTCGTATCGCGTCATTGGTCCAAACGAAGGAGAAGACGTTGAGGTAACATCAGGAATTGCAGTCTTTTCAGTTGAACTGTTCAAAGAACCTCAGAGCTGACGGATTGAACCGTCTGTATCCAAGTGGTCTACTGCCCGCTCTTTTTTTCTAGTCGTGTGTCGAGCTGTCTATATCAAAGTTTCATTTCTGCAGTCCTTAGAATCGCACTCTGCAGGGTTGCTTCCTCGTGTCACCAAATCAGAAGACCGGTTAATCTGTCCTCGGATGTTGAATCCTCTTGATTCTTGAGTCTTAAGGTAACTGCTGCAGTATGCCTACCTTCTGCTGAACTCGATCGGACACGTGGCGTCTTTGCAGTGCGGCGCTCCCTCCTGAGCTGGCGGCTGTGGCGGTGAATCTCGTGGCGCGACCGGGGGACACGCTGATCGACCCGTGCTGCGGTTCGGGAACCATCCCGTTCGAAGCTCACAGGTGAATTCCTAAAGTTGGCTCTTTCTGTCTGAGCGGGGTCAAGGAGAAGCAAATACTTGAAAATCGAGGCAGGGGGCCCAGTTGGATGCGATGACGTGGCGAAGTTTGGGGTTTTTCGCGTGCCTGCGAAACTCTGATTGGTTGAGCGACAAGACAAGCCAGGGTGTTGCCACAAATCCTTGCCACGTCAGCACTACCAACAGGGATTACGGCCCTTGGTCACAGAATTTCTATCGTGTCTTTCTCCTTTTCCCCGCTTCTGCGCCCAACAGCTCAATACCATTTCTTGAAGCCCTTTGGGTTTGGCGGGGGCTCGCAAGGTGCTTTGGCGGGGCGACTCACTCCAAAGACGCTTCACTACTTTCTAACGTCGACGAAAAGCAACAAGCTCGACTCGACTCGGGCTGATGTGAATGCGCACCTCGTCCGTTCTGAATTACGGGATACGGAGTAGCCGATTCTCGCTCTTTCGCTTTGGCGGAGGCTGAGGCCAGAGGCGGATTATATGGAGGACTTCCGTGATCTGTTGGCGAGCCTGTTTCAGATGCTCGGGTGCACCGACACGCACCATCGTTTCTTTGAAGCTCTTTGCACTGGAAAGTTCAAAGTCCGGTTTGAGGGTAGTAAAGTCTTGAGTCTGGTCGGCGCACAACCTGGACCTTAACGTTTTTCATCTATTGCGGGAGTATTTCCCGGAGGGTTACCCGGCGGGCTCGAGGCCAAGTTGATCCAATTGTCGCGCTGGCAGCAGCGCCCACTTTCCGAAATCCTGACCGCGAACATGTCTGGAAAAAGTTCCGACTGTCTGTCGCTTCTCACCGCTTCGCTATTTTCGAGCTTAGAACCCGAACAGACGTGCGATGGACTGCGCCGACCAGCACGCCAAACCACAGCACAACTTAGCCAACTTAGTGCAACTTAAAATCAACCGTTCTGACTTCTGCTTTGTTCCAGGCGTGGGGTCCACGCACGTGGCAGTGACGTCAATCCTACGGTGCTGAAGATGGCAGCGGCCAACTTCCGGCACCTGGGGGTACCGTACCGTGCTTCTTGGGACGAGCGTCCGAGCAGCGGTGCGGACGCTTCTGGAAAGAAACGCCAAAGGCTGTCCGAATCGAAGAAGAGACTCGAAAATGGTGGATCGCCACATGGGTGTGTTTCGAGCAACGGGAATGGGCCGCATGCTCGACTGGAAGAGGGGCCGCATGAGGAGAGATCTCATACTAGGAGTAACGTTCCGGACACTTCTGACCGAGAAGGGGACTTAAATAGAACGAATTTGAGCAGGGAACCAAATTTAGCGAGTAGACAGTGGGAGGAAAAGGAACGAACGCACGCTATTGAGTTGTCAATACGAGATGCCTTGCAACTAGACGCGACTGCAGACTGCCTCGTTGCGAATCTACCTTACAACAGGTTTCTTGAGGTTAGCGAGGGGGATATAGAAGAGCTGGTGCGGAGACTGAGGGACTGCGCCGAGCGTTTTGTGTTCTTTGCGGGAGCGCCTTTGCGAGCTAAGTTAGAAAAGGAGGGATACGAAGTGGTCACGGAGGTAGACATAGGGAGACGAGGTAAACGATACATGTCGTGGGCTCGCTCAAAACAATGCTCGTCCACAAACCTTGAAGGTGCCCAAAGAATGCAGAGTACAACGTATGTCTGAAAAAGACAGCAACGGCTGCCTGTACGTCGCGGGTTGTTCGCAACAGTTAAACGGTTTGCAAAGTCCTGATAATAAGGTTCTTGCACCGGACCGGGTATCGGGTGTGATCGAATCTATGCCCAATTCATAACATGTGAACCTGGCATGGTCACTACAGTTCGATCGGACCTAGACTCCGGCCCGGCCGCCAGGCTCGGCGAACCCGGCCACTTCGAACGGCTAGCTATACTGAGCAGGTGCATGGTCCGATCGAATTTGATGGCTTGCTTCCGGGTCTATTCATACATGATTACACACTGATATGGCCAGGCACGTACAGCACGTGAACGGAAGCAAGTTGCGGAGTCAATGATGTCAACCCACGGCTGCGCATTGGCCGCGCAATTGTTCATGTAGTGGTATTCACACAAAACAGGCCAGTAGCGCCGGGCTTCGCTACTAGCTAGTTTCTTTCGGTCGGACTCAGATCCTTCTTCGACTCGCTCTATCGACCTGAATTGAACTTAATGATCCATCATGATCATGGCATGATCCACAGGCCTACAGATATTTATGGTCTTGCTATCATAGTATGGCCTGCAGAGGAATGCAGCAATGCACAGTAAATTAAATTTCACCAATTCTTTGGACTGAGATGTCGGCTGAATATGCAAAAACCTCCGACGGCGAAACATCTGTTCGGAGCGGCATTAAGCGGAAGGGATGGGGCATCCCTTGAGGAATCAACAGCATTTCTAATTCCGATCAGGGACGCGTCTTCACTTTTCTAATGCAGACGGTCCGTCAACATGTTGGTGTGATTATCATGCCACGCAACCGGCCAGAGTGCCGTCATACGTGTGCGGACACTTGGGTCCGCACAGGATCCCCAACAGCCACTCGAGGTTCTCTTTGACAATCTCAGCCCTACCCTCTTCCAGAGAATCCACTTTGTCCATGTCGATCCACACAGCGGCCCCCCCGCGACAATCTCCCAGGCGCACAACTACCCCGGTTGCCACATGCGCGATTTTCGTATGCCAGATCGAATCCGCAGGGTTTGGGGGGTTAACGATGTCGAGCAGGGGAAGTTCGTCGTTGGTGAGAGACTGGGACATCATGGAGATGCTTGCAAGTCTGCCCCTGATCTCAGCATCCGGCACGTGGCTGAAAATCGCGATCAGACGGTACAGCAGCATGCCCGAGGAGATTGCGGCGCACAAGGGGATTGGCTCAGTGTCCGTTTCCCGCGGCAGTTCCTGTTCAGAAAGGACGTGTGCGACTCGAGTTCGCTGACCCAGCTTGGAGGGATTGAATTTCATGAAAACAAAAAGTAATGAAGCAGCGGGTTTTAAGCCCTATATCAGCTCAGTTCCAACTCGAATTCGGACATGTCGTATATGTCTCGTAGACCAACCGTGCAGATTCTTCGCGTTAAAACAAGCACCGCGGTCCTGGAAGTAACAGGACTCCGCAAGAGAGAAAAGTGGGCATCTACGCTTATCTTACCAGGCTAGTTGCACCGTTTGTGTGAGAATGATCAGTCTCCTGAGCTTTGGCTCGCTGCTCTAAGTCAAGGATGCTTACACCGCCGCTATGAGAACACCAGGTAATGCTCAAAGCATCTTCAAAGCCTTTTCCAGATCTGCAGAGGAGACACTCAAGCTTGAATAGAATGAATCAAAACAAAAGCTTGTGAACACAACACTTCAACGGGAGATTTTGCAGAAGCTTTGAGCAAGGGCGTCTCGTTTCTGACAGCATTTTGTCTTGTGCGTTTCAACTCGTGCTTAATCGTGCTAAATAATGGTCAGTTTCATTGCTTGAAGCCCTGTCCGGATGAGAGCTGCTTGTCACCTGTCCGCATTTCTCACTATGTCCCAATTTTCTCGAATGGAGGTAGCACGCTCGTAGTCTTCGTCCCGTAAGCGCTTGGTACAGATGAACGGCGGATCCACTGGATAACGATCAAACTGCAGAGCTCGAGCCAGAGAGTTTACTCCCTTCTGGCAAATCCGTGGCCAGTTGAGAAAGGCTACATGACAAACAAAGACATCTTGAAAGAAGCCCTGATCAGTCGCAGGCGCCATCTCATGAAAAATCATTCTAAAGGACTGTGCAAAATTTCTTCGAGATCGAGAACAAGAACAACCCGTCTGCTCGGGATGAAGCTCTCTCAGGGTAACCGCTCACCGCTGACCGTCGCACCTTGTATCTGCTCAAGATGCGGGGATCGATGCTGCCGGCGACCACGCCACAGGGATGGAGGCACGCATCCGACAGCAGGAGCTCTACCAGCGCACATGCCTCGCTCTTAATGCAGTCTGTCCAGGGGCTAGCTTTCGGGATAAAGTTGACCTGTAGATGTGGATTGCCGAGGAAGTCGGAACCGTGAACAAAGGATGCGAGGTTGCATGCCAAGGTCGTTACAGGTTCTCTGACGGGCTTGATTGTATTTTCGATCCAACGATCAGAGCCTGGATCGTACTTGGAAGGCAGAAGACGCTCTGATGTACGTGGTTCTAACAACTGGAAGTTCAGTGGACAAGATGATGGGAGAACATACGTTTCTGAACCCTTTTGAAAAGCTATGCGACATGATCGTGTCTCTCATCCGACGACCTCTTCTGGTAGAAGCTGCTTTTGCCGTTAAGGATACTGAAACCTCAAGCACTTTCAGGCGCAATAGATGGATGCAGCAGAATACTTACCGCAGCCCTGACCGCCGCCGTGTGCTCATAGATCGCGAAGATAGCGCCGGTAGCTTTGTGGGTGAGACGGAAGCCCCACAAACGCTTGTAGAAGTCATAATGGATCGACTGCAATGAAGGAAAGAGGCATTTCATGCGGTACATGACATGAGCGGCCGACACGACGTCGAAGATCGCCGCGCAACCGGGCAATCCGGAGACGTCTCTGCTCACTCCGGCAAGTCCCGAATTCTTCCTGATAGAGCGAAAAGAGATCTTATGATAAATTTGACCACATATATGTATTTGATGAACGAAGGGTTGTAGTCAACAACTGACATTAAATCTAAGAATTGCATTTGGACCCGAATTGACCAAAACGTGCTCTACCTGACCAGCTTGATTCCAGATCAAATGTGAAAGGCTTTCGAAAGCAGATCTTCTTAAAAATCCACTACTGCCGCTTTTCAGAGCTCCCCTAAAGTAACGTAGACAAGTGGCAGTCTTAATGATACATGAGGTCAAAATTATCCTCGTACTGTGTCTTCTCTTCCTCAAGCCTTGGCATCGGCTCAGTGCTCCACGCCTCGGGGATGATGCTAGCAATGCGCTCCTTCTCCTCTGAGAAGATACTGTCTGAGTCTTCCGTTGTTCTCTGTGCGGCGTCCAGACTGATAAGAAGACGACTATCACCGACAAAGCTCCACACCGGAACCTTTTCGGAGAAAACGTGTGGAAGGACCAGATAATTCACTGCAAGAAAAGCTTGGTTTTGTCAGCTTTGTACCCATCAAGACATCGTACGAGTCTAGAGGATTGCGAGAATCTACTCCCCTTTGTTTTTGAAGCTTCTTTCTTCAATACTGGACGGAGTCGAGATGAGGACGTTGCAACGTCGTCTAGCAAACCCTGAGAACTGCTAATGGTATGTGGACATCTAATCAAGCACTACCACCGGCAAGTCTAGGTTTCATATCATCCGGGCAGGTCCTACTGCAAAAATGCACATTGTGCGACTGGACCCTCGCTCTCCTTTAATTACTTCCTTGATGACTTAAGAGCTAGGCTTAACAAGAGTAGAAACTCATAGGGTCTTTGAGCAATATCTTCCTGATCGATCAGAAATGTCCCGCAAGTCACAACGGATTTGCCGATGAAAATGGATGGCAAATTGTAATATCTTTTGCCATGAATCATTCCACGCCGTTCTTATGCTGCAAGCACGGGTTTGCAACTGTGAGAAGGGAGACGAAGCTTGAGAACACTCACTTAAAATCAGGCCCTAAGCGAGAGACAAAACAAAACATATGGTTTGAAATTAGTCGAAGTGTCTGCACGAAGATCGTTAGGACTCGTTATCAAAGCATTCACCAGAGTGGGCAAATGGATGGTGGTGCCTTGATGCGCAGCCTACAATAGGTTACGCACTGATGAAGGGGCCGTCACACGCCTCCTTGAATCGACTTTCAAACGAGATTCCCGCTTCTAGTCGCAGTCTGGCCCGTGCTTCCAGCACTTGCTGGTGCCTCTGAAGAATCTGTAGCTCCGTTTTCAATCTGTTCTCCAGAGCGGGGGTGGAAGGCGGATCTCCTGAGAGTAGGCCTTTCCTTTGCTCCAAGACCTTGTGAATCTGGCTACCTAGACTGGCTGCCATGTCGATGGGCCCAGCAATGCTACTTTTGATATCCTGAAGACCAAGTTCCTGGTGCTGACTCTGAAAAAGCTCTACCGCCCTCACCACCTTGACTGATGTCCTTTAATTCCTTGACTTTATTCAGAATCTGATAGCTATTCATTCGCAAGGGGGCTTCTCGCATTATAAACTGTCTCAGAATGCCAGAAATTCAGCAAGGGTTTGTTCTCAAGCCGGGATTTTGCATCCAAAACTTTCTCAACTACAGACAGAGCTATTAGTTAAACGTCCAGCTGCTACTACAATTACCTAGTATGAGAAGGGACATGATAACATAGCAAGCCATAACTCTCCAGATCATCTGCCTCTTCAACACTCATGAAGCCTGATTGAAGCTGCCAAGGATCTCTACGAGTGTGTTCAGCAATGGACACGCGGCGCTGTATTTCTTTGCAATTACGTTTTAGTGTTGGGTGTACACGCTCACGGGCAAGGAGCAGAGCTTGCTGCGGCAGCATGCGCTCAATCTTCAAGATGCCGTCAGAATGACGAAGAAATTGCGGTAAAATCTGCATCCTTTTCTGGCTCTCTAGCGGTGCGGCCTACCCGCCGCGCGCGGCGCGGCCGCCTACTTCGTCTCACGATTATTGAAGGGTTTTCCCGCCGGGTCATCATTATGGCCCTAACACCTACTGACGGCCGCGGCCGCCAAGGTGACGGCCTGCGTACGGCCGCGCGGCCGCGCTCAGCCTCGTCCACACTCAGTGTGCCTGATTCGCCGGCTATGTTGCAATGTTGGATTCAAAGCTGGCATGTCTTCAAAACTTCGTTTAGGGTGCGTGTCTTCGTTGACCAAACTCGTAACTCCGTCCTTGCGAAATGGATGCAGCAGAAGCTGAGAGGCTCAGGCTGTTCGGTCTGCTCGCCGGGTCGGGCGGCAGGGCATCCTGGGGCCGTGTTCAGACTACATTGGGGTAATTGGCCGGTCTAAAGATGTCAACCGATGCCCATCGCCATTATTTTTTACGTTGGTGTTAGGGATTCTTAAACACACACCTTGTTCAGGATCTGAACAGGCTCCCCAAAGACGCTGCAGGTTAAGTACATACTGCAGGATTTGCCACCCGACATGCATTCCGCCAAAAGGCAGGACGTGAAAATCTCAAAACGAATTTCGGATAGAGAAAGGTGCGTATAACAGAACGGATTTTCGACGGCCATGCACTGCATCCGTTTCTTGACAATCAGTAACAAGTGGACCGTGGCCATCACGAGTCAAGCACTATCTGCTGTCGCATGTTGCGGTGTTGGTCACAACGATGAGGTTGTATATATCGCTAAATTTCCTGACTTTGGTATCTAATCACGAATTCGAACTCAAAGCTTCCCCTTCAACCTACCAGCAACGAACGGTCAGCCCATCTGATAGCTAAGTACAACATAATACAATGGCTTGCACTTACTAAGGAAATCTAGAAAGTCTCTGCATCATTTGCGTCTATATCTACCGTACCTACTACCCACTTCCTAACATCTTGAAAGGTGCATTGTTAGATTTTGCCCACTGTTTGGCCACCCTGATCGGGCATGTCCTATGCCCTCGACTCATGCAATGCACCCCGCAACTGTCCCATCGTAAGTGTGAGGACACTTCGGGCTACAGAGCAAGGCCACCAGGTTCTTCAGATGCTCGTTCGCGATCGCCAGATCCGTTACTTCTGCTGTATCTAAGCCACCGATCCACACCGCCGCAGCCCCACGGGAGTCTCCGATGCGCACAATCAGGCCGGAATCCCTGTCTTTGAGTTCGGTGTACCAGAGCGACTCCGCGGGATTTGGGGGCTTCACGAAGACTGGCAGGATGGGTCTGTTCCCATTCGGCTCGTAGCCGTAGATGGCAAGAAGGCGGTATAAGAGCAGTCCGGAGGAGATGGCTGCGCACAGGGGCACCATGTCGCCGTCCGTTCCCGAAAGACCCTGAGCGGAAAACAGTCACAGCGGATCACAGATTTGTCTCCAATCCAATTTTTCGCTTAGCGCATACCAGAGAGAGAGCGCCTTTGAATGGCTGTCGCACCTTACTGTACTCAAAACCGTTGGAAACAGCTTCCATTCGGTGCTTGCCCGTAGTCCGCTCTTGAGCTCATGATCACGTAACCTGCCAATCTCTTGTCTCTATCTCCTTAGCCAAGGACTGGAGCTCGTGCAAGCGCGCTTTTATGTCAGGAACGGCGGACAGAATCTCAAACTTTCTAGTAAAAGAAAGATCAAACCACTAAAAAGCTGGTGAAGGGTGTTAGAGGAACATCAAGAAGAGCACGGATTTGGATCATGTTTCTAGGAATTTTCGATAGAGGCTCCGCTCTTGCAAGGTTTACGCGACTTGCAGTTTGGCGGCACAATTTCACACACCTCGCTGTTCATTGGATCGCTCTGGTTGCTGATGCGTGTCAGCTGTTCTTCGAGCTCACGAATGCAGACCTTCTCGGACGTTAGGTCTACTGTGACGTCCAAGCAGTCTTTGAGACCTCTCTCGGATCTGCAATACGAGTTGTTCACCCCAGATATGAACATCAGATCGTGAGGAGCGCTATACGCCGTTTTTCTGAGGGATTTGACTTAAAGAGCTGGAATCACCATAAAATATTCATGTGGGAGTCTTCACAGTGAGCAGCTCCTGAGCTTACCATGAGAGAACCGCAGAGAGTGATCCACACAGCTTTGCGAGCCGCTAAGAGAGTTCAAGACATCTTTGCGTACCGCGGGCTTCCAAGACGCTCTACAGAGCCATTTCCTTGCAAACAATTTCTGTTCAAGTTTTGACAGTGAGAAATGAGTTAGGTTCATTAGGAAGCGTATTGAACCGACTAGGATTTCCAGTCTGATGTCTCAGCAGGCTAGTCGGATTGATTCCGAGAAGGTCCCTTTGAATCGTTATACCTGTCAGGGTCTGCGACCCGGATCCAAGGCTTGCGTACACGTTTCACGCGTTTGTAGTCCTTGTCTTCCACCCCATCTTTGGCATACTTCTGTGGATCCACGCGGTACTGCTTGAACTGCACTACAAAAGAATTATCAGTATTCATACATGGAAGTGACCTCTTTGTCGGTCAACGACAACCTGGGAGAATGCGCAGAGCCACATCACTGTCAATCGAGGTTTTCACTGGAGAATCGCACTCAAACTTGAGCTGCCCCATGCAAAAAGCAGACAGCTTTTAGATGACCACTACGGCTTTCTGACGGACCCTTCATTTCCGGAGCAAGGTACAAACTGTTGATTACAGCAACGAAACTCTGCGGCCAGCCAGATATTTGCGTAGACGATTTCGAGTCTGTTCCAAATCCTAACGTACTTTCTCTTCTGGGTTCTTGAAGTGATCTAGATGACGCGGGTCGATGCTGCCGGCGACCACGCCGCAGGGATGAAGACAAGCGTCCGACATCAGTAGATCTACCAGCGCGCAGACTTCGCTCTTGAAGCACTCCTCCCAGGGGCTGCCGTGCGACCACTGGGCCTGCAGGAAAACCCCACATCAGAAAGATTAGTCTGGAACAGGAAGCCTGAGTGGTCGGATAAGCGAGTGGATCGTTGATTAAGTGCGCAGAGAATCGGAAGCTTTGAGCTTAATAAAAATGAGTTACCATATCCCAACTGGAAAAGTGGTGCTCTAAAGGGGTGCTCTCTGATTGTTATCGCGATCCATCAGAAGCAAGACTCCACAACGATTGAAACCTCGTTCAACGTACACCTGCGCCCCTATTTCCTCAATCTAAACAATCAACATACGATCCGGTCGCCTCGCGGCGAGTAGAACATCATGGGTTGCTCCGCTGAAGGCAGAACTTCACGTGATTGGGGATCTTCGTTGATCTTCGTTTCCAATAAAGTCAGAGACAGCTGATTATGCTAACTATGTATCCTTAAAGCCACGCCCTTGGTGGACTAGGCGCAGCACAGAAAGGGAAAGCAGCCTTACCACAGCCCTCAGCGACGCCTTGTGCTCGGACAAGCGGAGAAGGAAGCCGCTCGGCTTGTGCTGGAGTATGACCTCCCAAATGCACTTGTAAAAGTCGGCATCTGAGGTGTCTACTTCCAAGCTTGGGAAGAGGCACAACATGCGGTACATAGCGTGTGCGGCGGAGATAGAGTAGTTAATGTCGATTGTTAAGAAGTTCCGGGCTTGAGTAAAGCCCCCGCTGTAATGGTCCCGTTCGTGCACCACCTCTGCGAGACCCGTCTCCTTCCTGAAGGCCAGGAAATCTTAAGATCTGATGTCACTTCAAGGCTTTCTTTCTTGCAGGAAGTCGCGCTTGCAAATCAGTCAAGGGAGGTCAATGGTGACGTCTGTTATCCGTCTTCTATCCGTTATGCGCCCAAAATTTTGACCATTTGAGTACGCAAAATCAATAATTATCCTAGAGGTGCGGATTGAAAGTCGTGAATCGGATGCAAAGAAACAGTCTGCATGGACTCGCGATCGGAGGGGTGGTGTTCGAAAGGCATTCTCATGCACTAGACCCTCGAGAATTTTAATCGCCGCTTGAAAGTGTCCATGCATGATCATTTCAGAAGCAAAAGAGAACCGGCAGACGCAGGAAAAACTGAAAGCTAGCTAGGCTGCGCGGGAGCCCCAATCAAGTTGGGAACGGAGTGGAGGTGCACCGAGAGAAGGCAGCCTGTACTTTTGCTCACCAGTAAAGGACGGTCCCAGGAACTTGTCGTTCTTTAGGGAAGTCACCCGTAAAAGGTTGCCAAGAGTCCTTGATCAGGCTGACGTAAGATGGCACGCGCTCTGCCGGAAGGATGTTCGCAGAACCTTCTTTGAGGTCGAGACTGAGGAGTAAGCGGCCACCCCCGGGGAAACTCCACCCTGGCCCAGTGGAAGAAAGGACTCGCGGGTGGACCAGGTATCTCTTCCCGCCTGTTGCAGACAAAGCCTTGTGGTGAGCTTCTCAAGGAGCTAAATCTTCGCTACCTTCCCTGTCAGTTGGACGACTTTCTGGGCGGCCGAAAAGCGCGCTCCGCTGACCTGCCACCCGGATCATTTCCAAGAGAGCAGCAAGCAACGGTCATTTGCTCAGTGCTTTCCGTTCTGTTACGGTTGACTAGACGTTTTGTTGTGCTGGAAAAGCTGAACAAACCACCCTTCTACAAAGGGAGGCTGTACTCCATTGTTGAGTCCTTATGGATGCAAGGAGATTGAGGAATTCTGACCTTCAGCTGCGTTCTTGAAGCGCGCGAGGAAGCCAACCCCCGCTTCCAAATGCAGCTTGGCCCGTGCCTCCAGAACTTTCTGGTGACGCTTGCGGATCTCCTGCTGCTCATCCTGTGCCTTGGTGGATTCGGCTGTGGACGACTTGCCGGCCTCCCTTTCAGCTTTCTCTTTAAGTTCCTTCTTCAGATTGTAGTACGCACTCCCCAAGGTCACCGCCATGTTGAATTTTGCTCGCTAAGCCTGAAAAGCAGGCTCGATTTGAGGGTTGCTTGCAATCAGCCGTCGTAGAAGAATCTAGTAAGAGATGATTGCATTCTGATTGACTGGATTCAAAAGACCCTCCTTTTCTGCTTGCCGCCTACCTAGGTTAAAAATCAATCTACCAGCTTTGATAACCCCATCTACAACGAGCTGAATCAATCGAAATTAGATGTGCTTGTCACGAAGTGAAAGCGTTTTCTGTCACCAATCTTGATTTCGGTTGTCCTCTATTCTCAAACTGCCAAGATGACCTGATGTTGAATGTAGACAAAGTAGTCAGAATAAATGCATCTTACCTCAAGGCTTGTTCAAAACTACACTTGGCGAGCAAGAGACAGCCTGAACGAGGAGATTGGCTTCTGTAGGGGACCGACAATAGGACGGTGCTGACAGCCGCAGGCTTTTATGCCATTTAAAGCTCCGCATGTATAAGGCAGAAAAGTGAAAGGGCTCCCAAATCAAGCTTTTGCAGATAGTTTCAAGAGGATTTGTCTTTCAGAAGTGCAGCAGCGAGCACTTGCATCAGAGCACTAATTGGATCATTGCTTTGTTCAATGCTTTTCGACTTCAGCAGTTGTGATCTGGCAGGTGTCTGGCAGAATAGAAGAAGACTTGAAGCCACATAGAGCCAGATGATTTTTGTATTTCGAAAGACAGAGGCGATGGCGCCCTGCTTTCAGAGGGACTAAGTATCTAATTCAGCACACGGGCAGCCCAGGGACAGCATTAGATCTACAGATGATTGAACACATCTCTCCTTAAAGGTGAAGTTCCGCCATACCAGTACTTACGTCTCTGCAGGTAAGCACATAGTATTAGTGTACCTATATCAGAAGGTTGGTCTTCTTAGGACGCTCCCAGGACGCTCACCGGCCGGTTGTTTTCACGGAAACAATTCAGCGCCGGTTAGAGATGATAGTTCTCTTTGACCAGACACGTCAATGGCAGTGTTCCGCTCTGCCCGGCTCCGGCGCATGTTGTAAGCCCCACGTCGTTGTCTTGCGCCACTGCCTTCTGCTGTTTTGTTCAAGAAGTACTTGCCGTAGCATCTGTGTCACTGTACTGCTGTGCAGCAGACCTGCTGTGCTTTGTGCGCCTATGCGTACACTAACACGTGTACGTACGTTTGCCATGCAGAGGTCACTTTGGTCGATTGCCTCGGCGCCGCGGCTCCGCGAAGGGTTCCAGTTTTGCCCAGGTTGGTCCGAATAACACTCGGACGGGTCGTGACACAGTTTTGTATCCCAGCGGACGTCCGAGTTACATGGCAGCGGCAGTAGCTGAGCTGAGCTGGGGACCTTAATTAGCCTAATAGGCCAATAGGCTTCGGAAGTTGGAAGTGGGACCTTGCTCGCTTGATATTTCTTTCTTCCTGCGCTCTCTTCTTCCCCACTCACGACAGAAACATACCTGCTTCACACTTGCCCTCTCGTGGAGTGACTTTGCGAAACGCTGAACCAGGCATACATTGCTCGAGCGATGGACGCATCACCAGAGAAAGTGGCCAAAATCATAGATGGCATTGCAATTGCAAAGGACATCCGTTTGGAGATTACGTCTGATGTGCAGAAGATGAAGGAGGTGTACGGCAAGGTAAGTTTGAATTGTCGAGTTCCTCTGCAATGCATGAAAGCCGAGCTTTACAGCTTCGGTTGACATTGGGCTGAAGCTAAGCTGGTGAAATGTAAAGCCTAGAAATCAGAAAACACGTCGGCCCGCTCGTCCTAAACCTTCTGAGAGGTACTCTTGTGATAGCATTGAGCTTTGAAGGTTTGTTAGTCTGGGCAAACTCAGACCTGTGTGTCAGCTTTTTTGGCAACTCGTCAAAAGGTCTGATTGAGAACATGTGATGGTTTGACTGGGGCATCAAGCTTTTTGTCGGAGTTGCATGGGTTATTGCATTAAGTCAGCTCATCTCAGCAACTCAGGGATATCAGTAGCAATGCATTGCCCATTTAGCAGCTCTTGGAGGACCGTTCCAGCTGACTTTTCCAAAACATGATTGGCGGACAGCCAACGCCTGGGGCTAGCGGCACCAAGAGAGGTTGACGTTACTGAGGTCGCAGCTGTCATGCTGTTCTTCTTTGAAGGAGATCAGGGGATTGTGAGAAAGTTGAAGGATAAGTGACGGCGCCTGATCACTAAGCTGTTGCACATGCGAGCTGAAGTTGATGGCTGGCCAGCCTCACCGCGTAAGATGCCGGAGGCAATCTCTGTATACAATTAATCTGTCCATCAACAAGTCCAGTCATGATTGCGGTTAGAGGAACACTCCACAGATGGCAGGCGCTCTATCAGCATCACATCACTGTGTTTACATGGTCATGCCATCCAACTGGCGGTCCTACCTGTAAGCTGTCTCAGTGATTCCTGCAATATTTTCTGCTTTGGTTGAGCAACCGTCGAGTTCGAGTTAAAGAAAAACAGGGCAAATTGGCATCACAATTGGAAAAGAGAAAGGAGTGAGCAGAGCAGGCAAATCAATCCCTTTGTCAGCCATCAAGGAACGAACCAGTTCTTAAAAGAGCTTCCACTGTTTTTCTGCAGGTTCCAGGCTTGGCCGTGATCATTGTTGGAGAGCGGAAAGACTCCCAAACGTACGTACGAATGAAGAGACGGATGTGCGCAGAAGTTGGGTTTGTCTCCTTTGACAAGGACATGCCAGGGGACGCTTCTGAAGAGGAGGTGCTCCAAGCAGTAAAAGCTTTCAATGAGGACTCTGCAGTGCATGGTGAGTCGTGATTGTTGAGGATTGTTTTGTCTTTCTGCTTCGCTCTTTGGACTTAGTTGCTTCAACAACTGACTGAGAGAGAGGATGATCGAGAAGAGACAGCCATGCTGATAGAGGCTAGAAGGTTGATCAACCAAGGGCTGCAGCTGTTCCTGCAAGTAGCTGAGACCCTTTTTTAGAAGCGGTGTTCATAAGGACCTAACGAGGAAGAAAAGACGCAAACTCTGGGTTTGGGAGAGCCCCGTGAAGCTGCTTGTTAAACTCGGAGGATTTGAAGCGCTTCGGAGCGCCAACTTTTCCATTCTCTGTACGCTGTCTGCAAAATGAGTAAACTTCCCCCTAAATTGTTCAACAATGGCGCCTTAATAATCAGACTTGTTGCTGCTTCTGCTCTTGTATTTTGGTGAGTTTGCCTTTCGTCTCAACCTCGCATCTTCCAAGATCATCACATAATCCAGTCAAGACCCCCTCGGTGTCATTGCAGTGCATGTACTGTAGTCAGAGACCAAGGTATAGGCACCCCGGAAAACGAGCCTTCTCAAATGACAGTGTCGATCTTAGGCTCCCTTCTCGTCCAGAACCGTCTCAACCTCACAGAGAAATTGAACCCACAGAAAGTGCAACCTCATTACAAAGGCCACGACATCCTCTCTCTCATTGAGTTGTTCTTGTGTTTCCCCCCAGCTAAGTTCTTCATGCAGTAGCTTGCAACCGCGTAACTGAAGGGACTTCCTTCCAGGCATCCTCGTGCAATTGCCGCTGCCGAAGCACATTGACGAGCAGACAGTCCTGTCAGCCATCAGCCTGGAGAAGGACGTCGACGGTTTCCACCCGCTGAACATCGGCCGACTAGCTATGAAGGGCCGAGACCCGCTCTTCGTTCCATGCACACCTAAGGTAAGCGGCGTGTCTTGAGAGTTGTTGAGGCGGCTTGTTAGACTGACTATGTTCTGCAAGTCAAAACATTGGTGCTCTGGATTCTGACTTGGTCTCTTTCATGCAGTCAGCGTTGCACTGAGAAGACGTCAGGGCGTCTGTAGAGTTGACGACAGTGTTTCTTGCACAGTCAGTTGTGAGAAACGGTTGCGATTTCGGTTCAAAAACAGAGGTCGCAAAGTATTGCTGCCCTCAATTTTCCAACGGACTTATTGCGAGAATTTTCATGTGAGGTTCAGGTATTTTGGTCATACGAGGAGTCGCGGCTCGAGTCCGGACAATCTAGGCATCCGAGAAACATCCCGCCCCGCTTTGCTGTCACGTCCAAAGATGATACTTTTGTAGTGCTTTTTCAGTTGCGGTGCGTACTTCTTGGTCGTTGCAGGATCCAATCACACCACCTGAAAGTCTGCAAAGCCATGGAAACTGAAGTTGACATGTTCACTTTTGGAGGCTGAATGTGGATTGACTAACGTCAGCAAGGCGCGCTGACTTGTGTAGCTGAATCGAAGTGAATCCAGCGCCATCTGGTTACAGATATGGCCAAAGAATCTTGATTCTGCCTGAAAGCAGGTCGGCTAAACCGCAGCAGGACTTGTCAAGCCGTTCTCCAAATGAGAAATCCAGCTTCTTTGCTTTCGAAGCCGTGACTGAACAGATAAACTTACCGTCCCCAACCGCTTGGCTGCTTGTTACGGTTCGTTTCTTCTTCCTCCCCAGACTCCTATGAAGCTACTCTTTCTGCGCACCAGAGCCGCCAAAGCTGCCACGACGGCGCCCATCCGATGCCTCGACTTTTGAGCACTCACCGAAGATAATTCTTCGCTCGCAGGGTTGTATAGAGTTGCTCGACCGCAGCGACATCAAGATCGCCGGGAAGCGCGCTGTCGTCCTCGGGCCTCACGATTCACCTATGAGCAATCACAAATATCCTTCTTTATCCTGCAGGGTTGTATAGAGTTGCTCGACCGCAGCGACATTAAGATCGCCGGGAAGCGCGCGGTCGTCCTCGGGCCTCACGACTCACTTATGAGCAATCACAAATATCCTTCTTTATCCTGCAGGGTTGTATAGACTTGCTCGACCGCAGCGGCATCAAGATCGCCGGGAAGCGCGCGGTCGTTCTCGGGCGCAGTAACATCGTGGGCATGCCGGCCGCGCTGCTGCTACTGCACCGGGACGCGACGGTGTCGATCGTGCACTCCAAGACGGAGGATCCTGCGAGTATTGTGCGCCAAGCGGACATTGTGATTGCTGCCATTGGGCGACCAGAGACGGTGAGAGCGCCCTCATTCGGCCATTTTCTGAACTGTACCTGTGCAATCCTGTGCGGCCGTACGGTAGATGGGTGATCATCGTGCATTTCAAGACGGAACATCCTGCGAGTATCATGCACCAAGCTGACATCGTGATTGCTGCTATAAGGGGGCCGGGAGAAACGGTGAGGTCGTTTTTTTCGATCCGTAGATCCAACTATATCTGTTTCGGAAGACTTGACTGTTCTAAATCTTGTGCGGGCAAATGGTAAGGTTTCAAACGGTGGATCTGCCAGTATCGTGCAGGCAACAGTGAGTGTGATTGCCGCTGTAGGGCCGTTGGAAAGGCGGGGGGTCCCGTAAAAAGCCCTTTCTCGTCGGTGTCTGTCTTCCTTCCCAAATACTTGTGAATGACTCCAGGCGGTCCTCTGACAGGCAACGAGAACTTTGAAGTCGGCTGCAACTCTAAAGTTGTCGTTCAACACTGAGAGCTGACTTCACGATTCCTGGTCCAAGCGACTTCTGCCCCAGAATTTCTTCTTGCCGAAGGGGTCTCAATTAAAAACAGGCTTTCTGAGCGCGCAGTATAAGCGCTGCCCACACATAATGATCAAAAGTGGTCCAAAACGCCGGAAGGGAACGCGCTTTGTTCCGATTCTGCTTTCCCTTGCCAAGCGACGCTTAGGAACTTCGCCTTCACCGTTCGAAAGTGTCAAACGATGTCGCTTGCTTTCGAGCCGACTTTCAAGTGGGTCGAAGTACTTTGCTCTTTCACCTCCATGGAGTGCCCGTGGCAGCCTGCGCCTCGGCCGGATCTCAGACGTCGTTCTTCCGTACCCGCTGAGTCGAGCGCGAGAGCCCAGATTATGCGCCGCTTTCATCGTTGCCTAGTAGCGTTTCACCCAAAACCTGAAAACTCCGATCATGATCCGCTCCTGGTCCTTGCTTAGTCGTTTTCCAAAGCGTCTGTCCTTCTCTACTCCCTTCTAAGCACTCCCAAGAGTTCCTTCTGGTCGTGAAAGACCGGTTGAGGTACGGATGCAGAGGTTACAGAACCCAGTACTTGGCATAGCTCGTTCTAAGTACAACTTTCGCGTGCAGGTACGGGGCGACTGGATCAAGCCGGGCGCCGCAATCATAGACGTTGGGACGAACGCCGTTGACGACGCCAGCAAGAAAGCCGGTTACCGGCTTGTGGGCGATGTCCATTTTGAGGAGGCGTCAAAAGTTGCCGGTCATATCACCCCGGTTCCTGGGGGCGTTGGGCCAATGACCATTGCGATGTTGCTTCAGAACACGTTGAACAGTGCTAAGCGGGTATTGGCAAAGGAGGTGCCGTTAGAGAAGCTGGAGATTCGGCCCAAGCAAGTAGCCGTGTGAAGTTAGGAAGATTTGAAATTGCATAGCTGTGTTTGACATGAGGAGTAGGAACCTTGCAACCAGCGCACGACTTCACTGCAACATGTAGAAATTCTTCACAGCCAATTCTCCCGTCCAATTCTTGAATCTTCCATACAATTAGCCTCGACTGCAGGCAGGCAGCCGCCTCTTAATTGCATTCATTCGTTGTAAAGCAAGCAGAAAACCTCGTGTGAGGCGCGTGAAGCACGGACTCCTGCATACACAATGAGTGTGTTAGTATCAAGACAACCATGCATCCCGCTGCCGGGAGGCCCGCTCCTTGATCCATTGCTATTAAGCCTTGAAGCTTGAAGCCGGAACTAGATGCGACCAGTCGTGACAACACTGTACGTAAGAAAGCACATCGGGCACGGAAGCGGAGATTGGGCGGCCGACGGTGCTAGCTGCCATTATGTCACAAGCATGCAGGTTTACAAGCAGTGCTAGCTTGGCGTTCGCCTTGCAGCCGAGGCTTCATGACGTGCATGGCATGCGATTTTCATAGCCTAGGCCACAAGCGCATAACCGAATAACGTATGATGATCATTAATTTCTGGATGCCCACTCCAGAAGGTTCAGTTTCTTCTGTCAATGGTCAATTCTTAGAGCATGCCAGGAGCGGAGAGACACCAGACCGCGGCCTGGACTGTGATCATGGCAATCATGCACGGGCTTCATGCCAGCGCAGGCGTGAAGCTGTGAAGTTAAATGGTTGCATCGCTCTAGTTACTCTATTATCCGTTAACCTTTGGGTTATGCCAGTCAGGTTATCTCTTTTACCACTACGGTAGGTATACAAAATTGCATGCGGGAGATTGGCCAAATTAAGCGGCCGGTTATTGCACGTCCGGTTTCTCATGCTGTTAGGGAACCGGTTCCCCTGATGTCACATGGCGTCTGTATAGTAGTGCTCCTCTGCTTTTGCGTCGCCAATAAATAGGCCCAGGTGACTAGGACATTTCCCGAACTGAATATATGCGTCAACGCTTCTCCCCGACCGGGGTGACTAATATGATATTTCTGACGTCGCTAGAGCCTGAGGTTTCGTTTGAAAATGTGAGGGAGTGCTCAATCTGTGCGGCAAGCTTGCAGCTAGCAGCAGCGACACGATTCGTGGGTTGGGCGCATAACCACTTGCCCACCGCCTCTGGGCCCTGGTGAGCTGTTTGACATCACATTAGGATCAGGCCTTTACCTGCAAAGCATCGTCCCCGATGTGGTAGCTGGCGGGCGCCCTCCTGCTTTGTACATCCGGCAAGTAACCATGACAAGCCAATCATCTCTGTCGATAGGGGCGCTCAATTTGGAGGAAGTGCCTGGGGGGAACGTTCTACGCAAGCTCGATGACAATGTCTTGGAGGCGATCCTGCTCCTCATCACCGACCCGCCCGATCGTGCGGCCTGCTCCCTAACTTGCAGAACCTTCATGCAAGCGGAGCGCAACACACGGCAAACCCTCCAGCTGCGCTGCACTCGCGGCATGCTCCACCGCATCCCCCGCTGCTTCCAGGCAGTAACCGACCTCGACATTTCTAGGGTGATCCCCCGGGGGCAGCGCCCAGTCCTGGTCAGCACCACTCTTGCGCATCTCGCCAAAGGTTTTCCTCAGGTGGAGACCCTCACAATGTACACCGACTTTGCGCTCGCCGAAGAGGGGCTCGCGCCGCTGATCCGGGCGTGGCCAAACCTGCAGAGCGTTGTCATTCGGAATCCACACCCTCGCTGCCTTGAAGGGCGCAAATACAGCGATGTGTGGGAGTCAGTGACGGCGAAAGGTGCGTACAGCGACATGGTCTCTGGCGGTCCCCTGGTGCTCAAATGGAAGCTCGGTAGTCCACCCCAGCCGTTACCCGGTGGTCTCCTCAATTTCCTGAGGCATTGCTACTTCCGTTGTATAGACCTCAGGATGCTGCTGGGGTTAAACCCCCCCGATTTGGTATCCCTTGGGGTCGACCTTTGGTATTGCGACGAGAACGTAGACCTTCTATCAAAGTTTACTGGTCTCCAATACTTGCGCATCTCTGATGATAATCCTGTTCGCCTGGGAGTTGAAGAGAACAGCAGGGCGTGGGGAGTGCTCTCGGACAGCAACTTTGGAAGGCTAGTGAACCGCCTCTCAAAGCTCAAAACCCTGGAAGTGACTCTTCGCCCCAGCCCCCGGATGACGGAGTTTGTCGTTACCCCCCACCTTGCGGCATCTCTGCGCAACCTGGTTATCCGCCTAGTGCCAACTGGTTACGCGCCCGATGGCAACTGCTTCAGCTTGAGTTCCATTGCGGCGTGCTCCGCTTTGGAGCGTCTCACATTAGGAGGGTCGTTAGATCTTTTCCGCCACTTCGAGGCGCTCGTTGACATCAGTGCCAGCTGCCGGCGCCTGGTTGCGCTTAATCTCCCCAACCTCACGAGGCGTCCTGACGAAACGCATTTGGAATCGGGCGGTGCGGATCTGTTCCGAGCTATGGCTGCAGAGGGGGCGACACTGACCGAACTTCGCGCGTCACGCCTTCCCGCTTGCGACTCCAGTTTCCCAGAAGGACAGACCGGTCACTTGCTTGACACGTTCACCCCCTTGAGCACAAGACTGAAAAAGCTCACGTGCATCATTCAGCAGGCCTGCCCAGTTCTCAGCGTTTCTGGCTGGCACGGCCTTGAGCATCTGAACCTGATATGGGGCGTCGACTCTGTTGAGATTCCGCGGATCGAAATAGATTGCCCCTCGTTGCGGGTTCTGGAACTGCGCGCTGCCCCTCGCGTCCGCCTCGCTTTCTCCCCCGATACCTGCGCTGTCACCTCGTTCACCTTCACACCACGGGGGTCATCTGCCAACCCGTTCGACGGGGACACGCTCGCTCTCCTCTTGGATGGGCTCTCAGCCGCCTTTCCTGCGCTGTCCGACGTCTCTCTATCTGGCGGTGCGTGTCAAGGAGATTACCGTCCCCCCAATCGCAGCGACGAGAAGCTCTGGCAAGATGAGCTCGTGCTAGAGGCCCTTGCGCAGTTCCCCTCACTGCGACGCTTGTCTCTCAATGGTGGGAAGTTCACAGTCTCGCTCAATGACGAGCGTGCTCTGGATGACTTCAGCAACCGCATCCGCCTGCTGCTGCGCTGTCCCAAGCTGACGTCACTGAAGGTCCCTGCGATGTACGAGCACGTCCTCGAGCAGTCGTTTTACGAGGAACTGTACGGGCGTGGGGGGGCCTGAGGCGGGTGAACCTAGGTCAGGGTTTAAACCCAAAAAGGTAAGGGTCGCTTCGACTTTCATAACCACTCTTTTACTGACAAGCTGCGTGCTCTAGCCGAAAATGGGCTCCCGGGGGACGCTTGTTATGGTTAGAAAGATGCTGAGAGGATCAAAGGGTTTGGAAATGGTTTGGTTCGTTGGTTTCCGAGTCGCAGTCGTTTAACGAGGAGGTGTATGTTTCACAGAGGGTGCAGCCTGATCCGGAATGTGTCTCGAGAAAGACCGGGTCGAGAAGTAAGCCAAGGGCTTAAGATGAGCCCGAGTTTTTCTCGTCATTCTTAGGAGGTTTGCTTACTCCTCCTTGGGAGTCTGCTGTAACACCAAAGCAACCCCACTGTCCTCCGTGCGCCAGCGTTACGTCACATGTCTGTTGCACGAAGGTTGCTAGATTTTCTAGATTGCCTAAATCCAATGTCGAATTTAAGCCACATGTCTTTTGAGAGTCTGAACCCATTCCAAACCGTAAGTCCACGTAATTCTTGCTGCAGGCACAGGCACTCACTTGCCATCCACTGCGGTTGGCAAAAGGTGGTCCAGGTGATAAGGACCGGGCGTCCTTTGCGCTGCTTCCGCTAGGATTCTTCGGGGCTTACTTTCGCTAGGTATGCAGTCCGTAAGGTTGCCCTTAATTCCAGGATTTGTGGGGGGGGGAAATGATTGGCCTTCGTCGTTGCTGTATTTAACAGTCACTATCTTTGCAGTCTTTGTTTTATTTCCCGTGATAATCAATATCCTAACATGAACAGCCGCGCCGACGTTGCATGCGCAAGGAAGTGTCTTTACGTCCCGCACGGTCATTGCGAGCTAGCCTGCTAGTTGTGGGCACAGTGATGCATGACACAGTAACTTGCTTCAAATTCGGCCCCCGAGTGAATCACTGAGCTTGGTGGCCCGCCACAACCTCATGCATGATTAACAATATCATGTATGCTTCTAATCTTCATACATGTCTCCAATTGAAGCTGCATGATTGTGATGCATGCCAGAGTAGGAATTGTTCCTATTTGATCCTGACTGTCACGGTCCAGCTAGACGCTTACTTGAGATTTTGCTTAATTGGGCCCTTAGGCCGGTGCTGCAGCGCCGGGGCAAGCTCGTCAATGATCGATCAAGTACATGGCATCATTAAGCACAAATACACGGAGATGATATCAGCTGATTTCTTCGTCTCTTTTCGTATGGTATGACTTCATAGCCGCCCGCGCGTGACGGGACGGTGTGGTCACGAGCCAAAAATTCAGTGCCGCATTGAACAGTAAAGCACGGCTATCATATACTCATTCCACGCAGATCGAGTTTGTGCGAGCCGCGCGCTGGTTGTATAAGCATAGGACGAAGAGCCATTCACGCCCCAGGGTGTGCCCTGCTGCAACATGATCACATGAAAGCACAGCTAACCAAGCCTGGTAATTATACACCTGATGCATGATGTTGGTTGAATGGAATTCATAGTCACTCATTATTAGGGTAGCTGGGATGTCCAGCTTGTGAAAAGCAAGGATGAAGTTGTAATGCAATGATACACCATGGCACCGGGTGAGTGCCCTTCTGGGGCCCTTAGGTCAGTAGTAGACCGGTCGCATGCTGGAAACACCTTCTTATAAGCAGGCTTGATTGAGAATGCAGCCAACCCTTGATGAGCCACAAAACGTATCAACGGCCATGCACGCGAATTCCTGGCCGAAGCTTATTTGGCATGCATGGCAGCTGGGCGATGCGACTCAGCTCCTAACTAGCCAAGACCAGGCCTCTATGTCCTGCAAATCCCAAGTTCTTCAACTCGAAAACGAAAACATGCTGCTCGTCATATCCTGAAGATGGTAATTCTCTTGAAAGCGTCATGTATTCAGCTGTCAAGCGAGAGAAGCGTTGTGGAGCAACTATATAGTCTGTCTGTCGAGGCAGCGTACAAAAGCAGAGCCGCGTCTCGATTACAGTGCGTGCGTGCTCAAACATATTGCCCGAGAGTCTCTGAAGTTGTTTAAGTACGTTTATCGTATCTGCACCTATGGGGCACCTATACTCGGGCTGGGCCACACGTGTCAAAAAACGAGTAAAAAGCTTCTAAGACCCTTTCCGGACGCTTTCGGACCCTTTTCGGCCGCTTTTCAAACGCATGTTTTGGACCCCAACGGCCTGCAGACTCTCTTTTTTAAAGATCTCTTCGGCTTTTGGTTGAGCAGATGAGCACCCTCTGATTGACAAAGGCCTCCTTCAGCCAAGTCGACGATTGCGGCGCCAGCTCAGGTATAGCCTCAGTCCATCAGTGTGGCCCGGCAGTCCTGCAGGGAGGCAAAGACGCGCGGCAGATGAGGGTCAACGGTAACTACAGGAGTTTTTGGCCCTGAACCGAGGGTGGTTCTGGGCTGGCTTTGGGCTGGTTAAGAACTGGTCAAAGTTCCATAATCCATTAACAAGACGTGGGCGGCAACCAGCTTTGTAACCAGGTTAAAACCCGGTTACTCGTTCAATAACCCAAGAGTCAAGTCTGGTAGTCAGCCTGGTTCGCGGCCACAAATTCAATGTGCCGGTCACTTTTGTAACAGCGTATTAGGGTAACTTGAACCTTCAACCCAAGATAAGCCTCAAGTGTAGCCTTAAGCCACGTCACAGAAACGTCCCCTTCCCACCATGCACGACAGCGAACGGCGATTAAAGCTATCCGTTCCCGTGTGATATTGTAATCAGGGTCCAACAAATGAGAGTCGATGCAGCATCATCGCGCAAGTCACAGATGCTAATCACGTCAAGCGAACTGAGGACTCACGCGTGTTTACACCGTTGATAAAGACATGATCCGGCAGGTTTCCGAGTCGCTTGGGTTAATCTGGAGTGAAAAACGAGGGGGAGTTTTGTGAGAGAGTTGCACAGACTGTTTACCGTGTTCAGCAAGTCGTTTCTCCGAGGGTCTCCTCTAACGGGCAAAGACGTGAGTCCTCACTCCAGATCACCCTGAGTTCGAAAGCAAACCAACGTATATATCTTCGTTAGCCAGCTGTCCTTTCTCTGCGTCCAGCTTGGACACAAGCTTAGCTAAGAGATCCGCTTGAGTCTGCACGAAGCTCACTGCCTCGCCTCCAAGACAACTGAAGCCGTGCAAATGTAACTCCTGAACAACTAGTTGAATGAAAAGAAGTGCACATGTGAAAGTGTCCGCTACCAGAATGGTTCAAGCGATTGCCCCCGGTACAGCTCAGCTTCGTCACTGTGACGAATTTTTTGAACCAATCTCAAGAAGGAAGCAGACCTGTTAGCCGTTCTTCGCCGCAAGTCTCGAGCCCGGAGTCAGCCAACTTCAACCTGTCGCGTCCATCCTGGCCGTCGGAGGATTTCTCAGTGGTCGATTAGAGAAGAAGCGAAAACCGGAGCGCAGAAAGCTTGTCAGAAGCCTGAAACTTCCGTGCCGGATCAGTGAGCAGAAGAGATTCGCCCGGCATCGAAAGAGGCAGAGTGGGACAAACACGAAGTAACAAGTGTGAGCAATTCTCTCGTGTTCGTCTTCGACGTATGTTTTATCCGTTTGTTGACTCAGGTGATGCCGTTGAACCACAGATGGCAGACCGTGGCCGGCGCCGATTACATGAGTCCAGAGGGCTGCAACACGGGCCCCAAGCAGGTTCCGCATCCAATGAAGGGTCACGGTGACAGCAGTTGAGGCTGCTTTCAAAGATTAAAGGTACGTATGCCAAGACCAGGCCAGGACTCCCAGGCAGTCGTTCTCCAACCGTCCAATGTAACCCTCGTTGAGCCGTCCTTTGAGCCGTCCGCCGCAACCATCGATTGAGCGCGCACGATATCCATGTAAAGAAGTATCCAAAGAATGACAAATGAGGATTTCGAGGAACGTGAATCATTTCAAAATGCGGAGACTTTCAAGAGAGGCTTCAGCATCGGATCGAGTAACCCCATTGAGCTCTTGCACGTGCTCGCGTTGTTAGGCATTAGAGCCAACATATCCGAAACTGAAAAAATAAGTGCCGGAAACCTACCGAAGGAAGGAAATGGAGGACATTTCAAGAGCTCCGGAGGCATAAAGAACCACCAGAAAGCTGGACATGTGGCGGATCGACACGGACGTTCTTGTCGATTTATGAGAATCTCTTACGACGAGCGAGCGACTTGCCCGTATCCACAGAAGTACCCAGAAAATATCTTTGAGCAGCCAAGCGTGACCGAGATACATTTAGCAGGTCACACCAGCTTCAAGGCCTGAACACGGACAGGTGTGGTCATGTTCGGCCCATCGGCCTGAGAAATTGGAGAGATACTCAAGCTGCTTAGCTTGGCTGTAGCTAGTCTCTGCGATGCGCAAGCTGGGTCTTCAGTGAATTGCGACAAGGTTCTCGACTTACGAACTGCCCTTCTGATACCACTGCTCGTATGTTCGAGCCGCTGCAAGGCTGCTACTGTACCGGGTCTACTGACACGTTTTGCCATTCTGTTCGCCAACGAGGTAGGGTTGAATAACTCAATCAAGCTGACTGACGTCCTTCAGGTGTTGACTCTCATACTCTAGTACGCTAGGGAACGCGTGCTTTGGACATTTGTAATTTAACAGAAAGTCTACTTGGGCTCCTTCGAAATTAAGCTCACCTTGCTAGTATATCCGTTGAGTCAAGCTCCCGAAGCAGACAATTTGCTTATGGGCGTTCTCGATCAAAGTCCTTGTTCAAGCAATCAAAGAGTATCAGACTGCTGTCAGCAGGCTACATTTGCGAAGTAGTCCTTAGCCGTGGAGGCGTGCGTACTATCACTGGCTATTTCACTGACAAGCATGCAACCTTAAGCGGGCGCCGCCTCCAAGGGAAAATCTTCGTGGCTTCAAGTCGTGGGCGACGTAGGTTGACACTCCTGCCCATGTAAGTTGAAGCCATAAAGGCTTCTCCTTGGATCGCGGATTACGCCAGGGGCGAATTACGCGCGTAGTACACGCTCATTACACGTGAATTGGATATCTTGCTTAATCAAGTGGGCAGTTTCGACACCGATGCGACTTGGAGGAACTTACTTCGTCCGCTCATGTACGTTTGCCCGGCTCAGGCGGCTTAGGCTTTCTTAAGTACATTGAGGCTGATCCCGTGGACCTCAAAAAGAGATTTCCATCTTTGCCAGACTCGTGTTGAATCGATTGTTCCATCTCGAGAAACAGCGGATGACGCAGTTCCTCATGCTTTTTCCACTATGATAACGTACGAGACTTAGGGGCAGTGCTGAGATTCTTCACACGAATCGTCAACTCTTTCCAACACTCACTCACGGTTTGACACTTGAGCACCCAAAGAGCTGGGCTTCGAAATACAAGAACAAGAGGGTTTGGAAGCCCCAGATCAATCCAATATTGAGGGACGACGCCGCTATCTGAAAGTGGTTGCAAACCTAGTCCGTGCACTAAATTGCTCATTCTGATTTTAGGTCTTTCAGCTTATCGTTTTGCCCCACCGTTTTTGGATGAGGAAGGCACGGCGACGATCAAAAAGCGATGTAATGCAACCGACTGACCTTTAACGACCGTGGATGGCCTTCGAGAAAAATGGGCCTTCAAGAAAAAGTGGGAGAAACTAAGACCACTGCTCTAA